AGCATCTCATTGGTTTAGGGTATCAATGCCTCTTTAGGGGGCTTCCACTGTCATTTATGGGATAAACATCTCTGAAGATGTATTCTTTGGAGAATGTGGATCATAACCTCCTATATAGCAATAATTCCAATAGGGATGGAAATTTTCAAATAATCTCCACTTATGGGGAGTTAAGTCTTTAAACTTACAAATCCGTCATGTTTCAGACATGCAACAAATGATTAATTAATAGTCACTTATTGCCATGTTGATAGATTGTGATACAGAAATACCAATCTATGCTTGCATATGTATAACCTATGTATACATTATCTTGATGAGACAAAAGGGGATGTATTCAAAGTTAATTCATGACGTGTGAGAAAATTGTCATATCAATAGTCATCAAAATTTAGGAAAATAAATTCACTATCATTATAGAGTCAAATGGACTTAATTGGATAATATGGGAGTTGTGCTCGTAATTTTCTTGACAAGACACAAATATGTGACCATTTGTTAGGTGCATCGAGTAAAACTAGTGAAATGCTCCATAATTAAATGTTTATAAGCTCACAAATATCCCCTTGATTTATTTAAAGAAAGAAGGCTCAAAGTAAATTTTTTGACAAAGATGGTCTTGTGATAGATTTTCTTTGTGAGCATGCTTTGCAAAGATGTTCGTTGGACAAGAAAATATTTTGAGTCTTTAAATAATGTCCTTACGAATTTATAAAATCTTATGAGTCATTATAGACTATGGATTGCCAAGACAGTCATGGCACAACATAAAAGTTATCGCGTCAATAAACTTTTGGTTCATGACATCATAATCTTCAACTACTTTAATGGTTATGTAATACAACCTACAAAATAAAATAGGAAGTTTCTCCAATAGACACATCTGGCTTTTAATATTGGGGTGATATTACAAAACATTACCTTTGTGAAACAAAATTAACTAATAATCCAATATAAATTAAATTAAATCTAAAAATAATAATAATAAATGATCAAATTGGTAGGATGAATATAATTAATTAATTAAAGGCTATGAAATTCCAAGATAATTTAATATGTAGATAGAACTACGAGTTTAAGAATCAGATTTCCAACCAATTCAATGTGCCTCAAAGTAGGCTATTTTTCCATGAACTCATAAAATCTGAATTTTTGATAACTAATCTCATGGATATAGAAATAGGCACAAAGAAGAAATGAACTTCATGTTCATATATAGTATTAAGATCCATGAAAATCTATGAACTTCAGGTGCATATCAACATATATTCGAAGCTTCAAGTTCGAATAAGATGATTTAATTAAATTGAATTAATAGTTGTGCTTTGAACTTCATATTCAAATCAATGTATATGCACTCGAAACTTCTCGTTCGGGTTCTTGAGATATGTAGGCCTCATGAAATTTTGATTTTGATTAATACAAAATCAAGGAGTTTCATGTCCTTATGTGCTTTTAAATTCGCTGAATTTCACGCCCTCAATTATTTGGAATCAAAGAACTTCATGTTCTAATTCAAGCAAAAGGACTCTAGGTCCTAATCTAGTTATATGATGAGGATCGAGGAACTTCAAGCTCTGATATTTTGTATAATACAAACTCATTGTAACAAGCTGTAATTAATTAAGACCATGCTTAAAATTAAATAAACAAACAAATAAATAAAACATAGCATTATATTCATGTGTAATAAGAATAAGAATTTTTTTTTCTTAAACGAGCATGATGAAGAAAAAGGAAAATCAGAGAAAGAAAACATATTAAGAGAAATGTTGTGCTGATAATGTGTTATAAAACTAGGGGGAAATTGTACAGAGATAATAAAAGGAAGAGGAAAGACAATTGAATTGTTCTTTCAACTTGTATCATTCATATTTACTAAGCACCTATGAGAGAAGAGAAATAGATAGAGAGAGAAAAAAGATAAAGAGAGAGGATGATCTTCTTGCCTAACAACGATAGAGATATAGCCTGATTTCAAAGAAAGAGGAGTAGAGATTGATGAAGTCGATTCGAGGAGAAGAACACAGAGATTGATTTCAAAGAGAAGGAGATGGGAGGTTTGTTCAAGCGAGAGAAAGGAGAAAAGAGTTTTGGCTCATATCAGATCAATGATTTCGAAGAGATTGGAGATGTTTTGGCAATTCAATGTAGTTGGCTTTACCTTAAACTCGTAGAACTCCCTATTACTACAAATAAGAAGTTGACACATGTAATTTATATATATGTATATATTCACACCTCGGTTCAGTCGGGAATCGCCAATATATACAATTTGGGTACTATAACTATGTCCATAACTCATCGGCTTAATTCTGAATACCACACCACATTGACTTCCCGGTCAATGACGATTTATTGCTTGCAAAACTGGCTGGTAACCAGAAATTTGCTATTTTTTTGGTTGAACCGCACATGCCTAGTTAGCTTAAGTTGGGTAATGCCCAAGGACTCCAAAGGTATTACAAAAATAAGAACAAATAAGTTCTATCACTGAAAGCAATCTCTCACTGTCTAAACTATTCTCAGTAAGAATATTAACCACACCTAAAGCTCGTTCTTTCAAACTTAAAATTCTCCAAACTCTCTTAACTAAGTCTAATTCAACCTTAACAAGAGATATCAAGCAGCAAATAAGGCTAAAAAGCATTTGGATGAATGAATTTAAGAGTACTAATATATATATATATATATATATTTATTTAAATGGAATTCATAATGATGAGATTTAAAGTTCCAGAATTTGTGAAGTTTATTCTTCGCTTAACCCAAAATTGTAATGAGATTTAAAGATTGAATTTAGGCCCGGTTTGGTTCGCGGAAAAGATTTGATGGGAAATAATTTCCCATGTTTTGGGGACAAAATAGTCATGAAAAGTGTGCATTTAACGCTGGCTCGTTACATTTCCCTCTGTATTTTCCCATGCACCAGGTGAGTATTTCACATGCCTGGACTTACCAAAAATGGGAAATCAATTAATTTCCCAACGTCAAACCTCCTTTCCCATGAACCAAACGTTGCCTATAGGTGATGCAATGAATCTAGTTGCTTGGTAAGGTGATTGTGAGGTGGAAGCGGAGTTGGTGGCAATGACATCGGTAGTGGGGTTAGTAGTGTAAATGGCAAGGGCAATGTGATGATAATACATGTGGTAAAGTCATGGACTAAAATATCGATAATATCACGAAATATCGAGGATATTATTGTTTTTTCGGGTCTATGATATTTTGGAACATATCCATACAGTGTACACATATCGTAAAAGTATCGATAACATCAGAAAATATCAATGTCTATAATTTCTCTTACACTTTAGCAACATTTGGCCAAAATATTGCTATAATATCGATAATATCGAGATGATGAAGAAAATGAAAATTTTGAATAGTTATTTACAATAACACACCCCTAAGGTTTCTTGTGTTTTCATAAAACCTCATCAAGTCTCAAAAATTACATGAACACCCCATGAGGTTTAGTTTGTTTTCACAGAATCCCTTTTCGTTGATTGTTTGTCCAAAAATGAATGATTTCATTGAAAAAAAAACTTATGCAAATGACAAAACTAACCTTGATGAAGTATATGCAATCTAATCTCAAAGGCCAACTTTGTCATTTGGATAATTTTTTGTATGTATAAAATTATCAATCTTTGGATGAAAAATCAATGAAAGGAATTTTGTGAAAACAATTTAAAACATTAGGGGGTGTTCTTGTAATTTATAAAACCTCAAGGAGTTTTGTAAAAAAAAGTCGAAAACCTCAGGAGGTGTTAGTGTAAATAATTCAAATTTGAACATTATAGGAACTTTATATGGTACTAAATCACTCATGTATCTTATCATGTAATGTATAAAGTGTAAAATATTGTAGTAAATCATTACAAATAAATGATTATGGTGTGTTTAATCTTATTTCATTAATTACTACATATTTTCTACACTCGCAGTGTTTGTCAGCTCGCTATATAATCAACTTAAATCAGTTAAACGCATCATGTAATACATTTCCTTCCAATTGTTTGTGATAAAGCAATAGATTATTGACTAAATAAACATCCTCCAAAGTTTTTTTTTTAAAATCCAAGTTTTTCTTACAATTTCCACGATTTTTGGACTACTGATATTTTAGACGTTGTGGTGATTGCATGCATGATTGTAGTTTTTTTTTTCCCTCTCAAACCTCTTAATATCTCGAAGTTTTATAATTGACACCTATCTTGATGATATTTAAATATAAAATTTTATGACATCAGATTTCTAATTATCTTTGCTTATGAACCTAAGGGAGTTGGTAAATGTAGCTTCAAAACTTTTTGACCTTTTATCAATTCCAAGTTTATTTCTTCAATCATAATATTAAGAATCATCACCGAGTTCTCCGGTTATGTCACCATGGACTTTTGATTTTTTTTAAAGTTTAAAAACAAAAAATAAGGAGAAAATATAAAATCAGAATTTTATTACGAAAAAAGGTATTATAAACAAGTTAGGCTTCAGATGGATCAGCCAAATCTTTTTCAACTCCTATTAAGACCGAAAGAAGCAGTTAGCCGGTCAGCATTCGGCTTGTATCTTAAACAACGTGGACCACTCTGATTTGATTCTCCACGATCAGTTATTTTATCAGAATCTTTTTTTTTCTTCTGAAAATGGCCACTCCCAGGTAAAATTATCAAAATAATTTATTAGTCGTTAATCTTTCCCAACACAAAATTCAATTAAAAAAAACACTAATTATTTTCCCTTTTTTTTTGGTTGGAATTATTTTCTGTTTTTTTTTGGAATTATTTTCTGTTTTATAATGCACAAAAAGATAAAAATTAACAATATAAGATTCCTTTCATATTCACAATACCGAGAAACCTACTATAAATATAGCACGCCTCCCCTGTTTACGTTTCAGTATACAATTCATTTGCTGAGAAACAGAGAGAGAGAGAGAGAGAGAGAGTCCTCATTTCAAGTCTTTTGCTCTGTGTGTTTTCTTCTCTTCAACTATGTCGCTGCTTTCAGATCTCATCAACCTTAACCTCTCAGACTCTACGGAGAAGGTGATCGCAGAGTACATATGGTCAGCCCCCTTTTCTCCTTTTCCCTCTGACTCTTCCTCTGTTTTCCATGCTTGAACATGGTATACGTATCTGTGCGTATTTGTACGTATTTTTGTATGTATGCAAATGGGTCTGCTTGTTTTGATGAATAAGGAAATAGGTTGGCTTTGGTTTTGTGTTTTGTTCTTTTGATCGACCACTTGAGGTCAAATGATTAAGTTGTGTTTTGTTTTTTTTGTCAAAATCTTTTCCCTTTCTCTGTTTTGCTGCTGAGAGATAAGTGAGAGTTAAAGGATGTCGAGTTCTGCCCTATATCTGATTTCCATTTTTGTTTATTTTTTTAAAAATTTTGTTCTATTTTTCTATGGATTATTTGAAATCCAACGGGGTTGGTTTACTTTTTGGAATCTTTGTATTCTTTCTGAGTATATTTTGTTGTTGTTGTTAGAGCTTTTGTTAGTTTTGATCTTCTTGTTTGCCTATTCATTGTGACCAAATAATAAGTTTTTAGAGTCCTGTTTCCTTTTCTTTTTTCTATTTGGTTCCTGAGATTCCAAAGTCTTCTTCTTTTTCCTATTTATTTTAGAAAGATATGGCTTGTTAATTTTGTAGTTGGGTGAGCTAAGAATCCAGCTCTTGCTCTTCATACTTTTATATTATTATATCTTTTCCGTGGAGTGTCACGATCTTTCTTGTTTTGGTTGTTGAGCTTTGATTAATGATTGGTATTCTGTGTTTTGTTAATTCTTCTCAGCTTTATTATGCTGTTACTTGGGATTTCTATAACTTGAATATATTGTTCAATGTTTATTTTTCTTTTTAATTTCATTCCAATTTTTTAAACTTTTAATTACTGTAACAGGATTGGTGGATCTGGTATGGACCTCAGAAGCAAAGCAAGGGTAATTAATTTTCTTGTTTATTTTCTAGTGGTGTAATCTTGTTTGGTTAATTAATTCAAATGGTAATAATTTTTTTTTTGGGTGTATGAAGACTTTGCCAGGACCCGTTAGTGACCCTTCAAAGCTTCCCAAGTGGAATTATGATGGTTCCAGCACTGGTCAAGCCCCTGGAGAAGATAGTGAAGTCATTTTATAGTAAGCTCTTCTAATTTTTCTTACTGCTTGTAAGGATCTGCTTCTAATAGTTTTCTGTTTTATTTTTTTAATCTGGGTTGTGGGTGTTTATTATATTTCTTCTTCTTTCTCATGAAATGAAACAGCCCTCAAGCCATTTTCAAGGATCCATTTAGAAGAGGCAACAACATTTTGGTGAGTTATCTTGATCTTCTATTATTTTGTTCTTCCTTTTCAATTCATTGGAGATATGGTCTGCTGTGATCTATTTATTATTTCTCTTTCTAAATTCATCTGTGTTTCTCAATGATGATCTAAATTAGGTAATATGCGATGCTTACACTCCCGCCGGAGTACCGATTCCAACAAACAAGAGGGCTGCTGCTGCAAAGATATTCAGCCATCCTGATGTTGTTGCTGAAGTACCCTGGTATCCTTTTTCTCATGCTACTGTTTTTATTTATATATATATATATATATATATATATATATATATATAACTTGGTCTTCCATTACACATGGTTAGTATGATTTATATACATACACGTCTTTGTTGCTTATTCATGTATTTTCTGTATTTGAACTTTGTGCACTGTAATCTGGAAAACAGGTACGGCATTGAACAGGAGTACACCTTGTTGCAGAAAGATGTCAAGTGGCCGCTTGGGTGGCCTGTTGGTGGTTATCCAGGACCTCAGGTAAATGGATGTTGCTTTCTTTCTAAGGCTTTAGATTCATTGTTATATTTTATGCTCATGAGTTTTCCGAATACTTACATGTCATTGTCACCTGATGCTGGCACAAACTTGATAACTTTAAGAATTCTTTGGACGTACATTCTTATGTGATGTTAATTATGCTTACTTTTTCTTATTTTATTTTTTCACATTGTTACAAGAACACAACTTTAAAATGTCGTTTATTGCTCAACAGGGGCCATACTATTGTGCTGCTGGTGCTGACAAAGCCTTTGGGCGTGACATTGTTGACTCGCATTACAAGGCCTGCCTATACGCAGGCATCAACATTAGTGGGATCAATGGTGAAGTCATGCCAGGCCAGGTAAAATTCACAAATTATATATTTATATATTTATAATCTTCCTTATATTTTCTTTTTCCTTCTTTGTTTCAAATTTAAAGTATTTTCCAAATCTAATCCATCAAACTTCATGTAATACAGTGGGAATTTCAAGTTGGTCCTTCTGTCGGCATATCCGCGGGAGATGAACTATGGGCTGCTCGTTACATTTTGGAGGTAACTTAACACGCTTGATTGCATAATAAACCGATAGTATTACATAAAGCTGTTGGTCAACGAATTTTTGGTTCCTATGTTCACAGAGGATCACAGAGATTGCTGGGGTGGTGCTTTCTTTTGATCCCAAGCCAATCCAGGTGACATATTTTCCTCTATGTTAAATACAGTATCTTTTATTTCAATTTACTTGTTCCATTACATAATAAGAGGCAACTGAACTTCGCAATATTGGCACATTTTTTTGAAACTTGGTTTGCGTACTGATATATATATATTTTGAATCCCTTGGTACTTCTAACACCAGGGTGATTGGAACGGAGCTGGTGCTCACACAAATTACAGGTATAATGCCAATTCTTTGTTGTCAAGGATTTGCCTGTCTTGGTCAAACTATTGTTTTCCTATAGGATGACATCTGAACTGTTGTATTTCAGTACCAAGTCCATGAGAGCTAATGGAGGCTTTGAAGTCATCAAGAAAGCAATTGAAAAGCTGGGACTAAGGCACAAAGAACACATTGCTGCATATGGAGAAGGCAATGAACGCCGTTTAACAGGAAAGCACGAAACAGCTGATATCAACACTTTCAAATGGGTAAAACTAAAAAACAACCTCATTCTTTTGTGTCCTTAATTTCATAATTGTATTCTTTGTTATATAAACAGTTGCTCACTTTCATTACTGTCAAATGATGGACAGGGTGTTGCAAACCGCGGTGCCTCAATCCGTGTTGGAAGAGACACAGAGAAAGAGGGCAAAGGCTATTTTGAGGACAGGAGGCCGGCTTCGAACATGGATCCATATGTTGTCACTTCTTTGATTGCAGAAACCACCCTTCTGTGGAAGGCATAAGCTCCCTCAGCCACACACCTGTGGTTGTGACAATATCACCATATCCTATAATGGGGTTGGAAATGTGTTCTACCAGATCCTTTTAGCAGGATCCTTCTGTGTCTTAGCTACTTACTAGAATTAGCCTTGTCCTTCAATTTTTATTGCGTTTTTCGTTTTCCCCTGTATTAAAGGGGTGCCAAGATGAGGTCATTGCTTCATTGCCTCATGATTATGCCCATTGTCTTCAATAAGTATCTGATATGGATAACATTCAAAGGGCTGGTTTTAATTGGGATTTTTGTTTTTGTATAATGTAATTTTAATATAATCTCCCTCCCCATTTGTTTCTGGTCATGTTTTATTTCTCAACAGCTCTGCAACTTGCTACATTATAAATTGAGCGACATGATACAATTGATGGCCCTTGTATTTTAGAACTGGGGGTATTCTGGGAACAACTTGCAAACGCATGACTTTATCTCTAGTGCTATTGTCGCAAGCTATTCCTATTTTTCCACCTGTTCAAGCCTATAATGCCCTTCAGTTCTAATTTCAAGTACGACGGCGGCAATGTCACATGTTTCCTTCTCTACTCCACTATAGATTAGTGGCAGCACTATTGCCACGTATTTCTACTTCCGCCAACGCAATTCCTCCCATAACGTCTACCCTAATTATAATTTCAGTTATTTTTGGGTAGGGGTGGGTGGGCATTTAAACCAGTGAGTCTGAAAAAACCCTACTGAACAAATAAAAGTCAACCTAGGCTAGACCGACAGTGGCCCTTTTCAGAAAATTAAACACCACATGGGATACGGCACGACGATATCTTAGTGGTCAGGCCATGCCAGAAATCTTAGGCGGCGGTGGTGTTGATTGCTAGGAGAGGGAACGTTGTCAAAAGGGTTTCACCCCATTTGGAAAGACCCCAGGCCCTCATCTGCTCCCTTAATAAATTATGTAAGGTCATGCTTAGCTAGTACTATTCAACACAAATATACTCGCTAAAAGCCTAAAATTGCGACTGCTAGCAAGATACAAACATTAAACCGAAATGTCTTAATGCTGACATGATCTTCATGTAAAATAATAATACAAAATTAACGGAGAAAAGGAAAGGTAGGGATTTTATACCAAGTCCCCACCATATGCTGCGCCCATAATTGTCTTTTTCCTTCCTTTCTTTAATGTCCCTTCTCATAAATAAATGAGTCATACCAGATAGATCCTATGGACGCCCTCTCTAATAGAAGTAGGGTCCATCAATGATACACAATGTGATACAACAATATGATATCTTTACTATTCTTCTAAACACATAAATTATGTATCACCAACAAAGTTCAAGAGTGTATGTACACATTTTAACAAACTAGTTAAAATTTTCCTCCAACTTGAGGTGTAATGATTGAGATAAATGTTTTAGGTCTTTTTTTTTCAAGAAATATCCCTACTAAATGAGTATCGTTTAACCGCTTGTCATCCTAGTCATTTGAAGTGTATTTGTCTAATTTGGTTATTGATAAATAGTTTTAATAATTGAATTATATTGGATCGACCAAGAATATGATGTGTGCACTTTTTTTTTACAAAGCGGACGTTCACTTTAGATCCTGCCTGGCATATCATAATCATATTTGACATTTTTTAAACTACTCTTCAAGGCATAATATATATATATATATTTGTAGATTTCTGTAGAGGCCCAAAAAATCCAAAGTTGGGCCTTGTGGGGGTCTTTATGTTCCAGCAACCTGACGAATGGGCTTGGGCTGCCGTAAGAAGAAAACGAACAGAAATTCCCCAAGTATCTGAGTTCAGAAACCAAGCTCCTAAAAGAGTTTTTGAAAGGTTTGATGAAATCTTAGAAAAACACCCTCAGGTTCTTTTCACCAATAGCCAAATAAACATGATAGATTGATTAATGGCTTAGCATGAGGAGCTTGTGGCATGAGAGCTAAGCTTTCACAAGTTTAGCAATTTGAGAGAGAGAGAGAGAGAGAGAGAGAGAGAGAGAGAGAAACACAAATTTCTTACAGAGAACGAAGGTTTGGAGTAGGGCAGAGGAAAATTAGGAGGATTTCTTTCTAACGGGAAGATGAAACAACTAGAGGCGAAAGTTAGGTGGCTTAAGTAAAATTCCCAGTTTGCTTGACAAAGCTTGGTCAGGCTATGGATGATGATTTTTCTGGGTAGAAGAAGCTCCCTTTTATAGGCACAAAGAATCCCTAATTTCATCTAACCTTCTCCCTTTTCGTTGCTCCTTCCCACTTGATCTTATTTGATGCAATTTTCCTATCCAAGGCGCATGGGTAAGGAGCCCTTTGTGGTTCCAAGGTTTTGACACAGCTGGTCTTCTCCATAAGGGTGAAGCGTCACCTACTTTCCCTTTGGTTTTTCAAGATGGAGCTTGCAATGGAAAAGCAGATGGATAGAGGCTTTTGTCCGATGGGTATTCTTCCTACACTCATGGGTTTCCGTTGGTCTCTGTCATGACTTATTATTTGACCATCTTGGAGTCCTAACAAGGGTGGAGCACGGTGACAGCTTTTCTACAAGTTGCTGGGCTGGGCTCGTGTGCAATATTGGGCTGTCAACACGTTATTTCCAGCGCTTAATGGGTTTTCGTCAAGCTGCTGGGAATAGCCTATTTAATTTTGGGCATTTTATTGATGATGGCTTTGTCTAAGTGCTATGGCAGACTATTAGATATCCTCATAAGGCATTGGATCATTTTCTCCCTTCTCTCATGCTAGCCCATGTGTTTAGGCTCAAGAAATGGACTTGAGTTTTAGGGCTCCCAAGCAACCCAAAACTTCAATTTCTTGGCTCATCAATGGGCCTCATAAAAGCTCGTTACCATCCATACCACAACCCACTCAAGCAAGCCCCGTGCATTTGTGTGGCTTGGGCCCACTTAAGCTTGTAATATGGCTATGTGTGAAATAATGATTTCCTGTTTGGCATGGCATGTCAATTGGTGTGCTTGAATTTTATAGTCTTTGAAAAGAGACATAATGCTTGACAAAATAATTAGCATGAGCTTGTAAAGCCAATGCCTGAGGCTCATTTTAATTCTTAGCGTGATAAATTGCATATTTATTTGGCATGGCACGTGGTCGTGGCTCGTGAAAGTGTGCATGACGAATTCCGCATGCTCCGAATTGGGTCTTTTCTTAATAAGGTGTTGCATTGGGCCAAGAATTTATTTGGGCCAAATCCTAGATTTTTTGGGCCTCAACAGGCCTAAATATATTTCTAGCCCAGTACGACACCTAACTTGGGAAGAAACCCGACTTGGATACGCAAGAGTTTGTCATATGCACTTGTACACGTGCCACACCAAGCAAATATACAACATGCCACACAGAAAAGTCGTAACAAGCCTGTAAAATGTACTGGTTTTATGAACCCATGCTCATTATCTCGTCAGGCGCCATTTTGGCCCAGCCATAGCCCTTACAAAACGGCAAAGCTTGAGCACAAGCACGCCAAATAACACGCCACGCCAAGCGGAAAATTTTTATTTTTGCACCAAGCCACGCTACAAGCTTAAGTGGGCTCAAGCCAAGCGAATGCCTAGGGCTTGCTGAGTGGGTTGTTGTATGGATGGTTACGAGTATTCAATAGGCCCATTGATGGTCCAAGGAGTGGAAGTTTTGGGCTGCTTGGAAGCACCAAAACTCAAACCCATTCCTTGAGCCCAAACATATGGGTAAGCATGAGAGAGAAAACCCAATAGCCTATTACCTTAAGAAAAGGCCTAAACATCTTAGAAAATATCCAATAGCCATAGCCCACAACACTTGGAAATATTCCACATTAGTCAAAATATCCAACACCTTGTCAAAATAACCCACGTGAACACAAGCTGCTCCCAGCACCTTGCAAAACCAAGGCAAACCCATATGCACAGGTTGCTAGAAGTAAATCACCTTTTGACCAGCACCCTTACCCATTCTTTCCTCTACAAGCTCTAGTGGGAAAACAAGAAAGGAAAAGCAAGAGATGCCTCATCTAGATAGAGGAGTCTAGCCGCATGAAAGTCTTGGAACTCCAAAAATCTCTGCTCCTATGTGCTATGGTTGGGGAGATTTCCCCAAAGAGGATTGAATGGAAGAAAGTGAGGAAAAATGGAGAAGAAGACTTGATAAAATTAGGGGCTTCCAGCGCTTATAAAAGGAGGCGCCTTCTACCCAGCAAAACAGGAGATCCAGAGTGAGTAACATCCTTACTAATTGTTGGAAGCTTCAATTTCAAGCTGTGTTCTTCCATCTTCTTCCTCTCTTTCCCACAAACACATCAGAGAAAGCAAGCATCACCTCTTACCTCTGGAACCCTTCGATTTCAAGCTTTATTCTTCAATTTCTTCCTCTTTTTCTCTTCTAGCAAGCCACCAAAGAGCCCGACGAAGTGTAGCATCCCACATTGACCAACGGAGATGGGGTGATGTGCCTTATATGTACATGCCTATTTCCATATAACACGAGACTTTTTGGGAGCTCACTGGCTTCAGAGTCATGAGAACTCCGAAGTTAAGCGAGTTTGGGATAGAGCAATCCCAGGATGGGTGACCCACTGGGAAGTTGCACGTGAGTTCCCAGAAACAAAACCGTGAGGGCAGGGGGGCCCAAAGTGGACAATGTCGTGCTACGGCGAAGCCGATCTAAGATGTGATACAAAGCTTTCGTCAAGCTGCTGAAAATTTGCTAAAGCCACCCATTCTTCCACCTTCATCTTTCCCTATCTTCCCAAGGTGTTTCCTAAGGCTTCATAAACCTTTCGGAACACTCTTGGGGCCTGATTCTTAAACTCAGACACAAGGGCAAGTCTACCCATTTGCTCTTTACAGCAGCCCAAACTCATTCATCTGTAGCTGTTGGAACAAAAAAAGCCCCTACAATTTCTTCACGCATCCTCAAAGACTCGTAGCTAGCTATATATATATATATAATTATTCTCTTATTTGAATGTTTATATATACGAAAGTGAGCCCTATAAGAATTTCCCTCAAATAAGTTTATTTAGGGATATATATCTTTAATTTAGGGATCCTCAAATAAAAAATTGCAGCGATCATAAACACTTTGGAAACCTCATCTACTAGAGACAAATACTTCAAAAAATTGGATATCGGTTGCGTTTGTATTATATATGTTGAAACTTGACAACTAGTAAAACTAAATGAAGCATTCAAGGACAGTTGAGCTAACTGTAGACAAAGTATTACACAGTCAACGACCAAAGCAAAGAAAAAACTTAAATGTTCCAATTGATCACAAGGCCTGCGTGGCCCGTGGACGACAGTTGGCCACCTTAACCACCGGTACTATACACCCTTTTCCAGCGGCCGGCGACGACTAACCACGAAAGCTTTTGTGTTTAGAACATCATCACTTCTGCCACATATTGCTGCATGCCTATGCCAAAACCCTGTAAAGTTCTTGTTCTTGTTCTTCCTCCCATTTGTTTTACCATCCATTAGTGACTTACTTCTTCCTTGTTGACGATTATCTTCAACAAGATTAGGAGCTTGTAACTTGAGTGGTAGCGAACATTTATCTCCGCACTCAAGGTCAGAGTTTGAGCCTCTGCCTCCCGGTTTGGCCTTGTTTCTACCAAGAACATCTCCAGCTAGGAACCCCTTAGACAGTTTGCCTTCACCACTAGACTCAATAAGTTGATCCAATTTCCGGGAAATACTCTCAATTTCATATGTATCAAGAAGCGATTGATCAGAGATACTCTCAACAACACTTGGTGATTTCAACCCTTCAAATTCCATGCCTTGTTTATTAATATTAGAAATCAACATAGCTTCTAGCTTGTACCTGGATGGTTTATAAGGAGCATGACAAGTCCTTCTGACATCAAATTCCGGCATAACTGGTTTGCCGTCGGTCCCGGATCCATGTTGAAACCATGCCCATGCAGCTGCCTTTACTAACGCCAATTCATCATTGCAGCTTCCCCTACTCTTTCTTCTCTCCATGACGAACGTTTAGAGTTTATGACTTTATAGAGTAATAATAGGGGATAAGGGGTGTCAGTTAATAGCATGGAAAATGAATGGACACGTAGGGGGGTTTTGGAAATATGTGGGAAAAGAAAGTTCCACGCTATAACGATAGCAAATTTGGTGTTTGTTTTAATTTTTTGTATAGTTGTCTCTACCATTTTTCCGAAGTAAAGGGTACGAAATCTCATGCGACTGTTCGCATCTTTGGGTGCAATTTGGTCCTGCGGCTAGCATTGTCAGAATTGAATACGATCTTTCAATGGAAATGGGCATTGGGGTCCCTAGAAGTCTAGAAAGCTTTATGGTGGGTGGAAAGTTGGGGGTCCTAAAATAACTTCCAAGGGTGTTTGCAACTTTGTGTATGTCTCCTTTCTTACATGAGAATTATTTTGCGTCTGTTTCCCTCCTCATTGATTTAGACACGCACAACGATTTAGACCGTGACATGAAAGTTTCTTCAAACACCGACCTTGTTACAGTCATTATACTGTTATTACTCGTTGGCCGGAAAGGTTAATATTATTTTTTTAAATGTCGAAATAATGGTATTTTATCTTGGATGGAAATGAAATTTGAATCCCATTAACTGATTGCTACATATATATCCAATAAACTAGGTGCAATTACGGCACGCCATTGCTTGGCATTGGATAAGAATTAATGCTCATGATTACCATTCAATTGTCATGGTTGAAGATGCAGCAACGTGTAGCGCACGAAGTTTCCAATATCTCATTTTCTTTTTGGCTACAAAAAATAAACCTAGAGATTACAACACGAATAATTCTCATTAGTGTGATAGTCACACCTTCACATGGTTTCACAATGACCAATTAAATATTTGATATCTTAAATAACAGTCCTCTTGTATTGAGGGATTCCTCAAATAATTTTATTTGATGGATGCCCTTTAGGGTACCTTACAATTTTTTTCCCAATGATCCAAATTATCTATTTTTTAGGTCTTCATTCATAGATCATCCTTACAAAAAAAATTAGACAAATTGAAAACCGTTTCGACATCCAATTGTGTCTTATAAAATCAATGAACACGGTGCTTCAAGAAAGTACTAAAATTTCAATAACTCACATGAGTGGTCAAATGATATCGAATTCAAGTAATTTTTTGTAGAGATGATCTTTGAATGATTATCTACAAAATAGACGGTTTGGATTAGTAAAATACAATTTGGAGTGGAGCCTACAAAGGGTGTCCCTCAAATAAGCTTATTTGAGGGATCCCTCAATAGAAACTCTTTGTCCTAAATAATATCAGAATGAAAAACACACACACACACACACACACACACCACACACACACACACACATATATATATATAGCTTTTATTGAGGGATTCATCAAATAAGTTTATTTGAGAGACACCCTTGTAGGGCCCACTCCGCATTGTATTTTACTAATCCAAACAATCTATTTTTAGACAATCATTCAAAGATCATCTTTACAAAAAAAATCACTTGAATCCGATATCAGTTGACCACTCAATTGAGTAATTGAAATTTTAGTATTTTCTTGAAGCACAGTGTTCATTGATTTTGTAGGACACAATTGAATGTCGAAACTGTTTCCGATTTGCATAATTTTTTGCAAGAATGATTTATGAATGTAGACTTAAAAAAATATGTGGTTTGGATCGTTTCAAAAAAAATTCGTAGGGGACCCCAAAGGGTGTCCCTCAAATAAAATTATTTGAAGGATCCCTATATATTTATAATCTCATTCTAATGAAGGATTCTTCAAATAATTTTATTTGAGGGACACATTTTGGAGTCCCCTACGAATTTTTTTCAACGATCCAAACCATCTATATTAGTACTTGGTTGGCACCAACGAGGTGCTAGTTGAATTGACCCAGAGACCTTGATCTTGATGTGCTTCCAAGTAATTCTGAGTTCAAGTACCCATAATATTGTGTGTGAGTTTCTCCCTATCGTAACTTTGGTTAAAACAAAAAACACTTGGTTTGCCTAAAATGCAAAAGTTGAAGCAACACACAGGCCAAATGATTCCAAAGTCCCACCAAATTCCAAAACTTGGAGTACATATTACTAAAGAGTGAATTGTGCTAAGTTAGGAAATAGGACAAACAGAAATATTTCGAATTTAAAAGGAGTAGGTTTAACCAAAAAACAAAATGGAGCAAAACACCAACAAAGTGGTTCCAAAGTCCCATCAACGCTAGAAACCCCCACCTGTCACGCATAAGGCTTCGTAGCACTTGCGATGAGGACAAATCAAGCTGAAAAGTGCCATGAGAAAAACCCGTATGTCACGAGAATATACGTGTGATGGGACGTGATTGGTTTAAGAAGAGTTTAATCCTTGGACTCAAAATATCGCTACATTTTTAACATTTCTTCCTAACATTAATTTTGAATAACCCTAAATTTTCGAGTTGTCTGTACATGAACACTAAGCATAACTTCCAAGTTTTTTTGAATTTGAGCAAAAGTAGGTGCAATGGTAATGGTATAATGGTTTTGCATCATAATTAGTATTGCTGAAAATAAATTAGAAATAAATCAAACTTAAACCAAAAGTAAAGCCAATACTAAAATACACGGAAACTGGAATTTATACCAACACTGATTGAGAGTTATAGCTGGTGCTAATTGGCTTAACTACGAAGAGGATTTTCTTCATTCATGCGGGGCTGTAACCGCTGCTGCGACAAGAATCGGCAGCCCGGCGGCTTAGATTTTACGATTCCTAGAAGGAGACTTTTGAAGTTCCAGACGCTTGATTTCATCTCTCAGATCTTGCAAATTGACTCTGGTAGATTGCTGTGATGTTTGGGTAGTGCTATTACCATTTAAGCTCAAAAGATGCTTCAAACATTTAAGATACTCTGCCTTTACTTCAGGAAACTCAGCAATTGACTTCTCAGTTACAAACTACAAATAGATAAACAAATAAATAACAAAACAAACAATTGTAAGGCATATCAAACATTGAAAAATTTAAGGCTAAGATGTTTATGATGAAACGATATCACAACAGTCTTGCATTAAAAATGTGAAGAAATTGGGCACAATTTTAAAAGGCAAACTCCACTAAGTGTACCACTGACTTCCCACAGTATTTTCCATTAGTTAGTACCCTATTACTTTACACTTTCTTGTGTTACTAAACATGGTTTGTTTGAACCTGCTTTTGGAATAGCTAAAAGCGCTTATGTTCTGATAGTGTTTGACATAAAACTAAAAATGTTTATGGGTCTTAAAAATGCTTTTTGGAGAATCATGTGCTTCTTTTGGACTTTTAATAAAATTTCCATGTGCTTCTAATAACAAGGCTTCTTGCAAAAGCGCCTATGAGCAGTTATAATACCAATATTGTTTCAGAGCTGAAAAAAAATAACATCAAATACTCTCAGAAAAGGGTACCTCTTTGTAAGTAGAAATGCATCTTAATAGTGCATTCTCAGCTTCGGAGTTAGGTAAACACTCATCCTGCTACGTTATGCAAACAAAGTAATAGGTCAGCAAATTTGAATTGGCAGAATATAAGATGAAAAGTAAGTGCAAATCACAGTTTTTCTTTACTGTACTAATGAGCTGTAGAAATAAGTATTGGGGTCATTATTAAATCTTTAGATGATTAATACTGTATGCAAAAGCTAATGCCTAACAGAAACAGAAACTGTAATCTGAAGAGGTTATTTGAGGTCAGCTCAGGCCTCAACAAGTACTCAAAAAGAAGTTACATGAAAGCATCCAATTTGAATCTTGATGGAAAATGTAATTTGAAAATGTATTTATAAATCAGCTGCTTATGGTTGTGGCCATTACTTTAAATCAGCTGTTTATAATTAGTGGGCAATTACTTTCTACAACTCATTTGTACCATAACCAGCCAATTTATGACCATATCGTCTTCAAATTTGTGATGAGCACACACTAGTTCTTCATGACCATTAGAGTTTTGGATACTAACCTTTGACTCCTGTAACTCTTGCTTATTGATCGCTAAAAGGCCAAGAGCATCAAGCGCTTGCAACTGTAAGTACATATATCCATGAAACCCAAAGTGGAAAATGTCTATAACAAAATATGTTCTAACATTAACATAATAACAAAATATAACTGCACTCTTATACATAAAATCCACTCAGAAGCACCTAAAATTAATATTATAACAAAATATAAGCATATGGTAGTGAAATCATTTTTCCTAACGAACACTTATTATCCATGTTGCTGATGTGTAATGAACAAAGTCTCCTTAAGCACAGCTAAAGAGTACTCTTTAATTGAATTATAACACTTCTTTTTTGGTCGGAGAATTATAACACTAAATCCATTGGCTTTGTGTTTTTCTTTAAATTTGAAGTAGAGAATTATGCCCGTTTGGCAATAATTTGTTTTTTCAGCTTTTAAGCAAAAAGTATTTTTGATAGCTTTTTATTTAAAGAGTACGTAATAAAGTTGGGGTAATTTCTGAAAAACACTTTTTATTGGACTCTACCTGATTTCTGATCCTCCTACTTTATGATTGGTATAGTAATTATTTTATAATCTAACACTCTCCAATGATAAAGTGTAAAAAGGACAATATCTAAATTTCCTACTGCATTATTTCTTGAATACTTCTTTTCTAGGAAATTACAATATGATGATACTTCATGAATTCCAATCGTCATTTTAGTTTAGATTCTCAAATCCGGTAATACCAGCAGCAGTGAATAATGTAAAAGAAATAAGAGATACAAATTACAAATTTATACAAGCAATACATTTGACTTGATTTAACAGAACAGAACCAGAGATATGCATTCAGAAATCCATGCATAAAATTACGAAAAACACGTGTGTGGAGAGAGAGAGAGAGAGAGAGAGAGAGAGAGAGAGAGAGAATTATACTGAAAAATCCACATTCAATGAGGAATACATTGTTTGCGATGAAGAAAACTGACCAGTATGACCAATGCCACACGAAAATTCTTTCCAATGTCACCTGATGCTCCATAACTATGTATCTTTCTATTTTGCCTCATTGATTTATCTAAAGAAGACCATGCTATCCTATTACAGAAAATAAAGCTGTAAGCATTTACACAGATGAATTCGTATAAAATGGGAATAGCAAAGCCTAGTGATATTTTCAATATTTCGAAAACATTTCATGCATAGAAACATACAATAACTAGTTTGTGATACAATATTGACTGAATGAAAGAGTGAAACATACAAAATATAAAGTACATAAGCTATAATATACTCTACGTGCCAAGTACCAATTAACGTCTTCATACATCTCACAAGCTAACATTCTCTCCTCAGCCAAAGGCAAAACTAAATAGGTATTAATAATATCCTATTTAAATTGACCTCTTCATGATCATATTAACAGCCACTACAGAACCTAGGAAGATATGATGACTAAACAGTTCAATTTGAGTCCCACTAACACATGTTATTTATTCATCGATAAACTCGCAGTTTCGTATGAGGTGGGAATGTTTGCATGCATTAAAACAGAAATTCAAATCTGGAACCAGTAAGTAAATTGGAAACATCAGCACTGCACAAAAAGTATTAGATTCTCTTTAGTATAACATAGAGAATATTCGCAAGTCGCATAGAAATTCAGGATAAAACAAAAATGAACAATTTAGTGTAATCAGAGATTCTAGTGAAAGAAAACAATGACAGGTTTTGTTTTGAAGGGTAAATTACAGAGGACTCTAATTATATTGATTAGCACATGATTTTCGATTCCATTTGAATGGTTACAAACTCTTTTGCTTAAAATTTATGAGAAAATACAACAAACCTTATGGACTCGTTTAACATATCTCTGGCCTTCTCAAGCTCACAAATTGCTTTAGAAGTGTCCACCTTCTTTAGTTGGTTGGAATTGAGCATTGCCACTCTAGCAATGTGAAGCATGTTTGCACCAATCTGCCCATTGACACAGAAAATCAGGCCCGTTGCAAAGTGTATGCTATATTTTCCTTTAATGGAATTATGGGTAAAAAGTACCCAAAAAATTTGACAGAATGACAGCTCACATTTCAATAAACACAGAAATTTAATCAAATCAACTAAAGGTTATTCCAAGAAACTGGTCAACTATATGAGTCATTCTCATTTATGAGACCGCTTGCAACAATGTTCAGCATTGTCTGTCATTGCAACCCTCTTCCTTCTATCTAAACAAACATGACACGAACTTGTGTCAATACGTAAATATGTAGAGGTTTAAATATGTAAATTTGCTATATACCCAAGGCCCCAAGTATTAAAAACCTTTTTCATTACTTTTTCAACTGAAAAGTCAGTCTAACATGAAACTTCAACTATTATAGGGAATAATAAGAAATCTTGAGGTATGGATGCAGTTAATTGCTGCAAAAGAGAACAAAGCCAGGTAAAAATATCTTGTATTGTAGAGAGTCATGATTTACGCCCAAAAAAATAGTTATTTGTCATAATACAAAATAAAAATGCTTCTATGTATTCATAATGAAATAAGACGAAGTATAATGAATGCTCCTAAGAATCATAAGCAATCAAAATATATCTGTCACAGCATTGAGGATATTTTTATGAGCTGAATTCAAAAGCAATTAACCTGAATATGGTCTTCAGGAAGTAAGGTTTTCCGAGCATCAAGACACCTGTAAGGAAATTAGTGAACAAAATTCTCTAACAAGTAATGCAACATCACTTCTTTCTGATCTTCAATTACAATGCTCTTTACCTTTCAAGAAGCTCTTCAGCTTCCTTTAAGCTCCCAGCCGATTGTAGGATCAATGCGAGCCCTTCAGCTGTTATTACCGTGTCCAATGAATTCCATCCCTACCTTGCAAACAGAGTAAACAAATTTAGCAAATAAATTTCTTTCCTCCACATAGCCAAACATGACGCACAACCCAAATTTATAACTTCCTGTAAGGCACTTATTCCTAGCAAGCAGATGTGAACATCAACGACCTCACCTTGAAACACCAAATAAAAATACCGACAAAAAAAGAAAATAGAAGAAGACAGACAGTGAAGCTATAAGATAAGGAAAAACATGACTCGTGAAAGTGCTAAAATATTCAACACATGCTTCCCATACACTGATGCCTGACGAGAGCTTAGGATTTCCAAACAGCCTAAAGCCTCATGCTGTAAGACATTTAACAATTCTAGGACGTCGTCACCAAAGTCAACTCCCATTTTAACAAATGTAATCAGATAAGTGGCCAATTTCTACCATTAGCATATTCAGTCATCTTGTTTAGTTTTTATTTATTTTTTGGCCACCTTCATCATCAAAAAGAGGGGCCTACATACGCCATGTAGGCAAAATTCATCAAATTTAACGGACGGTAGGCTGAACTTGTATCACAACACAAACTTGAGGGTTTACATTGCAACGTTTCAATACTTAGGTAAAAAATAAAATGATCCCCATAGTTCAGGGGTGTAAAGTGTAATTTATTCAAAAAGATAAGCATACATCTCGCTGTCTCAATGCATATATTTAAGCATGCACCAAACGGTACGTAAGAATCTGTTTGGAATAAACCAACTTTTGCATAAATATAGTGAAAAAGATAAAGATAAAAATCAAATATCAAACCTTTGTCAATTCCATTATATGCAGAATCTTTCTTTGTACCTTCTCAGCCTCCTCAAGACGGTTGGATTTCATATATATCTAGAGAGAGAGAGAGAGAAGCAAGAACTTAATTACACGTAAGTGCAAGATTAAGAAGTCCAATACAAACCTACACAAAGGTACAAATATTAAAATCTGAGTCCTACGAAGACAAATCCACAAAAGGTACATCAAAATATGTTGTACGGTTTTTTGTAAAATAATTTATAATAAAGCACAATCAAGCTTTCTTTTTCTTCTAAGCACACTTATATAAGGCTTCAAGATTCTATGAAGTGTCATATAATGATTTAATAAAGGACCAAATCTTTATATGATTTTTAGGACAGTTGTTAGAAAAATGCTAAATATTCCATCAAAATCCAATGATCTTTAACCGGTATCATAAACAAGCAGGGCGTTTCACGAGAAAGAGAGAACTTAATCTTGGAAGCCTAAGACCAAAGCATTGGGTTTGAAACATAGAAAAGAGGTATTTATCAAGGTAATGTTCTCTAAAGCAGAAGGCACCCTCATTTGCAAATGATTTCAAGCCTTCAAAAATTGAATCCTTTATATAGGGAAATGGGTTCAGTTATATCCAAGAATTTCCAAAATGGCGATGGACTAACTTGTTATAAAACTAATTTAGAATAAAATCTCAAAATAGCAAGCTTTCATGAGATGTTCAATCTAAGTTTACCCTCAGCATCAATGGAAGGGAAGGATTATGTAACATGCAGGATGTCAATGTTAAGTTCTGATGAAATACAGTCAATTTTACATATAACCTTCAGTTCAACCTTCTAAGAAACGGGACTTCCCCTCACAATTCAAGCTTTCACGTGACATATACACCCAATCCTCATATATAATTACATTTGAAACAAGAGTGAAACTGGCAACCTGGAAGAAAAGACAACCTGAGCAAGATTTCGCAGTCTCTTGACACACATTATTGACTCCCCTTGGCCACCATCCTATATAGTCAAACAACAATTGGGAGTAAGAATATTAAAGCTCAAACAGTGAACAAAGTACTCTAGTGGTTCTTGACCTCGAGTATTCTAATTTTTTTTTGGGTCAAAATTGACCTCGAGTATTCTAATAGAATCCTGAATAAGGGCCTCCGAATCCTTTCCTTTTCCTTGGAGATGTAGCACCTGCAGTCAAAACTACACCTAATTAAATAGGTTACCGAGATATGTAAGAAACACGAAAGCAAAGAAACTAAAGTTTAGGGGGCTATAATACACAGGATAAAGCTAAAATTTCCCAATTGATTTAGCAAGAGCTTTGAACTCTTGATGACATGTGAGGATACAATTCATATTATCTCATTGAATTCCTCACAAATGCAACAATTAAACATCTAAACTTCATATGTGATATATCTTTTATAAATTTACGACATGTAAAATGAAACAAATGTGTGCTGCAGACATATATGACCTTAAAATTAAAACATAACATAGTCAGATCTGGTTGGTTGTCTGACACGCTCTATACTTCTCTTTCTTCCATCCCTTTTCTGTCTCTTACTATTCTTCTCTTTTCTCTCCTCTCTTAAAATCTATGTCTACATCAAGAGAATATCTTCGAAGCACAATAAACACAGATTAACAGAAAAAAGAACGTAGGTATTATCACGCAAGGATTCAAAAAACTACCATTCCAAGATGATACATAGTATCTGCATAATCTGTATGATTAAGACCCAGAACACGGGCCTTGATCTGAAAAAGGCGATTACAACAATGAGTTAGCAGTATAAACACTCACACTCCTACATGTATGTAAAAACAGCCCAGGCTAATACCTTCAAAGCACGCTGTCCAAATGTATCATCAATCCGGCAGAAATGTGAAAACCAGCAAAAGATCAGCAGTTACAAATAGGAAAAAATTATCAAATCAATGCAAACATTATCCATGCCTTGCTTAAGAAATGATGCTGATGGTATGTTGGGAGGAGATGCAGGATGCAAATCAAATAACTTCAACTTTTATTACACAGAAATATAATCAAATGCATCTATACTAGGTGCACCCCAAAAATAATACCAGTCAGAATAATTCTGGATAAACCTGCCAAAACATACAAAGATCTCCATATCCCTAGATCACGAGCATGACCCTCAAACCAATCACATACTATATTAACATTACATAAAAGGATAGAAAAGACCACATAGACCCTGTTGATGAACCTATAGTCATAACAACAAAACATGTACTGGATATAAAAGATTTTAAAGTTATTACCTCATAGCAAATGCGAGCTTCTTCCAGCTTCCGTTGCACAATATAGAACTGCCCCAGGTTGTGAAAGGCAGACCCAACTCTGTGGACAAGTGATCTTGCATGAGTGATTAGTGACTCATCATAGAGAGCATAATCGTTTAGGTCATGTTGGTAACATTATTGTTTTTGTTTTTGGAATTTTATTTTTATTTTGAATTAAAGATAGGGAAGGAAAAATGAGAGGATGGTGAGAAAAGAGAAGATAAAAGTGAGAGAGGGAGGAGAAAATGTGTCTGGAATGATTCCTAAGATAAAAATTAAAAAACAATATCAAACAGTTTCCTTTTTAGTTTTAGTTTCATGTATTCTCTCTCATGTTAACCCTGTCAGATTGTTCCCTCGTTTATAACACTAGAAGACTGTTTTTCAAAGTTTACTGTCATTGTTAATTTTGTCAGACTTGCATGATTAAGGAGAAATACTAACGAAATAGAAAACAAACTTTATGTTATGCACCATAGCACAAAATCTACTTATTTCAGTTCCTTCCATCAAAATATATGCAGTACAGCACCCATACAAAGGCACATACGTTGCTCCTTTTATTCCCCTTTTAGATAAGTAATAAATTTTTAATATTGAATCAAGGCTTCTCTATTAAACGGATAATATACAAGAGAACCCAGAAAACTCTCGACTAAAATCTAAAATAAATAAAGTCCTCAGAGATGAAGACAACTCTTCATCAAGAACAGCCAATGATAGGAAAAGTTGCAAATCTGAACATCATCCGTCACCCTGACCTTTCCTTATCACTTTTTTATAGGAAGCTTTCGTTATCTTTGAAAATCCTGGCATCTCGTTTGTTCCAAATACAACACGGGCATAAGGGAATTGGTTTTACAATTTCCCTATAACAGTGTTTGCTAAAGCAACCAATCCAGAACCAAACTTTGAGACTGCTTTACGCAAAAACCAATTGACCCAATGAATGAAATATGAACATAGATCCCTCGCAACTAAACAGTGGAGCAATAGATGTTCCACTGGTTTCTCACTGCACTTACACATACAGCACCAAAATGCAATGGCAATACCTCATTTCCAACTCATAGCACCAAATATTCCACCAAAGGAAACATAATTGCTAATGAAAAGTACGAACTCTTCCTTATTCCAGTAAGATAGTGATTCCCAAAGATCACAAAGCACTTAACATACTATTAGCACCAAAGAAGACATAAGTAGTCTCTAGAAAGCTATTGGAAAAAATTCTAAGACTAAGCTCATATAGGTACCCATAAAATAAACAGACCAAGAATTATAATCTTTCACAATTTTCTATTGGCATTCCCACTGTTCTTAAGTTTTTTAACTCCTAAACCATTGACTTTCAAACCACATAAGAAGCTGGACAATGAAAATCAAAGCTCAATTGCTGATTGGATATCACCAGACTGATTAAAACTTGAAGAAGAGACTGAAACCACTAGTGTCCAATCACTGGTCGATTTTCTTCGAAGAAAGAATTTCTCATTATATATCTCAACTGTTCTTACATATGTTCCTGAAATCAATGACCCCCTATCATCATAACAACTTTGAATTCTCTTGTATGTTCAAAGGTAGTATGGCAATAATGAATGTGAACTAATGCTGTGGAAGCACAAACTGTAAGACATGTAGAGTATTGAGTAAGTTATGTTTATGTTCAACCTAATGCCTTGAATTTGTTCTAAAAAATCCTGTAACGAATACTGCTTTTGATGATATGTTCTCACTCCAACATGAAGGTCTATAAGATGCACTGAGAACTACAACCTAATGAACTTTCATTTCAGACCCTCTCCTTGCCCTACATGTATTTTTACATATTCTTGATTTATAGGTTAGATACAATCAATATTGATTTTTCAATTCCTGTTCATATCAAACTAATTGCAAAACAGAAAATAATAATAATAATAAATTATACCAACAAAATAATTAAATGCAGCCATCATACGCTATGAAGCTATAGAAATGCAACTTAGTGTGCTTTCAAATGTTACACACAAGATATGGTCAACCGGAATTTTATCTTTATCATTAAATAATTAATGTGTAAGTATTCTCTGCTATAGCCTGCAGAATGTCCATAGTATACCGTATATCTTCAGGACCAAATGATTCCTCAAGTATGCTGATGGCGTCCAAGTACAATGGCTCTGCTTTATTATATGCCTTATTCACTCTATAGAGCTCTGCCTGAAACAATAACAACAGAAAACTACAACTTGACATTACATACAAGGGTCCCAAGAAGAAGAAAAAAAAAGCGCGTATACATACTTACAGTTCCTTTGATGATAGAAATGACAACCAGAACCTAAATTTTGTTGTCAATAAAAAGCAAGCTTCTGGATCAATTAATTCCTAGTATTTACAGTTTAGTCATATTCTTCTCTTTTTGGTCATCTACAATTCTCACATGGACTTAAGGAGGATGACCATAATAACAAATTGAGAATAAAGGCAGTAACAAGGCACGTACTAGGTTGTTGCATGCAGATGCAACATGCGGATCCCTCTCCCCAAAACCTTCTTTAGCTTCTTGTAAAGCTAAGAGGAAAAGCTTTTCAGCTTCCTCCAATTTCCCCTAGCAGATGCAACCAAATAAACCAAAGATTTTGGTAAGATAAAAACACTATCAAATGAACAAAATAAGCAAGCCAACAAAGGAACGTAGGCATAGAATCCTTTCCTGAAGGAATAAATCCCTCCCTTTATCAGTAAAAACTCTCCACTTAGAAGTATGTATATTTGATATGACAGAGCCGTCCTCAATCTTGCTTAATCCCATGGCTTCAGCCCCTTCCATGTCATTTTCAGGACTTGATTCAATTGATGCATCTTTTGCCAAGACAGTGTTGGAATGTATCGCAAGAATAATTGCTGCAAAGATAATAGAATAGCTATTGATAACATAAGTTATATGGTTATATGGTTACTTCACCACATGGCCTTAGATTTCTTGCAAAAATTATCTGACTAATTGTGTATATAAAGTAGCTAAGAGTACAAACATTTTGCATGTCCTGAAACATAAAATACTTTATTTTAAGCACTTAAAAATCAGGTTTCCCAATATGATTCGACAACATTACATTCATATAAAACAGCTAATACCCCAGGATAATAAAATAATTCAGAAAGAACTCAACTCAATAAAACCAAACTGCTTATTTGTTGGGGTCATCTACATGATCTTACATTTACCTCAAACCTAAGGCAGAGGAAATTTGGAATATGGATTAGATAAATAAGTATTTCATTAATCAGATTATAGGTAGACTAAGCTAGATAAAGCATAAAAAAATTAAAAATTTTAAAAAAAAACAATAAAAAAAAGAGAAAGGAGGGGGGGGGAGGGGGGAGACATGATAATCTGAGATAGAAAAGAGAAGTAGAAACTCTTTTTCAATAAAAATTCCATCTTTTAAATTGGCTCATAAAAGAGGGTTCTTCTAACCGGATTTTTCAAAATACCCATATGCTAATTATCAGCATATAATGATTAAGCATGCATATACACTCATTCCAACTCTAAAATCATAACATATCTCATTTATCATTTATTATATTCCAAGAGTAAATGGGTTGTAAGAGATGTCACATACCTGCATTTCCAGATAGAAAAAGCCATACACGAGGGTCCCTGTGACTATAATTCATCCTCCAACTAAAATCTTTAGGACCATGATATTGATAAGAAAATTTGGTACGGCCTGCAACAAGAACAGCAACAATACACCTTCCTTAATTACAAATTGATTATGTATGCGCTAACGTCAACTTGCTTTGGTGATTAACATCATAAGATTCATAAGATGAAAAGTTGCGTACTGGAGAGTGGAATGGTAGTTGCTCCGGAAGTTGAAGATACAGTTTGAGAGGGCAAACGGAAACGCCTCTTGATCAGGTTAGCTGCTGCTTGTCGCAGAAACATCTTCGTCTCACTTATTTTACGGTGCGAGAGAGAGAGACAGAGAGACAGAGAGAGAGGTTTAAATTAAACCAACGTGGCGTGGCTTTCACCTTTGTGGGTTTTAGTTCTCTCGCTCTTAAACCTCTCTTCCTAAGGACCAGCAGCAGGAGAGCTGTTCCGAAATTTTTTATTTTTTATTTTTATTTTTTTGAGTGCAATGTCTGTCGGTACTATTGGAGAGCAAGGTTCGGATTGGATTGAATTTACTCTCAAATTGTAGTCAAATTAATTACCATATTGAATCGGTTTGGTGTGATTTTAACTAAAATCACATGTGAAATCAAAACAAAACAAATCATTGTTGTGCAATTTGGTTTGATTTGGATTCGCCCAATTTGGACCTAAGTTCGGTGTTTTTGTTATTCTTCATTTTTTCTAGTTATTTTCAAGCATGTTAACATCTTCTTTTTTTGACACAAAGTTGATGGTAGTTTATTAATGATGAGGAATGAAACAAATATAAAAATTGGGCTTATTTCTAAGGATTAGGTGAGTGTCTCTACATTAATGGGCGTTATTGGTCGTCGGCTATTATGTAGTCTACCCTCTTGTTGAGGCCAAAAAATCTCAAGGAAGGTTCGTGTATAATTTTAGGCTCAATTCATTACCGTGCTATAAAAGGGACACAAATGCCCATCAAATACGGTTACAAAGTGCCTAAACAAACTTTGATATTCGCGCCATGCCAAACGAGACTAGAATTTGGCATGTGGGGAGGTCATGATACAAGTAGGGGCGGAGCCACATGCAGGCTTGCCATGGCCATGGCCCCCCCAAACTCCATGAAAACCCTATTACTTCTTAAGCATTAATTACAATATTAGTTAAAATATAACTCTTTATAACCTTGCATTTATAGCCCCCCCCCCCCCCCCCCCCCCCCCCCCCCCACCAGCTTCTAGCTCCGCCACTGGATACAAGTTTACCAATTTCATATGCCAAACGTGTAAAGTTTAACAATGTCACATGCTCAAGCTCACTTAGCCCACTTCTTCGTCAAGCATTATCTAACATAGCCCCTAGCCACTACAATACAATGTAGCCCAAGCATAAGCACGCAAATAACATGTCATGCCAAGCGACTCCCTTTAGTGCCAAGCCACCCGACAAGGGCCCAAGCCACATACATGCCTCGGGCTTGTTTAGCGGGTTATGGTGTGGATGGGTACGAGAGTTCATAAGGCCCATTGAGGGTTCAAAAGGTGGAGGTTTTGGGCTACTTGGGAGCACCAAAACCCAAGTCCACTTTCTTGAGCCCAACACATGGGTAAGTAAGAGAGAAATTCCAATACCCTTTCCCTTGAGATTGGACTAGCCTTACTAAATTGAAATTGAAACCCTTAAAATTCAGTTTACATAAATATCTAGTCTAATGAAAGAGATAAGCCTCAACCTTTCCATTTGCTCATCACCCTTACCCATCTTTACCCATATAAGATCATGCACGAAAAGATAAAGGAAGGCCAAGCTAGAGCATTGTCTGGAAATGAAGCTTCTACAAGGTCTAGTTGTAGGAAGGTTTTGGGGCACCAAAATGTTTTGTCCCAATAGCCATGGATTTAGCTGATTTTCAGGAAACTTAACTGATTAAGGCCATATTGGAGAAAGTGAAGAGAAAGAAATGAGAAGACTTGGACAAATGAGAAGAAACCATCTAGGATTTCTGGGGTAAAAAAGGGTTCCAGTGCTTATAAAATGAGGTCATTGGCTACCTAGTAGGGGGGACTCAACTCAACCAAAGTAGTGGATCGAGCTTATTCTCTAACTGCTAGAAACATCAAGCTCAATCATCTTCCCTTCCATCTCCTCCTTCTCTATCTTAAAAAGTCAATGCAAGCAGAGGAACAAGCATACTCTCCCACTCTTGGAAGCACCAGATTCAAGCTCTAGTTCTTTCAACTTTTCATTCTCTTTCTCAAAAAGCCTTATCCTATATTTGAAACACCTATCCTCTTAAGCTAAGTTGAAACCATAGTCATCACCTTCTTGGTGAGAAAACCCAAACATCGCAAGCCCATCCTCTAGCTGCCAGAAACACCTAGAATCTTAAACCTTAATCCTTCCATTTTTGTTCACTTTGTCTTAGAACACCATGCCAAGTCTTAAATAGCACCCAAACATTTCTACAAGTCACCATTCCAAGATTCAAGCATCATGGTTAACTTTCTCTATTCCAAGAAATCCATTCAAGTTGCTGGAAGTATTCAAGAGCTACAGGAAGATATAGTCTAGCTACAATTCCAAGCTTTTCCCTTTCCAACTCTCTCTCTCTCTCTCTCTTGCTAAACTTATGGGCTCTTAGCTTCCATGCAACAAGCATCTCATGTCAAGCCTAGTTATATCTTGATTCACCAAAGCAAGCTCTCATGCGAAGCCTGTCCAACATCAATGCACCGTTTCCAACTCTTTCCAGAGCCACTGAAAGCCCATCCAAACAAGTAACAGCTGTTGGAACACTTGGTCCAGCACCTGTCCCACTATGTCTGTAGCAAAGCCCTTTCAGGGCATGCTCAAAGCTATGGTCAAGCAATGTCCTTACAGCAGTTGCAGTAGCATTCTCATCAAAACTTTCAATGTACTGAGGAGCCATTAAAGAAGACCAAAGCACTCATATCAATGTGTTCTAGCTGATGGTTGGGTTGTTTAGGATTAATTTATACGTTTTGAAACTGATTTTATCGCTTAAAGTTTGGCCAATTTTCGGCTCGTGATTCCGGCAAGTTCCAGTCACCTTTTGGCCATGGTCCAAAAACAAAAGTTGCTCCACTCAATGTCCTGATCATGTGGGTATAGGTCTTGACCGACGGTTTTGAGATTTTCAGGTCATCGAAATTTCTCAACACACCCACGCGCTGCCAGCGCATGTGGCGACGCGTGGGCACTGTTTGGGTGTCCCTTTTAGTCCTAAAATGATCCTCATGTCGTTCTGAGCACGACGACATGCTCAGATTTGAATTTGGTTATTGTTTGACTATTGATCAGATATCGCATATTAGGCGTTATCCAGGTTCGATATGCTCAGACCATTGGATCGACTTCATTTTCAAATATGTTGATCTAGGTATCTCTAGGACTGTGTGGGAATTTGCGGATTGTGAATCGGAGTCTCGGATGCTCCAATTCAATGACTTAAAGTTTACGTTAAACGATAACCATCCGAACATGCAATCGCAACCAATTCGACCATCCATTTCTGACCAAAGTTGAAGGACATGTATAATAAACCTTGTTGAACCATAGAAACTCTCAGATCAGAAATCGAAGGTTGTGGCCCCGCAGAGCCGGTTGACCAAGTTTGGGCAGTTTGACCCATCAGTTGACCGTGAGTCTTTCAAGATAGTTTCACCCTTCGAGAAGTATTAGAACGACCTCATAAACAAGTCGTGACTGTTATTTGAGTTGTTTTGATTATATTGGAATTATGAGTTTGTTTTATAGTATCTTATGTAATTCTTGGATATTATTTTAATAATTGAAGTTATAGAATAGATGAGCATGGAATGCTTCATTGGTGAGTTGTGAAGGTGAGCCGTGAGTCTCGGCTATATCTATTAGGGAATGAATGGACGTTTGTTTTGAAGTGTACATCGCTCTTTTAATACGGAATTTCTTGCATAAGTGAGTTTTGATTAAAAATTGATTTAAATTGAGTTAATAAGGATATGGGATCACTAAGGGTTAATAATTTACATTATTTATTATATTATGATTATTAAAGTATATGACGGAGTGATATTGGATTATTTAATGTAGTTAAAAACTGATTTTTGGAAAGTTAATAAAAGATTTGAAAAATGGATTTGTGGAATAAGGGAAAGTTTATAAGAAGTTTTGGAATATGGTTTTCAAACCCACCACATAAGTACCCCGCAGTTGCCTTTGAAACAGCTTTGTCATTTATGACAATGCCCCGCGAGTTTCGGGGACGCCTGAACCATGTGGTGCGAGGATATGCATTCTCGGGCTGACTACATGTCCCCCGAGTTCTTCAAGGATGTATGTTCTCACGCTGACCACGTGTCCCCCGAGTTCTGCGAGGAATGCGACTTGAGTTGACTTTGTGTTTCCGAGGCCTGCAAGGATGTGTCGCTTAAATTGATGGAATATTATTGGAATTGACGGAATATTAGTGGAATTGACGGATCATGAATGAGGGTATGCCTAGGTGGAGAGTATTTGAGTTTTGAAATGTTTTAAACTAAAATTTATGATTTTATTTTGGTACTTATTGGTGAAGGTTTTTAAAACATATTTTCCGATTTATGAGACAAAGATTAAGAGTGTTCTAAATTTTAAGGATTTTATATAATTCACAATTATTTTCTCAAGTGATGAATTTGTTTTTACATGTGAAAGAGAGAAACATGTTTTATTTAAATTAATGATATTGACATTAAAGTTTCGCGTGGTCAATACTACTGTAACAATTTCCTCATTTTCCTTGCTTATCTATAATAAGTTTATTGTGTATATATATATATATATATATATTGTAAATTACATTGAAAAATAACAATTGATGAAGATTTACAAGTCTAAATGTGAAAAGTGAAAGAACTACATATGGCTTGGTCCCTTAGTAAGGATATGTAGGCAACCTAGAGTTAATAGGTGCAGTCACAAGATCAAGTGTTGAAAATTTGTTCAGTTAAGTTATATTGGAACTTGATAACATACTCATGTTGTTTTAAGAATTGAAACCAGTTTCAAATGGCAGAATGATTTATTTGGTATAAAGAGGTCTGAAACTATTTCAAGTTATTTGTCTAATGCATGCTAAACAATTGGGATTTGAAATTCAATTTTAACTGCATATTATTTTATATGTGGAAAGTTATTGGGAAATGTCCATTTTACAAGGGAGACTTTGCTGATTTTCGGCAGAAGTCAAACCTTAAAAGAATAGTTGAGCCTTAGTTAGAAAGGCAATTTGGTCAAGTGTACCCGGCACTTGCAAGATGTCAGACACGCACAGGGTTTGGCACATATTCCAAAGTGGAATTTGGGTCGGGTCCTGTCAGCTAAGCATTGAAAAAAAAAAACAATTACAAAGAATTCATATAATGAAAAAACAAATAAAAGCTACGAGTATAAAGTTATATAAATACTACCTCTATTTCCAAAAAGCCAATCTCGAGTGCACAACAAAGCTTCAACAATTGTAGGCAATAATGAATTAAGATATTGATCTTGTACTCTACCGCCAATACTAAAAGCCGATTTGGATGCAACAGTAGAAATAGGAATTGTTAACACATCCTGAGCTAAATGTGAAAGTATCGGATAATGAAGATGCTCCATTTGCCACCAAGAAAGACATCTATGTCTTGCTTTCTATCTAGCATTTCCTCATCCAAATACTTATACAATTCTTTTTTCCTACTTGAACTTGAACCATTTTTGTAACTATTATCAAAATCCTACACCATACAAAATCACACACACTACTATTAGTTACATGCAAATGCAAATATACAATATGCAACAAGACATAAATTATATAAATAAATATAATAAAAAAATTTGGTTTACCTCAAGAATGGTGTCTCCACCTTCCTTGTGACTAGTTGCCTCATTCATTGGATAACTTGAATTAAGAAGATGAGATAAAGTTTCTATGTACACATCAAAAAGAGAAGTCAATGTGTGTATAACACTATGTAGCTCTTGAGAATCCTTACCATGAAGCTTAGTATAAGCCCACTCCACAAAATGCAACTTCTAACAAGGATCCAAAATAATTGCAATTGCAATAATTAAACTATACTTCGACCAATACTTCTCAAACTTCATGTACTTTGACTAATACTCCTTGTGGTTGGGTTTTGCGCTTGCTTTTCTTGTTATTGAACTTGTCATTTCTCTGACCTGCCTACTTGGAGGGTTGATTGACTTACTTAGTAGCCTTTTTCACTGCGATTCGATCACCATCCTAGAGCGCGTAGCATTCCACAATCGCGAAGACCTTTGTCAGTGTTTGGCTGAGAACAATAGCCAGCTCGTGGTACAGGTCATGCTCAGTTGGCAAGCCTTTCTTGAAAGCTGAGGATGTGATTGGGTCATCGCATCCCCTGATGTTAGCTTTCTCTACTTTGAACCTCTTGATGTAGTCTCAGATGGTTTCATTGGGCTTCTTGTGCAAGTTGAACAGGTGGTCGGCTTGTTTTTTTATCGTTTGGTGGGAGGTATACTCATTCATGAAGACTAAGGCCAACTCCTTGAAGCTGCTGATCGAATTCGGAAGGTAGGGTATGCAACTAGTCTTAAACTACTCCCCGCAAGGTTATTGCAAACACCTTACACATCAGAGCAGCTTCGGACTTCTAATATGCTTATAATGGCTCTAGGGATCAGAATCCCCTTTGAATGACTTGAAAGATGGCGTTGTGAACCGTCTTGGTGGGGTTGCCTGCTCGATCTCATTTATGAATGGAGATGAGTTTACTGGCTCTACTTCTTTGTGTAAGACATCCTCCAAGTCTCCTCCGACCTTGAGATTTCGGAGTCGATTATTCACAAGTTTCTCGACATCTTCTACTCGCAAGGCTTGCGGCTCATGTCGGTGTCTCCCATGACGTTGACGTTGCTGATTAACCTCCTTATTGACTCTTGAGGGTTTATCTTCTTGGCTCTCCTGCCTATGCGGCATATTGGTGGACTGAGCTTGCGAGGGATTCCATGTGGCTTGTCGCTGTGAATTGGCTCTTCCGAAGTAAGCCGGTGAGCGTCTTATTTCACACACATCTTGAGGAGGATCGTGAGGGTTATCTCCATGTGGGCCTAGCCTAACATAAATAATTTCTTACGGGCCAGACAAGCATGAACATCATATCGTGGGCCCAACCTCTGGTGCACATTGGTCCTGAGACCTATCCTTTAATGGAGATTTGATCTACTTGGGCTGGAACTCACGGATGCTTTTGACATGCCAGCGTGCTAGGTAACGCATTCTTGTCCTCCTCCTTGCCTGCTCACTCATGCTCAACCTACCTAGGACCTCTCGAACTATCTATCATGGGATCAAAGACCAAGGTCTCAGACCACGTCAATTTCCTTGAGAAGTTGTCCAACCATGAGATTTTGATCATCGACTCTCTAGGTCAACTAGTTGACTCTTAGACTAAGGTTTGCTTCACTGCTTGGATCTGGATGAGAGAATTGTGTGGAGCCCAATTGCACGTGGGCTAGGGTTTTGTTGAAGGTGCAAGTGAAAGCATTCATTGAGCGCGATGGCAATGGATAGAATGGATGTAGTTGCTCCAAGATTGGGTCGTAATCGGTGACGACACCATGACGACAGTGAGCAATGGTGTCACGACAAACCGTGGCATCGTGGTGGTGGTGAACATTAGATTGGGCCACGAGACCGTAAGGATGGTGGCTTTTGGAACTAACCATTAGACCACGCAATTGCAAGGCTATGTCCATGGTCTTGGTGACATCGACTTGTGGTGGAGTGGCGCATGCGACCATGGGGCCAGGCGGTGGAGTGACAGCGTGCGCTGGCATGGCACTCTCGGCCATGGTGTAGTGAAGTGGAGCAATAGCATGGGCCGGTGTCATGATTGCAGTCACGATTTTAGCAGCGGAATGAAGCAGCTAGTTCGACGTCATGCCATCATGAAGGCTTGGGCCTGTAGCATATTATGTCGTCTCAGAGGTCTTGCTTCTTATGCTCCTGCTTCCAACCATGGTTGTTTGGAAGGCTTCGGTTGAGTGATGAATGAAAGGAAACAGATTCCTTTGATTCGAGAGCAACGTGTTAAGTATAACTCAATGCTCTGAATGAAAGCACCAAATGTTTGTGTAAATTTTTCACGGGAGAATATTTATAAGAGATTTTTCACCCTTCTAACTTCCTTCTCGATCCCTACAAAATAGACTGGAGTAAATGGAGCACACCTAAGGGATGTTGGCCAAAGGCCTTTCGATGCCTAAGTCAATTAGATGATCTTAAGAAAGATATGAAAATAACCGAGAAGGTTGGAGTTTTCTCTACGGTATGAGATAACCGGGTGGTTGGAGCCATGTGTGTTGCCTGAGCCGTGTGAGAGAGAGAGAGAGAGAGAGAGAGAGAGAGAGAGAGAGAGAGAGAGAGAGTTTGTAGGATTTTTAGAATTACCTCATAAGTGGTGATGTAGCCATGTATTTATAGTGCTCTTGCCTTCTAGGGTTTTTCAGATATTAATTCACATATGGTAGGGAATTATTCAATTAAAGATTTAATGAAGATCAAATCTCTAATTTATGGTATTATCTCTATTTTAAGTCTAAACAATTGACCAATTAAATGGAGCACAATTGTTGACCTAAGGCATATTCCCATTGTCCACGTGGTGTCTCACGATTGGTTGCCGAAATATTTGCCCCCACATGTGCTGCTTAGTGTTCCAGTTTTCCATGCCTACCCCTATTGGTGAGCGTTAAATTTATCAAAGTTAATTTATACTCTTTTTTTATATATAAAATGTTCGTACACATGCTCATGCTTATACTTGTTAAGGGTAATGCTAGGCTTACCATATTTATATATCACATTATGTACCACCTCTCTAATAAAGGTGGAGCCCACCAATACAATGAGGCTCACTTTTGTTAGAGAGGTAATACACAATGTATTATATAAATGTGGTATGCCTAGCATTTTCCACTTTTCAATTCACGTGGCATGATATCATCGGATCTAAATGTGCTACATCAACAATTTAACGATTTTTTGGATGGAAACTAACAGCTAGGACTACTTATGAGCACAAACGCAACCTTTTTTCTTTTTTTTTTAGAAGGAGAAATTCATTCATAAAACCACAGACGTACAAAGAGTGACATGATACAGTGGCCTCGTTAAAACCTTCCTCGAACAACCTCATAGGACAAATCACAGAAGAGAAAAGAGTGTCACGCATGTCATGGACTAACAAGAGAGTCCAATTCAAGTCACTTTGGACCATTACAATAAAAGAATAAGTCAAAAACAAAACCTAACACAAAGACCTCCGACGAGAATCGCAACTAGAGACCAACACAATAGACTCACATGAAAGGACCGTAGAAACCCCAAATAGTAAACTCACAGGAGAGGGCTGCATAACATCCCAATTGTCAAAAGAAGCCTTCTATGAGCAAAATCATGTCCTTTGACACCCATACAAACTATAAATCATACCATAGCAAAAACCAGGAGAGAACACGGAGGACGGACACATAAACAACAATAAAAAGACCCATGAGAAGCACTCCACTTCAACTCAGAACCTGACAAAGAAAACCTCCTATAACCAAGCATAAAGCTGGCAAACGGGTCATTTTTACGAGTTACGGGTCGTGTTCGGGTCAACCTGTTTTCTTAACGGGTTGACACGAACACGACCCGTTAAGCTAACGGGTTAGAAATACTAGACCTAAACACAATCCGTACAAATTCGCGAATAACACAACACGACCCATTATGGCTAATGGGTCATTTTTCACCCGCTTAACCCGTTTCACCGATTTAAAAAATAAACAATAGTTTTCAAAAAATTATTAAATGAAAACACCAAATCAAATTAATTATAAAAAAAAAAAAAAAAGGAAAATGAAATAGAAAAGTTGGGATTTTGGTTCAGCATGTTTATGGCTTTAAGACAAATCCTAAAGGATCATCAAATTCTGTAGAGATTGAAACAGATAGAGAAAATGCTGCATCACTTGCTAGAGCTAGAAACAGATTGTTCCAGTTTTTAGGAGAAGAATACTCCGAAGTTCATGTTTCAAAATCGAAAGTGCTGAATGGAATAAGAAAAGCAAAATTGACATAGAATATGGATTGGAGGAGAGCATTGACTTGGATGATAATGACAAGAAGTCCCTGCTTTCCCATCAAAAAGCAATCCTTTCAACTCACTTTGGTATTAATATAATGCATAGATAACAATTAAAACTCTCAAATGACTTGAGATTTTCATACCTTTTCGTTGGAGAAGAAGAAGAAAGGTAGTTGATGCTTGATAGTTTGGTTTGGATCTAGAGAGAAAGAGAGATGACAGAGTGAACGGCGGCATGCTCAGACTCAGACAAGAGGGCTCCAATTCAAGGTAGGTTAATTTTAGAATTGAAATTACAAAAATGCCCTCGCTCTTAACGAGTTAACGGGTGATTCGCGAATAATATTGACCCAACCCGTTAGCTTAACGGGTGACTATCAGGTCCACCCGTTTTCAACCCGACCCATTAAGCTCAACCCAAATACTGTTATTTGCGTGCGAATTCGTGTCGTGTTAACGGGTCGTGTCTGATATTGCCTAGTCTAACCAAGCATAGTTCTTCGATCAGCGTATAGTAAAGAAGAGCACCACATCCTAACAACTACCACCAGCGTCGCTGCTGCTACCACCGCTGTTAAAATAGAGACAAAACATGGGCGGAGCTAGAATTGTAAAGTTAGGGGGGCCGAAGTAGAAAATATAAGTATATAAAATACCTAAGTACTCAATAATTACATGTTTAGAGCAAAATGTTTCTAATTTAGTCATGTCTAATTTGTTTTAGAGGGAACTTTAACTTAAATTATAAGTAGTTTATTACAAATTCTATATTTTATATATAATATAAGAGAGGAGATAAAAATTTGGGGGGGCCAAGGCCACTCCAGGTCTAGGAGTGGCTCCGCCACTGAAAACATCAACCACTAGGTATCACAACTCTCCCAAAGAGATACACAATCCAACGTCAATATTGTTGCACAAACGCAACCTTATAATTTTGTTAACCTCATGAATGTTTTGTGATAAAAAGTTTAGGATATAAAATAAAATAAATAAAAACAAAAAGGAGCTGGGAAGCTCTTAAGCAGATGGCAAGCAACAGACTCGAACAAGCATGGCTGTCTTCCAAATCCCAAGGAGGAGCCTTCGCTTTCTCTCTTCCCCCCACGCTCACAATTGCTATTACTGCTTATGCTTCTCCACCGCCACCAGAACCGCTTGGTACAACCAACCACCAACACCTCACAATGAAGACCCAAAGCTCTCTGCCATCTCCGACGCCATTAAAACCACCACCCAAAACTCTCAGCCTCTGGACTCCTCTCTCAGAAAGCTCCTCCCTTCCCTCACAGCCCGTGACGTTATCAACCTCATCAACCTCAACCCCTACTCTCTCTCCCCTCTCTCTCTCCTATCCTTCTTCAATTGGCTCTCTTCTCACCCCACGTTTCGCCACAACATCCAATCCTATTGCACAATGGCCCACTTCCTCTGCGCTCACCAAATGTATCCCCAAGCTCAGTCCCTCCTACGAATCGTCGTTTCTCGCAAGGGCAAGGAGACTGCATCCTCCGTCTTCGCTTCCATTCTCGAAACTAGAGGTACCCACCAGTCCAATTATGTATTTGATGCTTTGATGAATGCGTATGTGGATTGTGGTTTTGTTTCTGACGCATGCCAGTGCTTTAGATTGCTTAGGAAGCATAATTTTCGAATCCCATTTCATGCTTGCGGCTGTTTGCTTGATAAGATGCTCAAGTTGAACTCGCCCGTTGTGGCTTGGGGATTTTATTTGGAGATTTTGGATTCTGGGTTTCCACCAAAAGTGTATAATTTCAATGTTTTGATGCACAAATTGTGTAAAGAAGGTGAAATTAGAGAAGCCCAGTTGGTGTTCGATGAAATTGGGAAACGGGGTTTGCTTCCGACCGTAGTTAGTTTCAATACTTTGATTAATGGGTATTGTAAGTCTAGGAATCTGGAGGAGTGTTTTAGGTTGAAGAGAGATATGGAGGAAAGCAGAACACGTCCTGATGTATTTACTTACAGTGTTTTGATCAATGGGCTGTGCAAGGAGCTTAGGTTGGACGATGCAAATTTGTTGTTTGATGAAATGTGTGAGAGGGGTTTGGTTCCAAATAATGTCACATATACTACTTTGATTGATGGGCAGTGTAAGAATGGAAGAATTGATTTGGCAATGGAAGTGTATCAGAAAATGTTGGGGATTGGTATCAAACCAGATTTAATTACTTATAATACACTCATAAATGGCCTTTGCAAAGTTGGAGATTTGAAAGAAGCGAGGAAGCTTGTTGAGGAGATGAATATAGCAGGTTTGAAGCCTGACACGATCACTTATACTACGCTTATTGATGGATGCTGCAAAGAAGGAGATCTACAATCGGCTCTAGAGATAAGGAAGGGAATGATTAAACAAGGGATTGAGCTTGACAATGTAGCTTTCACAGCCCTTATTTCGGGATTGTGTAGGGAAGGAAAAACACTTGACGCTGAAAGAACGTTGAGGGAGATGTTAAATTTTGGCATGAAACCTGATGATGCCACATATACGATGATCATTGACGGGTTTTGCAAGAAAGGTGATGTTAAGATGGGTTTTAAGTTGCTCAAGGAGATGCAGGGTGATGGCTATGTACCTAGTGTTGTAACCTATAATGCGCTTATGAATGGACTATGCAAGCTAGGACAGATGAAAAATGCTAATATGCTTTTGGATGCTATGATTAATTTGGGGGTGGCTCCAGATGACATTACATACAACATTCTCTTAGAAGGGCATTGCAAGCATGGAAACCCCGAGGACTTTGATAAGCTACGGAGTGGAAAAGGGCTTGTTCTTGATTATGCTTCTTACACTTCGCTAGTTAATGAATTCAATAAATCTTCGAAGGATCGCCGAAAGAGATGATTGGAGCAAGTTGTTGGAAAATAGTGGTTTAAGTCAAATTTGGTTGGTCTGGTGATTAGGTCTTAACTTAAGGATTTCAAAGTGACTCAAATCAACAGAAAGGAACAAGTGACTTGAGATACTTGCATATACACACTACAACAGTACAACAGAAAGCGTTTTTCTGACACAAGTAAACTGCAGTCAAAAGCAGTTGGAAATACGAGCATTGGAATAAATCCTTTTTCTATCAAACTGTTAAGGGAATCCGAAGAACTATCAGATAGAAAAAGAAATCTGTCAAATATTTGCAGCGGCCAGTCCAAATCCATCAAGGATGGAAAGATCATCAACATTCTATCCAGACATTGCCAGACTATAACAACTGAAGTGTGCTTAGACAAGGTGTTTTTCAATTTTCATGCGTTGGCACTTTTTCGAGTCTTAAGCGACCGAATATGATCAAAGGATGCTCTACTGTCCATGTTAAATGGCATTGGCCTTCAAGACATTATGCAGGCAATGACAAGAAATTATTGCACATGAGTGCAGGCTTCCATGGATGATTTAAAGTTCAAAGAAAAGAAACTAGGGTTTTAAAGGTATTGTTGGGATAATAAGGTGTGCAAAGAGCAGATTAATTTTCATTAAAATTTCATGGAGAGGGAAAATGAAATGGGTGGGAAAAAAAAGGGTATATATATCAAGACATAGTGTGAATACCAATTTGCTTTTTCAGAAGACTGTATCGTTTATGCAACATTTTCTTAAATGGTTCAGTGTACAATTTCATCACTATTGATCAACTGTTGGTTCACAGTATGTAATTGCTTAGAAATATATGTTTTATTGAAAGACAAAAGCAAACATTCGTTTTCGATTTTATAAGGCTTTATCTTTTGTCTGAAATCCTTAGACTAATGCTTCACCCTATACTCTATTAATCAAACCAATTGAAGTCTACAATATTGGAATTCCAAATAAATATCAATTGTGTCCAACTAGATTTAAGGTTGTACGAATTATCTGCCAAGGCGCTATGGTGGTTTGAGCCTGAGATTACTGATCTGGAAATGAAGGTTGTTTTCCATTGAGTTAGATCTTGTTGGCTTTTACGGTTTGTTTACCAAGCCTAGCAGCTATAAACACCAAAAAGTTTCAGACCCAAAAAGAAAAGAAAAAAAAAGATTTAATCATATACTCATTCTTATCACTAAAACTATAAATAAACTTTATACCATTTAATTTCTATAAACAAACGAAAAAAAAACCCCAAAAAATGACAGCTGACCCTATTAAATTTAATTTTGATTATTAAATTACTTTGATATCCTATTGAGTGTTTTGAGTTTCTTTATGAGATTTTGGAGTTAAGTTTGTTTTAAAAAATCAATTGCAGTTTTGTAATTTAAAAGAAGTTAAAAGTCTTTTTGTTATGTTGTAAATGAGTTAGGTGTGTTTCTAAAGTCCATTTCATATAAGGGTTTTTTTTTATAATTTGGATTCCTATATTGGGTATAATAGTGAATCTCCGAAAAAAACAAACACCAAAAAGTTAAAGATGGGCCAACGCTGATAATCAAAACTGTTTATAATCAAACATGGGCCGACTATAGAGTGGACTGTCCTTGGTTTCTCACTGACTTCCACTATTTTCGTTTACCAACCAAAAATTGAGCTAAGGTGGGGGGACCAAACCAACAAAAAAATAAGAGAAAGCTGGCGCTACTTGCTTTCATTTGTTTGCAATTGGGAAATCTTAAAAGAAACGCGTGGAAAATAATAGGGAGGGGACCATTAACCAAACCAAAAATCTTTCTTTGCAGGCGCCTACTACTATCGATATCTAAAGCAGTAGATTTTTGGTGTTTGCTTTTTCAAAGAAGTGTTCTGGCGCATTTAATTCATGCACAGAGAGAGAGAGAGAGAGCTAGCTAGCATGCATATATATGTATATATGTTACATCACAATCATAATGCAAGAAGAAAGTGAAGTGTCCAATAAGGGCGTGCAAATCTGTCTTGCCTTGCTGCTGAGATAGAGAGCTAGCTGTGCCTCACTTACATATGAACCTGCTTAGGGTTAGGTTCTCGAGGAATATTGTTTCTCAAAGCAGTCCATCTTGGCAGCTAACTCTTTTGGCCAGCTGTTTTTTTCTCTCTTCTCTGGAAAAATCAAAATGCAATCATAATATATTCCATACTTTGATGATCATGAGAAGATGATGCTGCATCTTTTTCCCTTGGAAGCCGACTCCGGTCATCCAATGTAATCCTTGTATCTAGTTTATTATGAATAGGACTTACCTAAACATTAGAGGCACAAATCCATCCTTAGCTCAAAGAGTACCAATTGCACCCATGCCATCGACAATGATGTTGCCCCCAAAAATAAAGATAAAGAAAAGGAGTTGAAGGACTAGGTCAACATTTCTATTTGAAGCAGAATTAATTCCAATAAAAATGGGACAACCTCCAAAGCAAAGCATTGTAAGTTGTAACCCTCATGGGCACACAACCCGATACGTATATGCGATGTCTTATATTTCAAATTATTAGGGTTTTTAGATGACGACAATCTGATGCAAAAGAATAGAAAACAGAAGATAATCGATGGCAGACAAATGCTCTACAGTGAGGGGACCGCTTGCGGGTTGATGGAGCACATAGCATTACGAGGGCAAGCCCCACAAAAACAGGATCCGAGTTTTTTGAAGTAGCAAGCTGCCACCTCCGTCTTGAGTTCATAATTGTTGGGTTAACACGTGTAGAACATGTATGTGGAGAGTAAGTGTTGCTATTAGACTTTACATGTGGACAAAAACCTGCCTGTGATATCACGAAGGAAATTGCAGTCTCACCTCAAAAACCCAATTGAGAATGGAGAAGTAATTCAACTCCTTATGAGCGCTTGTTGGATTTCTCAATTTTCCTAATGTAGGACATTTCTTCAAACAAGGATAAAACTTTCTTTATTATTGTGGGGTATTTGTAACTTCTAACTAATAAATCTTAATCATCGTGTTTTAAGGAGCTAGGATTTTATAACTTTCTTATAAATTGCATTAGTATATTGCAATATAAATTTCCAATTGTTTACACCAGAATCAACAATCAATAAGAGCAAGACACGTGGATAAAAGAGAGCATCGGCAAGGAAACCCACAGCAGCTAGGCCTACCGATTGCGTGATTAGGGCAAGATCACTCTCTGGACACGTGGAGCGTCCATAGTGAATGTCAATGGTCTCACATCGAAATTCTACACCACATGCACGCCTCCCAATGCTTATAAAAATGGACACAAGTCCCAAAATGGAGGTAACTGGAACTTTCGGTATACTAGCCATCGCTCTATCCAAATTATTTACTAAATCCTTACTTAAGTATCAGAGAACCTTCGACTGGTACCACACCGATGCCCTAGGTCTTACCAAGTGTTTCTTATCTTGCATATCAGGCGCTCCTATCGAGGCCCAGAGCATTCCTAAGGCCCAAACGTCACTAAGTTGAGCCCAAAAACACCAAACCACTTTTTCGCATCAACACCAATACTCATATGATTGATGGCTTTAGAAAATGGGAGCAAAGGAAAGCACTGGAAGATAGATTGCTTTATGTCAATGTTATCACCTCCTCCATATGATCGATGAAGTTAATACTTAGTCAATGTAATGGCACAAGAAGACTGGATGATGATCATTCACAAATTTCACGAGAGCTAGCATATATATATATATATATATATACATATATAGACAGAGAGAGAGAGAGAGTAATAATTTTTTCTTTAAAAGCCTAATAATAGGGTTTTGCTTTATTAAGTTACTTTCACCGTCCATCATATGGCCTTGTCTTGATCCCCATCACGTTTTCCTCATCAAATACTTTGCACATTGAGATCCAATTAAATTAAGCACAGGATTGACAAGTGTTGGATCAAATTTTTTTTATAAAATTAAATTAGTCTCATTCAATATCACTGCAACTTTATCCATGACATGAAAATGAGAGAGAGAGAGAGAGAGAGAGAGATGCTTGACCTTAGGCCACATGTACATACAAACTACACATCAATCATCAATAGAGTGCACACATCATCTTCATCATGAAGAGAGAAGTTGAGATGGCTAATCATGTCTTTCAAACGATGGAACACTTATTTTGCAAGTTCCACGTGACCAGGTAAAAAGGTAAGAAGAAGAAGAAGAAGAACAATGCCCTTAATATGTTTTTTTCAAAAGTAATTGTAATAAAATATTTAATCAAAGAGCAAAAGTATGATTAATAAGATAAGAAGAAAATGTCAATCATGTGCGTGTCGGGAATATATGTAGAAGGAGGAGCAGGTAGAGTCGGCAGAAGGCGTCGTCTCTTTCATTGCACGAATCCAACTTGGGTGGAGCCCACAGTTTCCTCTCCTTTTATGTCTTCTTTATCTCTGTTCGATGTTTATACACACTAGCTCACCTGATTTTTGTCATCAAAGAAAGATGCACAAGGGCTTTACAAATTACACACAGATTTTTGTTTTGTTTTTATTTTACCATGCCATTTAGGACATAGGTGATGTTTGAAATTGGGTGGCATGAATGGAACGAAGAATCTTTTTATATAAAAAAATTAAATTTTTTATAAGACCTTCCTCATTGAAAGGGACGATAACAAACTAAACTCACACACACTACACAGATGTTTCCTCATCTTGATTATCCATAGATTCAAAACAATTTTGTAGCATCGAGGTTAGGTCAAGTGGTGAGTGAGGGTTTGAGTAAATAAACTAGGAAAGAGACGATGATTTTGACAAAGTGATACTATATTTCACATCCTCGTATATATATATATATATATATTAATCTCAACATATATCACATCATGATACAGTACTTTCTATACCAGGGAAGTTAAATTGATACCACTAATTGCATGGGCCATGCCAAACTAGTTCATATCACTTAGACTCTTCTATTATCACGAAAATGACCTTTTTGTCCTCTTGCGTTTAATAAGACTTTTTGCAACTTCAACAGCTATCTGTATTGACTCACACTGATCTGCTACAGTCGGCTCTACCGAACCCAACTCTGCGATTACTCAGATCAAATTCCACCCATTGATTCTGCTGATGAAAATTCCCAATTATATTACTCGCCGCACCAAGCTTGCTGGACTGCCCGATTGCCACGCAGCGGACCCCACCACCGACATCAGCTAAAATTTGTTCTTTGGGCGTCACAATCTCCGCTCCTTTTTCAAACTCAAACACCATATCTCCTATCAGCCGTCCGATCTCCACGTCATGACCGTCGAAACACATGTCGGCTACCCCCGAGTACACGTAGCCCTTTTTTAACCTCGGTCCCACCAGTCTCACAATCTCTTCCCTCACCTTAGTATAAGCCTCGTCCACAAAGTACGTGAACTCGGAGCCCGAATCGATCATGGTCTGACCCGCCCCGCTCGGGTCGTGCCGGAAAACAGAGGGTAAAATACTTAACTTTTTCCCGCCAATTCTTATCCCCAACATTACAACTGTATAGGCAAGGGGGTCCAAATTGGGCATGCGTTGACTTGGATCAAAAGTCAACATGTCAACGTATCGGAATCCCGCGGAATTCGGGTTGTTTCCCAAGTAAAAAGTCCCGGTTGGCAGATTAGACCCGGTTTGAGCCGGGCGGGCGGGTATGCAGTAAGAAAACTTTGTGATTTTGGCTTCGGAAGCAAATGAAACCCGCCCCCGGTTCATACCCAAAATACCTTCGCTATCACTGGTGTCCTTAGCGCATCCAAGGATCAAGGGAGGGGTACTTACGGAAGGAGAAAAGGTAAATTTTTCTCGGACGAGATTGCCCTCGGCCAAAGTACCATCTGCATAGAAGTAGGAGTAGTGGCAGAGTTTGTTTTGGTCGCAAGAGGTGGGGAGGGTAAAATCGGGAACTCGGGGTTTGCAAATAGGGTGAGTACAAGGCAAGACAGAGAAAGTAGAGGAGAGAGAAGGGTCAAACGACGCCATCGGAGGAGGTGGGGGCTTTGACTGGGTCTTCTTGTGGCACTGAATCCATGAGAGCTGGCTGCCAGTGTCCAAAACCATCTGCTGGGTCTGTGGAGGAGTGCCTATGGGGAGAGAAACAATCGGAGCCATTGAATACTTGAAGGAGAGCTTGTGGTTGTACGATGTGAGTCTTGGGATTCGCTTGGAGTTTGAAATGAGAGAGGCATGATGGAGAGGTTTGGATGTGTTTGGAGAGAGAGAAAGTTGAGAAGTAGTGAGAGGGAAAGAGAGAGAAAAAGTGGTGTTGCTCAGGTACTTGTTCTCTTTGGCTGAAAGAGAAGGAGAGATGAGGAAGAAGAGAGATATTAGGAGCATGGTTTTTTGAGAGAGAGCCATTAGAGATAAAGAGGTGGGTGGGGTTTTGGTACAGTGGGGTTGTGGGAGGCGGGGTAGTATTTATACCACTGGAATAATGACCCGGAGGGAAAAAGATAAAAAAAAAGGAAAAAGGAAAGGGAGGAACAACAAAGAAACGCCAAAAGAGAGGAGAGAGAGAGAAACAAAAGCATGGCAAAGTGTACAAGCGCGTTTTCTTAATTGAGCAGTTAAGAGTAGGGATCATATTCGACTGTTTATGTATTAAATTGCATGGTGATATGATGATGATGGCGACGGTGGGCAGCAAAGCATCCCTGTTTTCTATCTATCCAGATATAGATTTACGTACGCACACTGATTTACAGTTAATTTTTATGGCGTTTTGCGTTTTGCGTTTTGTATTGGATCCCAACGTTACGTTTGCGGGATTGACCAATAGTCAATGACCTTTATTATTCATCAGGTGACTAAATTCTTCAACTGAATGATGACCACGCGTTGGTGGCAATTAGAGAGAGAGAAGTTTCACTCGGATGGTATTTTATTGATGAAGAAGGATGAACAAGCATAAAAATCGGACCATGTCCTAGAAGATTAGGCGTATCTCTACATATATGGACTTGATCGTCGGACTAATTAGGTAATATATCCTCTCAACCGTGAGCGAGAGAAAGAACCTTGAGCACCCCCCATCTGTTGGCGTGACTAGTGGACCTACGATTACTTTGCTTATACTCCAAGGATTCTTAAATTAAATATATACAAATTTATAAATAAACCCAATCCTAGACATGTATTTATAAAAAAACTCAAACACTAATTAAACATAGAAACACACCCAAAATCAACCCCAAAATCAACAATTGTATATTTTTGGGTGTGTTTATAAATGGGTTTTGAGTGTGTGTAATGATGGGTTTTGGGTGTGTTTATAAAGTGTTTTGGGTGTTGGGTTTTTTTTATAATTTCAGCCCCCATTTTGGGTGTTTTAGTGAAACTCCCTTAAATATAATTAATTTACTTTAATTCATGATTTCCTACTGTAAATAGAATTAAGATTTATTACTTTCCTACAAGAATTTATTGTATATAAATACAACCGAGAATACACAGAAAATTCCCACAAACAATATTCTCTTATCAGTTTCATATTTTGACAAAAAAAAAAAAAAAAAAAGTTTAAATTAGATAAGTCACTGTGAATGACTCTGAATTTTTCCTTCATAGACAAATTTCTATCGTTGAATATGTTAGCGAGTCCTTACTTAGTTAGGATTTTAGTTCCTTATTTAGTTAGGTTTTTTTGTTACTTGTCAATTCATTTAGTTCTATTGTAATTGAGATTTATTTCCTATAGTAGTTTGGATTTATTTCATATGTTATTTAAGGTTAATACATTTTTGTACTTCTTTATAAATACGTTCACATTAGAGAAGAATAAAAATATGAGCATTTCTGACAAATATGAATATAACTGAATATTTGTCTTACTTTGTTTGACATAATCTCATCCAAAAGCGCTAAAAAGAAAAAAGGAAAATAAATTATTGGTACAATAGATAGATTATAACTATGTCAACGATGATTTGGTCTAGTGATACTCATTTATTCAATTAACGGTGATTCTAATTTCAAACCTCATCAACGACAATTGTTGAATAACAGATAAAGGACAATGAAAAAAAGATAATTATTTTGTCATTTATCTTCTAAAACAGAGTATTAGATCATTATTGGTTTAATGCTTTCCCCCGCCCCTAGTTATATTGTATCATAGACACTTGAACTAGCACAAAAACGACACAATTCTATCAGTGTCTTGTAGGGAAATGTCACAAATTTGCTTATCTATTTGATTTTCATGTCTGGTAGCTAGGCCTTATAATATCATTAATCAATCTACAATTTGCAAACACTAGAAAATAAAAATGTCGCATGTTTGGTGTCGAATCTCAACATATCTAACTCTTAAAACAAATAATATGATAAGACTCACGGGTTATGTGTGTATGATTAGATTGGTTTTAGCAATAAATACAAAGTATATGTGTTTTAATTCGAGAGGCAGAATGCTTCAGTGTCTATCTAAATGCCACATTAATAAATTGCACATAAAACAGAAAGATGAATATAAAAAACGCATGGAGCTAATAATGTTGCATCCACCCAACAAAAAAAAGAAAAAGAAAAGAAATTTGATTCCATCTACTGCACCAAAGAAATGGTGCCTCGTTGTAAATTGCATATTATAGAAGGCAATATTGCTTAAATAAAATAAGCTTTATCTACCATGGAAAAGACCTTGTTCCATCTACTGTGCTAAAGAAATGTTGCACACACACACAATTATGATGTCGTGGGGATTCAAACTTGAGACCTCCGATTTGCAAATCAAGACCTTTTTCCATTTGGTTAGGCCCCTTGTCATTGTCATGTGCTTTATCTTCTCAAAGACAATAGTGCCCAATTAAAACCATATACTAATATTTGTATAATATGCCAATAACAATAATGATGGAACAAATTAAAAAATTTATGTTGGAATAAATATAGGTGCAAAAGCACAGGGCACTGATGAAATAAACAAATAGGCAATAGAACGGCGCATGCAATATCTTTGTTTTTCATCTCCAAACCCTTATGAATTCTACCTTTGACCAACGCTACACTCACTAGTTTGTTTATTAATATGTATTTTTTTTTATACAAACGATTGGAGGAAAAGAATTTACACAAATATTCATTTGGCACGTGGGAGTTTCAAACCTCTGTCCACATGGATGGATATGAAAGAGTTCAATCAACTGAGCTATACCTGATTTTTTTTTCTTTTTCAAATTTGAGTTTACTTAATCTCACTTAATCTCATTTACTGTTAGCAGATAAAATATTGGCATGTTTATTATTTGATGATTATTGCGAAAGTAAAACAATTGGAATCTCTGTTACTCAAATTAACAACGGATCAAATTAGATAACTTCTCAGGACCTCAACCCTTGTGCTGTTCAGGCCCTTCATACCTGCTCTGCAAGGCATTCCCTCATCATGAGCGGCTGTTTGAACTTGACATCCGTGAATTGTGCCCAAGCTATGTACCGTCCCGCCCAAGCTCACCGCACGGCTAACACCCTTCTCATTCGACTCGTTCAGCTGAGGAATGATGATTGGGATAAGTCTAAAGTGTGTTGGAAGGGTTCGGATCATAAAACTTCAACTCAGAGAGGGCCTATACAAAAGTGTGGATCCCTAATTCAAGCCCCCTAAATAATTCCCTAGGAGAAAACTAGTCATTTAATTCTCATCTTCACACAAGACCAAAATTGAAGATGAATATTTAGCAAAGAGCATGCTAATTTATGATTTTACATGCCAAACCTAAAAGTTGTCATCCACAAGCTCACTTGAAATAGTTGCACAGACAAGTTAAGCTTGCATTTCCTTCTATACAAGTTATACTCCAGGCATTGGGAACTGGGTGGTAAGAGCTTCAACTCTTCTCTGCAGATCCAACACTCGATCCTTTAGGGAGAATTCAGGTGAAGCTACAAACTTCATAAAATCTTGGAGCTTTGATCCTGAGACTGCGCGTTTAGCATCAATTGTTATCTGCACACCCTCATGAATGTAGTCTGCAACAGCTATGAAATCTTTCTCAGTGAATCCTCTTGTTGTCATGGCAGGTGATCCAATGCGAATGCCACCGGGCACTACAGCACTTTTATCGCCTATTTCATCAAACATCACAAGTGTAAGCCAAATAGCTGAAAGACAAATAAAAACCACTACTACACAAACAAAATACGATAGGACCTTCAAAACTAGGCAAGTACCCCTTAGGCCTAAATAAGCCTCAAACCATAAAGGTCTGAAACGCTTAGGGTCCATCTGGTAAAATTATGTAAATGGCTTGATTATAATATTAGAACCAAAAGAAAACACATGCCTAGATTTGAATCAAAAGAAAACACATGCATTTCATATGATCACTTGATTATTTCAAATCCACTGCAAACAAATTGTATCTAGTTGGTTCAAATACATATTCCATGTAAAGCTTTCATTTACTAATTTAGCTTTATTCTCAAATCCAACATTTTACAAGTCATTTCAGCCTAATAGATCCTTACACTCACCAGGTACTGAATTCTTGTTAAGGGTGATAGAAGCCTTGTCAAGAATTTTCTCCACTCGAGCTCCATCAATACCCTGTTAATAAAGAAAATGTCAAATAACATTGGAAAATTAGATACAGTTATGAACTAATGCAAAGGATACAATCATAAATTTAATGCGGAACCTGTAAATTTGATAATACCCACCCAACTAACTAACCCCATCCCCCCCCACCCTTCCCCCGTGCGCGTGGGGGTTCAAGCCAAGTAAACGTTAAAACTAGTTAAGTCATCTAAATGCTGTGCTTTTAACCCAAAAAAAAGGCAAAATAGGAAGCAATGCTAAACAATAGCTAAACGTCCACATTTCAGGACAAGTTCTCATACAAGCAACAATAATAATAAAAAAACTTAAAAACAAATAAATTAATCAACAATTTAGGAACTTACTAAAGGCCGCAGATCCACAAGAACCAGATGGTTATCACTTCCACCAGAAACTAGTTTATACCCAAGTTCAGTCAATCGGCTTGCAAGAGCCCTACAATTAGAGACCACCTACAAGGTAGAGTATCCAGACTTAGGACATGATTTGGACCAGTTTTACACTGAGGACAGCATAATTGCAGTACCTTATTCTGGTAAGCCTTAAATTCTTGGGACTGTGCATACTTCAAGCAAACTGCAAGGCCCCCAATAGTGTGGTTATGGGGACCACCCTGCATAAAGAACTCAAGCATTTATCCTTTTTACATCGAAATTCGAAATATAAATGCTGAACTTATAGAAACAAATAAATGATCAGGTATAAATCAGATTTCTTATCATGAAACAAGTACAACTAACCTGTAAACCTGGAAAAACAGCATTGTTGATGGCAGATTCTAGATCAACCCCAAGAACTGGATCTTTCTTGAAGAAGATCATTCCACCTCTTGGACCTCTCAAAGACTGAAGAGAAATGTATTAAATTTGTCAGATCATCCAAATATGGATTACAACAAAGGAAGCACATGATAAGGCTATTTATGAAGTATACGCAATTATGTGAACATTTGGGATTTGAAAAAATTTAGTGAAATATAAATACACGAGGTTGAACAATACCTTGTGTGTTGTAGTGGTCACAATATCGCAGTAGTCAAAAGGATTTGCAAGCACAGAAGCAGCTACAAGCCCACTTATGTGAGCCATATCCATCATAAGAAAAGCACCAACAGCATCCGCAATCTTCCCATGTAAATTCAACGTAATTCATCAGTTGCCGAAGAAAAACAGTGTTTATAAATGCTAATGAATTCCATATCATTATGCATATGGAAATTAAGACTGAAAACACTAACCTTCCTCATGCGAGGGTAGTCAAAATCTCGAGGATAAGCACTAGCCCCGGCAATGATGAGTTTTGGTTTAAATCGGTCAGCCATTTCCTCAAGCTTGTCATAATCAACCAGACCTAGGTATAGTTTTTGTTTTTTAAAGGAAAAAAAATCAACATCATCCCAAAAGAATAACCATTACATCCTTAGTAAAGCTTCAGACAACATCTTTCTTATCCATAACCAAAATGCAGCACCTGTGGATTCATTGAGTCGGTAAGACATGGACTCAAAATAAATGGATGTGCCTGATACCCGTCTTTTAGGAGTCATGAAACCATGAGACAAATGTCCTCCGTGAGACAAGTCCAAACCCTAAGTTACAGGCACATGTTAGTAGCTACCAATAAGTAAGAGTAATACAAAGCCAAAAGGACAACTTACCATGAGACGGTCATGAGGTTTAAGAACTGCGGTATAAACCTCGAAATTAGCAGGAGAACCAGATAATGGTTGAACATTAACACCCCACTTCTTTCCATCTAAGTGAAATGCATCTAGAGCCCTTTTTTGGCAAAGTGTTTCAAGCTCATCAATGTGCTCATTGCCACCATAGTACCTGAAATGTATAATCAAACAGTGAGCTACACCAAGCATAATTATTTTAATGAAAGGAACCTATTGAACTCACATAACTCTAAGTCTGAGTATCTATACCTTTTACCTGGTAATCCTTCTGAATACTTGTTCGTGAGACATGAGCCAACTGCCTCCATAACTGCCCGATAAGTAAAATTCTCTGAGGCAATAAGCTCAAGGCTCTTGAACTGTCGCTCCTTCTCCATTTCAATAATAGCACGCACCTCAGGGTCAGCCTCACTTAACCCATTGTCTACAAAACTGCTTCCATTACCTGTAAATCAAATAGTACAATTCCTGAACAAGTCAGACATAATTCTTGCCACTAACCAATGTTGCTTTCACACTTCATTAGAAGTTGTGAAATATCGAGGCTGACTATACGTTTTCTTTTAAAGCTGTTTTTTCATAAGGATTATTCTGAAAAAAGAATTGAGTTATCAAACTATGAAGTTATACTGAGTAGTGATTACAAAACCTCCAAAGATGAATACGCACAGCATCAAATCCAAGCATGATAATGGGATATCATTCTAGTAGAAGCAGAGTTAAAGGAATTTTTTTTAGTAAGTGAAATAGAAATTAAAAATTCTATTATAACACCATAACCTTTGCAATACTCGAAAGTATTCCTACCCAAGAAAATCACAGAAAAAAATCTTAAGATACATTTTCAATATGAATTATAAATGGAACCATAAATAAATAAAAGTAATTGATATTGGTTCAAGCGTTGGAGTATAATTACCACCAATTTCAGGCAAAGTCACAGAGACAGAAGAGGATGGCCTTCCAGCAACCAAGCTTCCTTCAATGTAAGAAGAAGAAGATCTAACGGGCTTCACACAAGTGAGCTTTAGTTTATGTGAAAATCCAGTACCGATAAGCCCCTTGTTTGGAAAAATTGTTCCTTTGGTCCAAGTGGGCTGTTGAAGAGAACCCATCACTGCAGCTCCACCACAAGCCTGCATCTTTGCTTCCAAATACTATAATACCTCACAAGCTTCCCTACACATTCCAAAGAAAACTCTGAGCGGTGAGCACAAGTATAACATACACATGATATGAATACATAAAAATTGTATACGGAGTTCCAAGTTTGTCATAAATGATATAAAAATTGTATTGAAAAGTAGTGATCTTCATAGTAAATGTTTTCCGTATGCTTAACACTTATAATTTGTTTATATGGGTACAGAGAGAATTCGAAAAGGAAATGTTTTCCCAAGCTGATGAAGCACTAATAATTTGTTGAAAATGGCTGCTTTTAAACCGGTGGCGGAACCGGGATTTCAAAGTGGGCTGAGTTGAACTTAGATGCTCTTTATTTTCTTAGTTACAAAGTTCTAAGAGAGAGAAGAGAAATATAAACCTGGAGCAGTACAGCGGCGGCCTCGATCGCTGAGGAGAGGGCGAGAGAGATGGAATAGAGAAGAAGAAGCAGATAAGGGAACAAGTCGTAAAGGTGAGAAGAGGAGACAGCCAGAGAGAGGTTGAGAAGAAAGTGAAGAAGAAAATATGAAGCGGGTCGGCGATGAAAATTTTATATAGTGAGTGGAACGGATTCACGGATTGGGGTTAGGAAACAGAAATCAGGCCGTAAAAGATTTGATTTTTTTTAATTTCTTGTTCTAATTATTATTTACTTTTGGGCCTAAAATTATAGCCATGTTCTCGGGTATTAAGCTTATGAATTTCAGGTAAATTGTAGCAATGTTAATGTTCTCAGGTATTAGACCTATTGACCTTTTTGGTGGGTATTCTGTGCGGCACATGTCAGTTTTCACTGTCTATGATGGTCCTTAATACAAAGAAAATGATGAGCGTCTTGGTCTTGACTTCGTCAAACGATAAAGGCCGAGTTAGGAACATTTTCTCAGCTGTTGGGTTCTTAGTCTTGGCAACAAGACTACTTGATTTACGGCGAGTATTTGCCATTTGGTGCCTGGTGCTCGGCTGCTAAGAGCATTTCCAGCAAGGGGTCCAAGGGGAGGGCTGGGAGGGATTTGGGGTAAAAACTTGTTTCCAGCAGTGGAGGCAGGCCCGGGTAAGATGGTGGGACCCAGCAAAACTGGCTGGCCCGAGGACAGGGTTGGCCCGAGCTCCAGCCAGGGCTGGCCCGTGCTGACGTCATCGTGACGCCAGCGTTACAGTGTCACCAACAATTACTTGCCATGTGTCGTGTCCTGGGCTCTCCTATCATAATTTTTGCTCTAATCCAACGGCAGAAAATATTTTTGTAATAAAAAATTGAAAAAAAATCTGAAAAAATTGAAAAAAATACCAAAAAATTACTCTCTTTTTTTTATCTCTATACCTTATTTCCATTTTCAACATTTAAGTAAATGTCTTTGTCCTTTTACTTTTATTTGTTTTTATATTACTCCATTTACTTAAGTTTACAATGTAAATAAGGAAGTACCCCCCATTTGGATTCAAATAAAAATACTAGAAAATCAAATTCCCACCAAATCAAATATGAAAAATCGGTTTTAGTGCAAAATACGATTTAGGCTAAAAATGATGGCTCATTAAGTCAATATATACTTCATATTAAAATCTCATAAAATCAAGTTTTCTTATTTGATGTGTAAGGAATAAAAGCCGCCAAAAATTATCTTGAGAAAATGATTATTCCGAAAAACCATTTTTCATACTTAGTCAATATTGCACCTCCGCTTTTAACACTTTTAACACCAAATCCTCATAAATTTTTTTTTCTATAAATACCAACCAATACAACTAATAAAATAAAATCTTATCTGAAAATATTATCAGATAAAATAAAATCTTGCCTTTCATTTCTTAGTTTGCTTGCCTTTCATTTCATTGTATTTTTTTTGTTTTGTTTTAATAATTTAGTGGTCATTCATGTATTTTATTTTATTAGTTGTATTGATTTATCTGAAATTTGAATTTTGAAATTTATATGAAATTTGAATTTTGAAATTTATATGAAATTTGAAACCAAAAATCTTATCCGATATGAATAGTATTGACACGTAGGAACCCAAAAATCTTATCCAAGAATATTATCCAAATCAAATGTTTAAGTAAACAAAGTTGTGAAAAAAACAAAAAAATGAATAGTATTTGCCATGGCAAGCCTAAAACTGCTGGAAACACACTTTGCTGGGGGGGCTAGGGCAGCCACTATTCATGTGAATAGTAGCCGCCCTAGGGCTCCCCTTGCCATGGCAAGGGGCTAACTGGTGGAAGTGCTCTAAGAGATCTCTCACGTCCCTTAGAAACACAATGAATCAAAAGAGCTACAAGAAAAAATGGATTGTATGGTGCTCAAACGGACTCTGTGAAGAGTATAGCTACTTGTTGATATATTGAATGAATGGTTACAATGGTGGTGCTCAAAAACTCTTAAACAAACTTAAGAATTATTTGTGATATCCTACGTTGAATCCTAAATAGTGATTAAAAAAAAATTCCTAAGATTTGATTAGGAAGTGCATTGAGAAGCATTTCCGCTTGATTTTTGTTGAAAGATTGATGATGCTTAATAATCGGAATGTCTTGCTATTTATAGACAAAGTTGATGCCTTTTAAAAGGTGCCAAGACTCTCAGCCACCACCCAATTCTTTGCGTGAGCCGCCTTCCTACTTCCGATTCTCACCTTGGTCACAAGTCCCAAAGTTCCTTTCCTAACTAATTCTTCTTTTCAAGTTTTGAGAAGTTGTTCGATGTCCCATCATTCTTTTTGCCTTATGTTTTAAAGTCCATATATCGAGGTAGTGCATGTGAAGACTCTGATCAATCGGTGCCTGCTAGTTTGCTCGATTGTTCTCATTATGGCCGAGAGAAACCATCGAGTTTTGACTGATTTAGCTTTGACTTTGTCTATTGGGCCAAAAATTTGGGGTGAATCCATGATTTGGGCTAAGCCTTTTTACTTAAGCCAAGGTTTTTGAGTCACGGCTTGGGTTTGTAAGCCTTGCCCTTTGGTTTTGCTTTTGGGCCAAATCACTTCTATCTTTTGCCCAAATATGACTTAATGGGCATTCCAATGTCATCTCCTCTCATGGGCCAAAAGAGAAAAACTTGGGCACAAACAAAACCGTCTCATTAATGGGGTATTAGTTGGATTGACCCAGGCTTTTAGCATGCTTGCAAGTGGTCCATGGTACCCATTTGTGTGAGTTTCCCCCTCCTCTTCCTAACTTTGGCCCCCAAAAAAAAAGGTATTAGACCATCTCCAAGTCAAGCTTCCTACGGACCCAAATTTGGGAAATGCTACAGTACTCAAGAATTGGGTTACAAATTTGGCCTAAAACCGACCAAACCAAACCCGTGCCCATTAAGTTGGATTGGGTTCCATTTGACAATGTCTAGATTTTATCATACCTTAGTCTTTGAGAACACAATCTTAAAATTACAATGAGTTTTTATCATAAATACCCAAAATTTACCTATTAAATTCATAAATGTCAATTTTTTATTATAAAAATTTCAAATATAGCAAAAAATGCAATTAAAAATACTTAAATGCCCTTAAATTTAAAACCCAGATAAAAACCTAAAAAAACAAAACCAGTTCTTCATTTCTATGTCTTTCCTTCTTCGTTTCTTAAACATGATTTGAATTAGGAATTGAAATATACATGATAATATTGGTAACAGCTGCAGACTCTTTCTGCAGTAACCAGCATATGGGCAAGCAAATCAAACATAAGCTTTAAACTTTCTCATATAGCCTACCACACTGTCTGTCAACAAAAAAAAAAAAAAAAAAAAAAAAAAAAAAAAAAAAAAAAAAAAAAAAAACCTGTCCACTGCTACTCTACTCAAAATTTCCTTCATATACAAAATAATAGAGCTAATTAATTTGGCCTATTATTTCTTATTATTATAATACTTCAGATTTTGTCTGGTTTTGTTGTTAAATAGGCACTATTAATCACCAGATGCAACTCCCCAGCTTCATCATTCTAAGCTTTTTCCTTGCCCATCTTATATATTCTTATTTGTAAAGAAAATTCGGACCAACAAAAAGTTTGTACAGATAATCAATTTTTACTGGTGAGAAAAAAAAAAATTTAACCACATCCCTCCCTCTTTGAACCGATGCGAAGAAAGAGTTTTTATTTTTATTTTTTTGGTAATTAAAAAAAAGAGTTTTGACTTTTAGGTTTACGAGGATTTTAATTTTGAAGATATTTTAGTCTATTTAAGTGAGATTTTTTCTATATTTGAAAGCTTTTATAAAAACTCACATTTATAAATTCGGGTAAATTTATGATTAAAATTCAATTGGGTTTGCTGATTTGGTTTCCATGAACAGCGGCATCAGATGGGAAACCCAAATAGTCAACATCTACAAGCTCAGTGATTTGAGTCATTTTCAGAGAAAAAAAACTTCAAAACGACGACGTTTCTTGTTAACCATTACACTAATGCACCATCATGAGCACCAGCACCTTGGCTATCTGTGTCAGTCGTCATTTAGTCAACAAAGCTGAAGGCTGAAATTGACTCTCCTTTTGGTCCCGTAAGGTAAATTTCTGGGTTTCCTTTATCATTTTCTGCTTCACAACCTGTTGCATTGAAAATCTATCATATCTCTCTCTCTCTCTCTCTCTCGGTTGTGTAATTGATTTTTTTGCTAAGTGTATCTAAGCACCGATTTCAGTTTGGATGTTCTAGTTTATATTTCCTTTATACATAATAAAAATTAAAATAAAATAAAACAAGTAGAATATTGTCTTCTCCACTGCCCTCTGCAGATTCTCCTTCTGTAAACCTAGCGTCATATTGATTGACCCAAATAACAGTTTGGGCATGTTAAGACAGTTTGGGGAAGTTGGGAGCTATATTTGTGGTAAAAGCATGTTGCTTTTCTTGTGAATTTAATCCCTCCCAGTACAAGTCAAGCTCTAGTTCTATGATTATCCTCAGTAGTTTTATACAATTCTTGTTTGATGGTTTTAGCTTTAAGGAGAAACGGGTGTTCTTTATGCCCTTCCCTCCGTTTGACTTTTTTGATATCAGGATCAGTCATTAGGAAAAGCCAATTCTTGGAAAGCATTCTAAGAAGATATTTATTTCTTGTGTGAGCCACTCCTAATCAAAGTTTGGTTGGGGCCTCCTTATCCAGATCTTAGTGGTAACTTAACATTAATGTTGAAGGTAGACTGGATTTCTGACTTGACCATAATCTTCCTTTTCGTCTTCCACCTCTGTTCCTTCCTCATTCTCTCTCTTCTATTTCTCTCCTTTTAAGTTTCGTGGATTTGGTTGGGTGCATTCCAAGAACCAGTTGGCCATGGTCCATCCAAGTGTGATAGGTTGGTAGGTTGGATGTAATCACATGGTTCATGAACCATTGAATCATCCAATTGCGAATTTTTTATCTCTGGATTAGTATGTTACTTGGCTGATCCGTTTAAGGGGTTCAGTGACAAAGCATTTTGCCATTGGATGAGAAGTAGTGCAAGTGGCTGATCAGCTATGGCTTAGTGATGTAGCAAGGTGGGCTTGATAAGTGAGTTGTGGCCAAGGAGGATGTTTGGGTGAGGAACTCAGGTGATCATATAATCAAGTACAGTATAGAAATGGTCTTTAAAAATCAAGGGTGTGTGCTAGAGAGGTGCACCATCATGTTGTTGTTAACCCTTTACCAGTAATGCCACATCTAAGAGAAGAAAGCATCGAATCCTCTCTTTGCTATGGTTAAGATATCCCCTGCTATATCTGCTGTTGAGAATCCTCTTCCAAGGAAGTCTTCTTTTTTTTCTTTCCCCCCTCTTAAAGTCTATCTAATTATTGCTTTTATCTTTGAAATGTCAACTATCTTCTTATTCAGAATGGAAAAGGAGAAAGGAAGAAATTGAACAGGAGGAAACTAGAATAAGATCAACTTGAATGAACTGGAAATTGCAATTGCAGATGTAGGTTCCATTTTGCAACAAAATTTTCTGATGTTCTGTTTCTTGACAGGTCAGAGCGGGTGCATTTAGAAATTAGAAGAGGTAATCCTAGTCATTGGCTCTGTTGAAGAATTAGAATCTTGAGGCATGGACTCTGAGATGGTAGTGCATGAAGGTGGGTGCCATTGCAAGAAAGTAAGATGGCGAGTGCAAGCGCCTACCGGGGTTGTGGCTTGGAGTTGCAACTGTTCGAATTGCTCTATGAGGGGCAACACTCATTTTATTGTCCCTGCTGACAGATTTGAGCTTTTGGGTGATTCTGAACAGTTTCTTACTACTTACAGCTTCGGTACTCATACAGCAAAGCATAAGTTTTGTAAGGTTTGTGGGATAACTTCATTTTATTATCCACGCTCCAACCCCGATGGCGTTTCCATCACATTTACGTGTGTTGATCCTGGAACACTAACTCATATTGAGGTTAAGTATTATGATGGGAAAAATTGGGAAACCTCACACAATCAAACAGGAATTGCTTCTCAGTCGAAGGGTTGAAGAAATGATTCATGTTGGTGATATCAAATAAGCATTAGCAACAAATAGAAACAACTTTTCTAGTGTGGAAGTTGATGTTCGTCATTGTGTTGCTTGCTCGTAAGAGTTAATCAAGGGCATCGTGTATCTACTGCTTTTCCAATCATGTATCTGGAACCATGACTTGTGTGTAATGCTTCCTTCTAGTTTTTGCTTTGTTTTTGTTTTTGTTCTTTGGCCAAACTATTATGTCCATTTGTAAATATTCCATTTTTAGTGTGAGAAAAGGAAAAATTAGTAAAAACTCCCTGTAACTCAGAAATTTATTATTCTTAGGCCGTAAATGGGTTCTATACTATAACCCAGAAATGGAGGGCTTAAAGCTAAACAACAAAAATAACAGATTTTGTTTTTTGGGTTTACTGCGAAAGCCCCCCAAAAAAAAACCACACCAAAGGCCAGCTCCAATACAGAACAAACAGACCCCCCCAACCCCCACAAAAAAAAAAAAAAAACACCAAACTCCTAGAGACATCAGAAAAGCCCCAAAGAAGTCATCGTTTCCTTTGCATGACTTATGTTGGGATCAATCAATCTGCACATTCTTTGAGGAATTTGTGAAGGCACTTTTCTATTTCTAAGGACATGCCAACAAGGAGGGCCAAAAGTTTGAAACAATGCATGTTTATAGGGACAGAATTATGTTGATCTCCGCCATGTTAGGAAGCTAAACTTTTGTTGTTGTATGGAAATGGAATGGAAGAGGGAATAGGATCATTGGCTTCACCCGCAACTAGCAAAAGCATAATTGACAAAATCACAACCACAACAACCACCAACATGCTATTTCTATCCATCTCTCCTTAGGGTTTCTTTTTTTCTTGCTTGGAAGTTGGGATAACTACTCAAGCTTTTATAGAAGACTTATTATGGTGTACTTTTTAACGTACTGTAAATATATATTTACATGAGTGAAGGTGGAAGAGCACAACTAACAAAAGTAATATTATAAACTATTCTATTGTATGGAGAAAGAAATTGAACTTGAGTGCGAGTGAGCATATATACACACCTGAACCAACTGACATAACTCACATTTGTAGACTAATACTATTAATTAGTACTAGTCAGTCTAATATAATTTATGTATTACAATTAGTACATCAAAACTAATATTTGCATTGGAACTAGTGAGTCTAGTGTAACCCAATATAGTTTAATAAAAGTTGGAATTTACCAAATTATTGAATGCATGATTAGATCCAGATCCCTTTCCCGCTTGTGCTTGGGGGGAAAATTTTGTCCGACTACTCCGAACTGTATGTCATTGGCTGGAGAATTTGAGCTCTCAGCACAACACAACCATTTCTTCCTTAAAAAAAAAAACAAACAATTTTTCTAAATCTTTTTCGGTTTTAAATTATCCGATTTTCAGATTCTAAAATGCAGTTAACAAATAAAAAAGTTGATTTGGTTTTCACCATACCAAGGGGCAGCCCTAGAAAGAGAGATGGGATCATTGGCTTGCAAGTGAACTTGCAAAAAATTAAATAAATAAAAAATTTGAGAACAAAATCATCACCACCAAATGACTCCTTTGGAAAAGAGCATTGACTTACAAACCAGTAATCTCATATTCGAACCCTCACATACGCTATAAATATGAAACCAAAGAAGTTCATATACTAAATGATTGTTAATAATTATTAGTTTATCCTAAGATCCGTCTCGTCCGCGCCAACTAAAGACTTTGCCATGTCCGGTGGTGAAATCATTGTTGGAACAAAGATATGAACTAGGTAATGGCGTGATGTTTTAATTTTTAGTTCCCCAATTTATTGTGGTGATTCCCTTCAAAATTTTTGTATGCAATTAATTATCCGTTTTATTATTAAAATTCATTAATAGATATAGTCAACAATGAGTTGGCCGGAAATGCTTAGGGCCCGTCTGGTAACGTTTTCGGAGAATGTTTTCTGAGAATATTTTCAGAGAATGAAAACAAGAAAACAAATTTGCATTTTCAGGAAATGAAAATGCGTCTGGTAGATTAATTAGAAAACATCTTTAGAAAACAAAAACAATGAAAACGTGTCTGGTAGAACAATTGTTTTTCAGGTATATTTTTGCTAATTTCAGTTCTAATTTTTTTTAATTCTGATATTTTTAGAGGCTAAAATTATTGTAAACAATGAAAAAAATTTAAGCTAAAAAACTATCTTATCTCCTTTTTTTCTTTTTTTCCTTTTTCTTCTTTTTCTCCTTTTCTCTCTTTCCTCCTCTTTTCTTCTTCTTTTCCTTCACATGGCTGCTTCTTTTTTCTCTTTTTCTTCCTCTTTCCTACTTTCTTCCCCTTTTCTTCTTCCTTTCCTTCCCCAGGCCGTTTCTTTTTTCTCATTTTCTTCCTCTTTTCTTCTTCCTTTCCTTCCCAGGCTACACCCACTCCTCCTTCCTTCCATGGCATGAATCCCATACACCCACCCATCTCTCTCTCTCTCTCTCTCTCTCTCTCTTGATCCACTAATTAATGGTTGTGATGGTTTGATTGGGTGATGATGGTGGTTGAGTTGGGTATGTGGTGGTTCTTCTTCTTGTCTCTGTTTTTTTTTCTTCTTCTTCCTCTGTATTTTTTTTCTTAATTTGCAGATCTGTTTATTTTGGGTCAGAGAAGATGGGTGTTGTTCCTGTTGGTGGGTTTATCGGTTGTCAAAAGAGAGAGCTAGAGTTGTTGATGGGATGCATTCTTGTGTCTTCGGAAAACACTGAAAATGAAATCACTGAAAACAACTTTTTTTCATTTTCAACTTTTGTTCACAAAGTCAGATTTGTTTTCAGAAAACGTTTTGTGAGGGAAAACGAAAACGATGCACCGAACGTGTTTTTGTGAAAAACAGGAAACAAAAACAGAAAACAGGCTCTAAAAACATTACCGAACGGGCCCTTAGTTTTCCTTATTTGCTTGCCTATTTGAAATTTTGTTCCATCTTTTCCTTTCTACACATGCTCTCGGATTTTGGTTCAATAAAAGTGCCTCAAGGTTGATTATAAAAAAAAAGAAGAAAAAAACAAAGACGTGCCGCAGGGGATTTTATTTATTTAAAAAAATAATTTTGGATTTTGGATTTCATTTATTAAAGTTTTACTGTACCTAGTTTTTCATGAATAATCATCTACCCTTTTTTTAAATAAATAATCATGTACCTATTTCATGACTTATTTATTTAAATACAAAATTTATATATAGTTTCTTTTTCTTTTATGAATGATAATATACCTATTAAAGTTTTATTGTACCTAATTTTCATGGATAATAATCTACCGATTATTTTTAATAGGTACAATAATTTACCTATGTTATGGATAATATACCTATTACTGTACCTATTAATTTCATCCATAAAATAATAGGTAGACTATGATTTTTTACTGTAACTATGATTTTTTATTATTTTTAAACTAATAATGTACCTATTATATGATTTATTTAAATAGAAAATTTATTTATGTTCCTTTTATTATGAATGATAATATACCTATTATTTGTATGGATAATAATCTACCTATTATCTTTTATAGACAATAATTTACCTATTATATTTATGAGTAATAATCTACCTATTATCTTTTATGGACAATAATTACCTATTATCTTTTATGAGTAATAATTTATCTATTATTTTCTCCTATGAGTCATATGATGTAATATATGTAGGCATGAAAATGTTAACGTACATAATATCATCTAATTAACATACTTTTTTTTTCTATGGCATTGTACCTATTAGAATATATATTATATAGATCTATATAATTGAAGAATATTAGGTAAATATGAGTAATGCTACACTTACCACATTTTTATCCCACATTTCTATACCACATGATGTGGCATGTCCATTTTATATGCCACATCAATTAAATCAATGAAGTGCATTTTAATTAAGGCAATTAGAAAAATAAATACTGGAATAAACCATAAAAGAAAAGAAAATATTAAATCATTTTAATTGATGTGGCTGTCCACCTCAGCTGCCACATAAGGTGGTATGAGAATGTGGTATACAAATGTGGTAAGAGTAGCATTATTCTTGAACTAATTTGATGGTAAGCCATTATTACATGAGTGCAAAAATAAACAAAAATGCTAGGCTTACCACATTTTTCATACCACAATTGTACCACCTCTCTAATAGAGGTGGGTCCCATTGTATTGGTGGGCTCCACCTCTATTAGAGAGGTGGTACAATTGTGGTATGAAAAATGTGGTAAGCCTAGCATTACTCAAAAATAAATGTGCAGTGAGAGGTATTATTCATTTGCATAAAATTAGAGGATGAAAAACAGTCAGCCACCAAATAAAGATCTAGTGGAATGATTTGTAAATAAATCAACTTATATGGACACATTGTCATCCAATTTTAAAATTAGATTTTACTTAAACGTTGTATTATTGGTGGGTTATCGTTTATGGTATTTGAGTTACAAGGACCTATTTTAGCATGATAAAGAAAAATCCGACATTTTTGTATCTTGATGGTTGTTACCAAAATAAATAAATAAAATTTTGGCAATTTTTGATTTCGATAATTTCGGTATCGGTAACTCTAGGTTTGGTAATTTACGGTAATTTTGGGGTTTTCGGTATATTTGGATAAATTCAATTTCCAATACTTGTTGATTTGCTTTTGGTTATTTTCTATAGTTTAGTTTTTGTTTATAGCCATTAATTCACTAACATTACGAGCAAGGCCTAAAATATTGAGGCTTTCAAAAATATCGGAGGTCCAAAAACACAAAAATATTTATGGAAATTATCGATATTGGTAAAATTTGAATAAAAATCATTGAAATTGTAAGGAAAACTTGAAAAATTTTGATTGAAACTTTAGAGGATATTTATTTAGTCAATTATCTATTATTTTATCACCAAAAAAAATTACATTGCATGGTAGGTTTGATTGATTTAAGTTAATTATATAGCGAGTTGACAAAGACTATGAGTGTAGAAAATATGTAGTAATTAATGAAAGAAGATTAAACACACCATAATCATTTATTTATAATGATTTACTACAATATTTGACACTTTATACATTGCATGATAAAATACATGAGTGACTTAGTACCACATAGAGTTCCTATGAGGATCAAATTTGTCATTGTCTTCACCATCTCTATGTGTAGGTTACGTGTACTGTGAAGAGTAGTCATCAAATGATAAATCCCAAAATAGTTTGCATGTAATTGTTAACATGTCACTCATATGGGATCCGAGATTGGTTAACGTTGCCCATAAGAAAAATCATTTGAAGATTAGGTCTCACATTCTTTCTATGAGCCGCTCGATTCCATCCCAAAAGGCATGAGATATGAAGGGTAGGGAAAGGGTTGGAGGAAAAGTAGAAGTGGAAGGGGTTTGAATCCGCATGTGCACGTGCATAAGCCTTTTCATTATTTTTTTTCTATTCCACGTCGATATCGCGATATTATTGATATTATTGATATTATCGATTTATTGTGATAAACCAAATGCTCATGATAATTGAAGGACATTATTGGCACCGAAACTTCCCCGATATTATCGATATTTATACGATAAGTACAAAGATACAATACAAAATATCCCCATCCCTAAAAAAGATAATATCCCCAATATTTCGGCGATATTATCAATATCTCAGTCCTTGATTACAAGTAACAAGTAGTAGTGAGTCCAATTTACAAACTCTCTTACAATTAATAGTTTAGTACACTTGGCTATGTGTATGTAGGCTATATGTATGTATTTTTATGAACTACATGTATGTATAATTGTAACACTACTTTTTTTCTTATAAACTAAGTAGTATAAGAATTTGTTCATTAATACTACTAATTAGTACTAGTAAGCAATATAATATATGCATTACAACTAGTGCATCAAAACTAATACTTATATTTTGGGACTAGTGAGTGTAGTGTAACTCAATGTACATATAATGAGTGTAAGAATTTATCAAATTGTTGAAAGTAATACTAGTACTAGATCAGAGTATTTAGGCATTTTGTCCACATGTCATGGATTGAAGAATTTGTGCTCCCTTCCGGAAAAAAAAAGAAAAGAAATTGTGCTCCCACACTATTAATGATACTCGTATGATAACATAATAAATATGTTTATAAATTCTTTATGCAATACATATGTATCTTTTTTTTTTTTTTTTGTTTTTTTTATTCTTTTAGAGATTGCATTCATAATTCAGCCAAAAAAGCTATTAGCCACAAGGGGCCAAAACAAACTAGCCACAAAGGGCGATTATAATAACGGAGCGGTCGAACAACAAAATTAAGACAATCTGGTGCGCCTCCTCCCCCCTTAAAGTAAAAACGACTCTAGGAGGGTTTTTTGGGAGGGAGGGTTTTTTTAGTAACCACGTCGATATATTATGGTAATAACCAGTAATTGAATTACTGTAATTTGATATATTTTTTTGTTTTCACCACAACAAAAGCAATATTTTTTTTCGGTTTCAAATTATTTGATTTCAAATTCTAAATGCAGTTACCAAATATAAAAAAAAATTGGTTGATAATAAGTTGATTCGGTTTTCACCATACCAAGGGGCTCCCATAGGAAGAGAGATGAGGTCATTCGTTTGCAAGTCAACTTGAAAAAAAAAAAAAAAAACAAAAAAAAAAAAAAAAAAAAAAAAAAAAAAAAAACCATGAACAAAACCAAACCATCAATGACCTAAATATTTCCATCCATGAATACCTCCTTAGAATTTTTAAATATATAAATAATTTGAACACCAATCCATAATTATAGGCTTAGTTGCTCTAGTGCTCCTTAAAAGTAAGGTCTAGTCTTACATAACTCACTGAAATAAAAATGACTCATTTTACCCCCTTAATCGATCCTTTGCCTATGACTTTTGCCCCTTAAAAAATATTTCATTTTAAATGAATATTTTAATTAAGCTTATTTACTGTAACACCCCTTGAAACTACAGTCAAGTCCCATTTTAACCCCGCTAAAGTCCAAATGACACACTTTGGCCCAGTTTGGGATTGCTGTCACTTTAAAAAAAGTTGCTTATGTTGTGCTTTGAAAATAATTAGCTGTAAACTAAAGCAGCTCCATATTTGGTAAACAATATTTTTAAAGTATTGTTAGTACAAAAAGCAGTGTCAAAACCGTTTGGTAAATTTTAATATAAAATTGTTGTAACTGTGAATAATGACTAAAATAGACATGATGTTAAAAGCGTTATGTACTAATCATGTGGTGGTAGTGGTAGTGATGGAGTGGAGGTAGTGGTGGTGGTGGTGGTAAGGATGGCGATTGTGGAGGTGGTGGTAGTAGTGGCAGCATGGTGGTGGTTATGGAGGTGGTTGTGGAGGTGGTTGTGGATGTGGAGGTTTTGGAGGAGTCGGTGGGTGGTGGTGGTGGTGTGTGGTGGTGGAGGTGGGAGGTGGAGGTGGAGGTGGAGGTGGAGGTGGAGGAGGAGGAGGTGATGGTTGTGGTGGTGGTGGCGGAGGATGAGGAGGAGAAGGATGCGGTGGTGGTGGTGGAGGTAGTGAATATGGTGGTGCAACTAGTGGAGTTGGATGTGGAAGTGGAGGTGGTGTCATTTTTTAAAATGAATTATTGTATTATGGGAATTAAAAAAATTCATTAACAGTGTGTTTGGATGCGGTAAACTAACTCGAGATTTTAATAAAAGTCGGAATTTGGAACGTGGAAAAGGGAAAATTCAGCATTTGGCAAAACCAACTCAGGATTTGCCAAATTACACGCAGAAAATATCATGGGAATTGCACATCTAAAATCCCGAGTTGAAATTCCATGGTAATAGGCGGAATTGTACAATTCCCAACAGAGAGGGAATTTTCATCTTCTGCTCGCCAAATCTCCTCTATAACCTATCTTTTGCCCGACAAAATTTTCATCTTCTGCCTGCCAAAATTTCAAGAATAACCTATCTTCTTCAAAGAGAACAAGCCTGCGCGCCATGAGTATTCTCTTGATGGTGTTCTGCTAAGTTTTCTGGTGAGTTTCAGTTTTCAGTTTCTTTCCTTGTTGTTGGCCTCTTTTTTGTCTGCTATATTGATCTTTTCATCCATGGAACCAGGGTTCTGCTTTTATTTTATTTCTCCTCTTTGTCTTTCAATCTGCAAGAAGATTTGCTCTTTCAATCAAGGTAAGAGTCTCAACTATCCAGACTCATCTTTCTTGCTCTTCCCATGGCTGTACTTGCTAATTTTGAGTTCTCTAGTTTTCCTTTTTCAGTTAATTGAATCTTGTTTACAAGATAATAATTCTCTGTTGTTCCCCTTGTGCTTGCCCCTGCTACGGGTTTGGTTGTGCTTTATATGTTATATTCTTATTTGTATTGATTGTATTGTTGATTAGTTGGGATTGAAATATTTTGGTCTAATTGCATTTTGGAGCTTACAATATGTGATTTTTCCTTTTCTTTTTTGTTTTTTGGTTGTATTGATGCTATTGAATCTGGAGGACCCATTTATTGCTTTTCTAAAGTTAACTTTTTTTTTCTTTTTCTTTTTGTGCGTTTACAAGTACATATGTGATTGTTTTATTTTAGTTTGTAGGTGGTGAAAAATATGCTGGATTTATATGTTATGTGAGAGTTGGTTTTCTGTTTCAATATCACAAAGAAGGTGGGAACGTATTAAAATTAGTATAAACGCTGTTTTCAATCACATTGCATATTGGTATAAGAGTACTTATTAAATGCATATTGGTATCAGAGTACTTATAAACGCTGTTTTCAATCACATTGCAAATTAGTATAAACGCTGTTTTAGTTGTTTGGGTTCTTCTCTGGTGTCCTTTATTATTTATGGGCTTTTGGCATGGTTTGCCATTTTGAGCTGTAACCTATAGTGTTATTAGATCTCTATGGTTGAGTTTGTGTTCTAATCAGTGTCCAATACCCCCAATGACTAAATTTTCTGTATTTGATCTGATATAAATTTCTTCCTAGTTAAGTAATGAGACTGCAATGCATTTGGTTTAATTTTCTTGTCAGGTTTGATATCATAGAATTGTGTGGATCATGTAATCCCTAGGCTTGATCCAACAGAAGTATATAATAAAGTCATTGCAATTCCAGATCTTAGTCCAGATGAACAACTGAAGGCATGCTCTTGGTTTATAGAAAATGAGAAACAGTTTCTCATGTTAAAGACAATTCCAATTGAGAAAAAGAAGGGAATGGTGTTAATGTTTATTTCACCGAGAGCGTAGACACATTTTATATTCAGTTGACATCTTTAATTTTTGCTGTTTTGTTGAAACATTGGTTGGGATGATTAGCTTCATTTTTTTAATTACATGATTTATGCTTTTTTAAATTACACAAGCTATAGTTGCAATTCTTTACATTAGTAACAATTGAGGTATGTGCTGTTAGACAATTTCATATTGCACAAGTCTTTCTAATTATATATTATATATATATATATATATATATATATATAATGTGTTGAACAATGCTAATTATTCCTATCCAGATTTTATATACAAGATTGTTGGGAAAAAAAAATGTTGTTACTTTTAAGTAAATTCTAATTCTGTGATGATTATCCAAACAGTTGAAATTGTAATTTCTATCATTTCTTAAATTCCACATATATGACATCCAAACGCTGAAATTTGCAATTGACGGAATTTTTAAATGATGTAATTGGAAATTCCGTCATTTACAATTTCCATGGAAATTAGAATTACTTCATCCAAACACACCATAAAAGTTCATCTCTGCTTCTTTTGAAAGCAACTTTGAAAAGCAACCCAGAGTCTGCTTTTAAAAGCTGCTATCAAAAGGCCATTGCTTTTAAAATAATCGGGATATTTTATTTTTACCAAACACCTTAAACTGCTTAACTTTAAAGTGAAGCAAGTTTTTGGCGAAAAAAAAGCAATCCCAAATGGGGCCTTTATTCCATTGACTAGGGTTTTGTGTTCCACATGGCCATGTCAGTAATTCTATATAATAAAAAGCCTTTAATTAATTTACAATAATTATATAAATATTAACCATTTTCGAATGAAAAAACGCAGGCGCGGAGCACTTCCCCCAGATCAATAATCTACAGGGGAAACTCAGTTATGGTGGTACCCATTGTAAACTAATTGAAAACAATTGTCAAACTCCAAGTGCAGGTTGGACAAATACAACCTCAAACCCCACACACAAAAAAAAAAAAAAAAAAAAAAAAAAAAAAACAGAGGAAAAAAAAGAAAAAAGATGATTGGAGAGATGAGAAATGGAGATACTTGTACACACAGCACTACCTACTCTCACATATATTATTATTGAATATTGATGAAATAATATTGAACTCTATCTGCCTTGGAGAAAAAGTCGCAAAACAAGTATAGAAGCTAACGTGGGCGCCCATTACCACCAACATAAACCCAAGTGAAGAGAACAAGAGGCTCATCTATATCCACACACACAACAGAGTCGGTCAGTCAAGAAATCAATTCATAAAACCCATTTCCCTGATTTCACATTCATACCCAAAAACCAAATGGCCACCGCAGTTGAATTGCTCCCCAGAGAGTACGGCTATGTAGTCCTTGTTCTTGTTCTCTACATCTTTCTCAATTTCTGTATGGCTGGCAAAGTAGGCAAGGCCAGAAAGAAAGTAATGTAAATGCTAGATTTTAAATAAATATAAAATATAATTTAATTTAATAAAAGAAATCTCTGTTAAAATCTCTGAATGAATTTGTTATGAATTGGGCAGGTACAAGGTGCCTTATCCAACCCTGTACGCTTCAGAATCCGACAACAAAGATGCAAAAGTTTTCAATTGTGTTCAGAGAGGCCACCAGAACTCTCTGGAATTGATGCCTTTGTTCTTTGTGCTTCTGTTATTGGGAGGTCTTAAACATCCTTGCATCTCAGCTGGCCTTGGTCTGCTCTACATTGTCACCCGCTATTTCTATTTCAAAGGCTACTCCACCGGCGATCCCGAGAACCGCCTTGCCGTCGGGTTTTGCCCTACTTCTTTCTCCATTTTCAATCTTACCCATTTCCCAATCTCTACTCATTTAATAATTTTTAACATATCTAGCATATGACGTGTTATGTAATTTTTCTTCTTTTTGATGAAAAAACTGTGGCTATTTGTCTTAGTACCATTTTTCAATCTTCTTACTGGTGAAAAAAAGACTTGTACTTTAAGTGGTTAATAATATTTACCCCTACATCCAATGTGCTAGGTTCGATTCCCCATCCCCAACATCACTTATATCAAACAATATATAATACAATTAGTACATTTTTCATGTATTTTATCAAATATATGTTATGTTGTGATATGCTAATTCGGACTGAACATGTTATGTTATGTTTTGAGATTGTTACTCTCAAATGAACTTAACGTGTGTCATGTTATGTCGTGAGATTATTAATTTTGACTGAGAGCATAATCAAATAAGATTTGATTGTATATACGCGGCCGCGGTCTTAATATGTTGAATTGAACTATTTGGAAATGGAAAATTTAACTATAGAGTTCATTTTTTATTTACTTTTTTTTTGGTGTGTTGATGATGACAGGAAGTACGGGTTCTTAGCTCTGTTGGGGCATATTGTGTGCACAATTTCCTTTGGGGTCACTCTTCTTCTCCGAGGATAAACAGAAGTAACCAAAACCCTCATGGCCGTTTGGGGGCTTGCCAGTGCCATCTCATATGCTGCTGCTACTTTTTGGTCCCATAGTTTCTTTTTTATTTTGTATTGTTTGGCTTTTGAATAAGAAAGTGCCAGAAATAGGAAGGAGGGTGTTTCCGTTTGTAGGTTTTCATGTCTTTATGTTTATGTGTGAATGAATTGCATAATTACTATCTCATTTTATTTTCTTGTACTCGTTACCTTTTGTTTTCTCTGCCTTTGGTTGTTTTGAACAAAGCACCGTACATGGTTGTAAAAACTAAACTTAGTAAAACAAAGAAAGATACATGACCAAGGCCAAAACAAGAATAAATAAATTAAGTAAATAAGCGGCTCAACAAGAGCATACAAGAAGAAGAGCCACCCAAATGGCACAAACAGGACAGACAAACGCATTCATGAATTGACGAGGAATTGGTGGAGTTTTGTTTGACATAAAACAAAAAGCCCAAATGATGAAGCAAACCTAACAACACCAAGTTGGCTAGAGCCAATGTGCTCTTTACTCTGCATCCGAGTTCGAATCCCCTTTCCCATAGTTTAGATTAAATTAAAGTAGAATATCATTTGTATCAGAAAAATTAACAAAGTGACAAGATTTGGTTATTCAACTAACATCTTCTACATAACAAGAAGCCCCTTTATATAGAGGAGCTTTGACTTGGGAAACAAGAAAACATATGAACGATACTTTTCTTTGGAACTGAGAAAACATATAACTCAGCTAATTTATAGACTTTTTCTCTTCATTTGCATTCTGATTTGGCCCTTCATGTGTTGCATTCGAATTTGAGTAAAAAGCTTCGGTGTCGTACATTCAGTGAAGATATACAACAAATGGCTGGAAATATAATATGCAAGTATGAGTTCCTCAACAAAACCATATTTAAAAAACACTTTATCCACTCATCAACAAATACCCACTAGGTCACTACCCATTCATCCATCTTCAGCATGTCATACGAGCATGTAAGAGGCAGGTGAAAATCACTTAATTAAACTGGACTATAAAGATCATTAAGATTAAATTCCTAGAAACACACCTGGGTACCAACCAATAGAAAAGCATCCGCTTTCTCAAGCCCAGCAATGCTACTGTTCATAATATATCCAGATCGAAGATCAGCATCACGATTTGAATTTGAACCATTTCCTTCACACCACACATTGTTTGAACCCATTTTATTTAAGAAGTCTTTCAGTGCCATCATGGACTCAGCATCAGACAGCTGACCAGCAATCCCAACAATCTCCTCTGGTTTAACTTGATGAGCCATCTCAGCAACTACAGCAAGGGCATCACGCCAGCTCACAGGCTGAAAGCGCCCATCAGCACCACGAATCATAGGGTCATTTAACCTCTGCCTCTTCAAACCATCATAACAAAATCGAGTCTTGTCTGATATCCATTCTTCATTTTTGTCCTGCAAGAGGTGGTAAGGAAATACATTATAGAAATAAAAGAAAAAATTTAAGGTGAAGGATAACACCCAAATACTTTAAAATCATAGGTAGATTATGATTTTTTACTGTAACTATGATTTTTTATTATTTTTAAAATAATAATGTACCTATTATGTGATTTATTTAAATAGAAAATTTATTTATGTTCCTTTATTATGAATGATAATATACCTATTATTTGTATGGATAATAATCTACCTATTATCTTTTATAGACAATAATTTACCTATTATATTTATGAGTAATAATCTACCTATTATCTTTTATGGACAATAATTTACCTATTATCCTTTATGAGTAATAATTTATCTATTATTTTCTCCTATGAGTCATATGATGTAATATATGTAGGCATGAAAATGTTAACGTACATATATCATCTAATTAACATACTTTTTTTTCTACGGCATTGTACCTATTAGAATATATATTATATAGTTCTATATAATTGAAGAATATTAGGAAAATATATATAATTGGAGGGTGTAGGTATAAAAAAATTTCATTTATCCGACCTGTAGGAGGTTAAGAGGGAGTATTTGAACTAATTTGATTGTAAGCCATTATTACATGAGTGCAAAAATAATGTGCAGTGAGAGGTATTATTCATTGGGAGTTTCACTAAAACACCCCAAATGATGGCTGAAATTATAAAAAAATCCAACACCCAAAACACTTTATAAACACACCCAAAACCCATCATTACACACACTCAAAACCCATTTATAAACACACTAAAAAATAAACAATTGTTGATTTTGGGTGTGTTTCTATGTTTAAATAGTGCTTGAATTTTTTTTATAAATACATGTCTAGGATTGGGTTTATTTATAAATTTGTATTATTCATTTGCATAAAATTAGAGGATGAAAAACAGTCAGCCACCAAATAAAGATCTAGTGGCATGATTTGTAAATAAATCAACTTACATGGACACATTTTCATCCAATTTTAAAATTAGATTTTACTTAAACGTTGTATTATTATCGTTCATGGTATTTGAGTTACAAGGACCTATTTTAGCATGATAAAGAAAAAGTCAACATTTTTGTATCTTGATGGTTGTTACCAAAATAAATAAATAAAATTTTGGCAATTTTGGATTTCAATAATTTCGGTATTGGTAACTCTAGGTTTGGTAATTTATGGTAACTTTGGGTTTTCGGTATATTTAGATAAATTCAAATTCCATACTTGTTGATTTGCTTTTGGTTATTTTCTATTAGTTTAGTTTTTGTTTATAGCCATTAATTCACTAACATTACGAGCAATGCCTAAAATATCGAGGGTCCAAAAATACAAAAATGTTGATGGAAATATCGGGAAATTATCGATTTTGATAAAATTTGAATAAAAATTACGGAAATGGTAAGAAAAACTTGAAAATTTTGATTGAAACTTTAGAGGATGTTTATTTAGTCAATTATCTATTATTTTATCACAAAAATAAAAATAAAAATAAAAGGGAAATACATTGCATGGTAGGTTTGATTGATTTAAGTTGATAATTGTAGGGGCTTTATCTTCTGGCACTTGCTATGGGCTTGGGCTGCCGTAAATAGCAAAATGGATGAAATTTCCCCTTGAGCCTGAGTTCGAAAATCAAACCCTAAGAATGCTTTGAAAGGACATAGATTCCTTAGGAAACACCTTGGTTTCCTTCACCAACAAAAAAAACAACAACTTACAGATAGATTTTCTAGCTTGGCATAAGAGGCTTGTGACATGGGAGCAAAATTGACATGAGTTTAGCACTGAAGAGAAAGTTATGCGTTGTTGGGGGGAAAAAGGATGAATAGAGCACGAATTTGCTGGGTTTTGCAGGTGAGAGAGGAAGCTTGCTATCTAGATGTGGTTGTTTTAGCTAATGATGAAGTAGTGGGTGTGCTGTGTAGTTTCCGGTAGTTTGACAGAGGCTCTGTCACGCTTTGGAAAAGTTTATCAAAAGGGAAAATGGGAAAAGATGGAATGATGGGGCTCAAAATTGCAGAGGTTTCAAAGGTGAGAGATAAAGCTTGCTCTCCATATGTGTGTTGTGGCTAGTGGTGAAGTATTGGGTGTTTTGGGTAATTTTCCAACAGCCTGACAAAAGCTATGTTAGACTCTGGAATGGCTTGCCAGAGTAGAAAATGGGAGGAGATGGAGGAATATGACACGAAATTGCAGAGTTTCAGATATGAGAGATGAAGCTTGCTCTCTAGATGTGGGTTGTTATGATGGGTAGGAAATGCCTTTTTTTATAGGCGCTGGAAGCTATCATTTTCCAAGAAATCCTAATGGTTTCTATCCAATTTGGCCAAGTCTTTCCCTTCCTTTCTCCCTTCATCCCTTCAATCATCCTATTTTGGTGAAATCCACTCTGCCCATTTGCACAAAATCAGGGATTTTTGGGAGCTCAATGTTCTTGCCCGCAGCTTCCTCAGTGGAGAAACCCCATTTTCAGCCATCTTTCTTCCTTCTTTTCTCCCCTCTTCTATGGCTAGATTTGATGGGGGAAAAGAAATGGGTATGTACACTGGTTTGAAGGGTGTTTTGCTCAAGTATCCCTTGGTTTTTGGATGTTTTTGCTTGAAACTTGTTCCCCCCATGTGTTGGAGCCTCCCAGCAGCTTATACACACGGATATTTTGGCTTTCATCGTGGCTTTTATTTTTCAGCTTGGTGCTGGAAATTTGCAGATATTGTCTTGGGTTGCTTGGGCCTTCTAGGACAATAAGTTAGTTTATTAAGTAAATGGGCTAACTTAATCAATTGTTGGGCTATTTTGGTTGGGTTAATGGGCTACTTTGGTTGGGCTACTTTCTCTTTTGTGCTCACCCACATGTTTGGGCCTAAGAAATGGGCTTGAGTTTCTAGGCTCTCAAGCAACCTCGGGACTTCTATTTCTCAGCCTATCAATGAGCCTCATGTCAACTTATTACCATCCATACCACAATCCACTCAAGCAAGCCTCGGACATCTTGCGCGGCTTGGGCCCACTTAAGCTTGTAGCGTGACGTGTTGTTTATTTGCTTGGCGTGGCATGTGTGCAAGCGCATATGACGAACTTTCGCATGCCCAAATCGGGTTTCTTCTCTGTAAAGTATCGCATTGGGCTGGGAATTTATTTGGGCCGAACCGTGGATTTATTTGGGCCTCAATAATAATATAGCAAGCTGACAAACACTATGAGTGTAGAAAATATGTAGTAATTAATGAAAGAAGATTAAACACACCATAATCATTTATTAATAATGATTTACTACAATATTTTACATTTTATACATTGCATGGTAAAATACATGAGTGACTTAGTGCCACATAGAGTTCTTATGAGGATCAAATTTGTCACTGTCTTCACCATCTCTATGTGCAAGTTATGTGTACTATGAAGAGTAGTCATCAAATGATAAATCCTCAAAATAGTTTTGCATGTAATTGTTAACATGCCACCCATATAGATCCAAGATTGGTTGACGTTGGTCATAAGCAAAATCATTTGAAGATTAGGTCTCACATTCTTTCTATGAGTTGCTCGATTCCATGAGATATGAAGGGTAGGGGAAGGGTTGGAGGAAAAGTAGAAATTGAAGGGGTTTGAATCCCCTTGTGCACGTGCATAAGCCTTTTCATTATTTTTTTTTCCTATTCCATGTCGATATTGCAATATTATTGATATTATCATGATATATGAACTAAATGCTCATGATAATTGAAGGACATTAGCCGTGCCGAAACTTCCCCGATATTATCGATATTTATACAATTAGTACACAGATACAATACAAAATATCCCCCACAAAAAAAAAAAAAAAAAAAAAAAAAATAATATTATCCCAATATCAATATCTTCAATATTTATTTCGATGCGATATAGGGATTTTTGGATTTTTGAAATGTCACCTTTACTTATACATCAATTTCAATTTGTCACCTTAAAGAAAAATTTAAGCAAAATATCACCTTAAGTTTTCAAAATCTATGATTTGTCACCTGACTTTAACATCATCCAATTTTCCATCCATTTTGAAGGGTATTTTAGTCTTTCCAATATGTAAACCCTCTTTTTTATATAATTTAAATTTAAAGCTATGTAAACCCCCTTGCTTGGAAATACTAAAATACCCTTCAAAATAGATGGAAAATTGGATGATGTTAAAATCAGGTGACAAATCATAAATTTTGAAAACTTGAGATGAAATTTTGCTTAAATTTTTCTTTAATGTGACAAATTGAAACTGATATATAAGTTCAGGTGACATTTTTACAAATATCCCTATTATCAATATCTCAGTCCTTGATTACGAGTAACTAGTAGTAGTGAGTCTAATTTACAAACTCTCTTACAATTAATAGTTTAGTACACTTGGCTTTGTGTATGTATTTTTAAATCAAAAAAATGAAAGTAAATTTAGGTTTTAGCCATAAAAAAACTTTCACTTTTGGAAAAAGTTCAAAAAAGACAAAAAAACCTCTTAACTTTCAAATCAAATACATACAAATGTAAAGGATTCCTTAGGAAATCCAAAAATAAATAAGGGCAATTTTGTCTATTTTGGCTTCTTTTAAAAAATTTCTCTCTCTTTTGGATTTTTCCAAACACATGTACGTATATTTGTAACACTACTTTTTTTCTTATAAACTAAGTAGTATAAGAATTTGTTCATTAATACTACTAATTAGTACTAGTAAGTCTAATATAATATATGCATTACAACTAGTACATCAAAATTAGTACTTACATTTTGGGACTAGTGAGTGTAGTGTAACTCAATATGTAAATATAACGAGGGTAAGAATTCATCAAATTGTTGAAAGTAATACTAGTACTAGATCAGAGTATATAGGCATTTGTGTCCACATGTCATGGACTGAAGAATTTGTGCTCCCACGCTATTAATGATACTCGTATGATAACATAATAAATATGTTTATAAATTCTTTGTGCAATGCATATATGTATCTCTTTACATGTATACAATAAACATTAGTAGTTTAGTTTAGTATTAATATTCACTAATATTTTAGTAACTACGTCAATATATTATGGTAATAAGTAGTAATTCGATATTTTTTTTTTGTTTTCACCACAACAAAATCAATATTTTTTTTTCGGTTTCAAATTATTTGATTTTCAAATTCTAAAATGTAGTTACCAAATAAAAAAGTTTTGGTTGATAATAAGTTGATTCGGTTTTCACCATACCAAGGGCCACCCGTAGCAAGAGATATGAGGTCATTTGCTTGCAAGTCAACAAAAAAAAAAAAAAAAAAAAAAAAAAAAAAAAATAAAAAACAGTAAAAATAAAAAAATAAAAAAAAAAAAGTGACCAAAAGAACAAAACCACCAACCATCACTAATATTCCATCCATGAATGCCTCCTTAGAATTTTTTATTATATATAAATAATTTGAACACCAATCCATAATTTATAGGCTTAGTTGCTCTAGTGCTCCTTAAAAGTATGGTCTAATCTTACATAACCCATTGAAAATAAAAACGATTTATTTTACCCCCTTAATCAATCCTTTGCGTATGACTTTTGCCCCTAAAAAAAAATCATTTTAAATGTATATTTTAATTAAGGCTTATTTACTGTAACACCCTTTGAAACTACAATCAAGTCCCATTTTACCCCGCTAAAGTCCAAATGACCCATTTTATTCCATTGACTAGGGTTTTTTGTTCCACATTGGTCTTTGCCGGTAATTCCATATAATATTAAGACCTTAATTAATTTACAATAAATATATAAAATATTAACCATTTTCGAATGAAAAACGCAGGCGTGGAGCACTTTCCCTAGATCAATGATCTAGAGGGGAAATTCAGTTATGGTGGTACCCATTGTAAACTAATTTAAAACAATTGTCAAACTCTAAGTGCAGGCTGGACAAATACAACCTCAAACGCCTCATAAAAAAAGAAAAAAAGAAAAAAGAAAAAAAGAAAAAAATAAAAAAAGAAAAAAGATGGTTGGAGAAATCAAGATGTACTTGTTACACAAGCCTACTCTGACATATATTATTATTGAATATTGATTGATGAAATAATATTGAACTCTATCTGCCTTGGAGAAAAAGTCGCAAAACAAGTATAAAAGCTAACGTGGGCGCCCATTACCCACCATAATAAACCCAAGTGAAAAGAACAAGAGGCTCATCTATATCCACACACACAACAGACACAGTCGGTCAGTCAAGAAGTCAATTCGTAAAACCCATCTCCCTGAGTTCACGTTCATACCCAAAAACCAAATGGCCACCGCTGTTGAATTGCTCCCCAGAGAGTACGGCTATGTAGTCCTTGTTCTTGTTCTCTACACCTTTCTCAATTTCTGGATGGCTGGCAAAGTAGGCAAGGCCAGAAAGAAGTATGTAAATGCAAAGCTTTTAAATTATTTTTATTTTATTTTTTTTTTGGTGCAGAAATCTCTGTTAAATCTCTGATTGAATTTGTTATGAATTGGGCAGGTACAAGGTGCCTTATCCAACCCTGTACGCTTCAGAATCTGACAACAAAGATGCAAAAGTTTTCAATTGTGTTCAGAGAGGCCACCAGAACTCTCTGGAATTGATGCCTTTGTTCCTCGTGCTTCTGTTATTGGGAGGTCTTAAACACCCTTGCATCTCAGCTGGCCTTGGTCTATTTTATATTGTCACCCGCTATTTCTATTTCAAAGGCTACTCCACCGGCGACCCCGAGAACCGCCTTGCCGTCGGGTTTGCCCTATTTCTTTCTCCATTTTCAATCTTACCTATTTCCCAATCTCTACTCGTTTAATCATTTGTAACATATCTTAGCATTTGACATGTTATGTTATTTTTCTTCTTTTTGATGAAAAGAACTATGGCTATTTGTCTTATTACCATTTTTCAATCTGCTTACTTGTGAAAGAAAAAAAGGTATTGAAGTGGTTAATAACATTTACCCCTATACCCGAGGTGCTAAGTTCGATTCCCCATCCCCAATATCGCTTATATCAAACAATATATAATACAATTAGTACAATTTTCAAGTATTTTATCAAATATATGTTATGTTGTGATATGCTAATTTGGACTGAACATGTTATGTTATGTTGTGAGATTGTTACATTTGAATGAACTTAACGTGCGTCATGTTATGTCGTGAGATTGTTAATTTTGACAGAAAGAACTTAACGTGCGTCATGTTATGTCGTGAGATTATTAATTTTGACCGAAAGCGGAATCAAATAAGATTTGCCTATAGAATTCATTTTTGATTTACTTTTTTTTTGTGTGATGATGACAGGAAGTACGGGTTCTTGGCTCTGTTGGGGCATATTGTGTGCACAATTTCCTTTGGGTTCACTCTTCTTCTCCGAGGATAAAACAGAAGTAACCAAAACCCTCATGGGCGTTTGGAGCTTGCCAGTGCCATCTCATATGCTGCTGCCTACTTTTTTGATCCCTTAGTTTCTTTTTTATTTTGTAGTGTTTGGCTTTTGAATAAGAAAGTGCAAGAAATAGGAAGGAGGGTGTTTCCGTTTGTAGGTTTTCATGTCTTTATGTTTATGTGTGAATGAATTGCATAATTACTATCTCATTTTATTTTCCTGTACTCATTACCTTTTGTTTTCTCCGCCTTTGGTTTTGTTGAACAATGCACCGTACATGTTTGTAAAAACTAAACTTATTAAAACAAAGAAAGATACATGACCAAGACCAAAACAAGAATAAATAAATTAAGTAAATAAGCGGCTCAACAGGAGCATACAAGAAGAAGAGCCACCCAAATGGCACAAACAGGACAGACAAACACATTCATGAATTGACGAGGAATTGGTGGAGTTTTTTGTTTGACATAAAACAAAAAACCCAAATGATGAAGCAAACCTAACAACACCAAGTTGGCTAGAGCCAATGTGCTCTTTACTCTGCATTCGAGTTCGAATCCCCTTTCCTATAGTTTAGATTAGATTAAAGTAGAATATCGTTTGTATCAGAAAAATTAACAAAGTGACAAGATTTGGTTATTCAACTAACATCTTCTACATAACAAGAAGCCCCTTTATATAGAGGAGCTTTGACTTGGGAAACAAGAAAACATATGAACGCTACTTTTCTTTGGAACTGAGAAAACATATAACTCAGCTAAATTATAGACTTTTTCTCTTCATTTGCATTCTGATTTGGTCCTTCATGTGTTGCATTCGAATTTGAGTAAAAAGCTTCGGTGTCGTACATTCAGTGAAGATGTACAACAAATGAATTGAAAAATCCAAAATTATATATGCAAACAACAGTTGTACAGAAAATGCTATTACATTGCATTACAGTGAAACAAAACCTAGAATAAATTTATTGGAAGTACTTCCAATGTTCCAGAAGCTTTGGCCAAACAGGGCCTTACACAACCCCATAAAAATAACAGGAGAAAACAGGCGAATCTGCAACTTTATTAGAGAATAACAAAAATCCACTGGTCACTTCTTCAACAGCATTGAACTGCATTGTGCCATTATCTTTGATGCTCTGGTGATCGAATCAGTCATATAGAAATTCTCAACGGCAGTCCCAAATGGAGTCGAATCCAACTTTTGCTTGGATTCCGGCTTAATTGAAAATGAAAATGTAGCTGGCTCTCTCTCGTCTATTTGCAAAATGTTTGGTGCTACTGTCCTCATCCGGGATCGGATGGCCCCTAGTGTATCATATGGCAGCCGCACACCTGCAACCTCAGATAGAGCCCGAATTATCTTCCAATCATCCCTAGCATCACCGACAGTCGGAACTGCAGGTACTGTTTGCTGAGAGCACCCTTCTGTATTTACATACGTCCCTTCCTTTTCACTGAATGCTGCTGCAGGAAGGATGACATTGGCACGATACACACCCCGGTCCCCATGATGCCCTTGATAAACCACAAATGCATCGCTTGGAACCTTCTCCAAGTTAACATCATCAGCTCCCATCAGGTAAACAAGCTTTGCACACTCAATGCTGTTTTCAGATTCTGGCACAAGTCCAAGGTCAAGTGCTGCAGCCTGGGCAGCTTTGAGAAGCAGTACATTGACTCCATTCCAATCAGGCCTTACAACTTCAGCATACTTTGCAATGGTTTCAACAGCAGAAAAAATTGCATCCTTGTCTTTTCTCTCAAAGACCCCAGCACCAATAATGATGGCAGGGTTTTTGGCATTTGAGAGGACTGAGGAAAATGGGTGACGACGCTCAGCAATTTCTTGAAGTGTTTGAGGGCCTGTGCCAAGATGCTCGTGATCATAGTTGAAATCAGCTGCAGGGCCAATGTACCCAACCTTGGCGTGGGTAGCTTGCACCGTCTTCCGGATTCTAGCATTTACAATAGCAGCTTCTACTCTTGGCTGGAAATATAATATGAAAGTATGAGTTCCTCAACAAAACCATATTTAAAAAACATTTTATCCACTCATCAACAAATACCCACTAGGCCACTACCCATTCATCCATCTTCAGCATGTCATACGAGCATGTAAGAGGCAGGTGAAAATCACTTAAACTGGACTATAAAGATCATTAAGATTAAATTCCTAGAAACATACCTGGGTACCAACCAATAGAAAAGCATCCGCTTTCTCAAGCCCAGCAATGCTACTGTTCATAATATATCCAGATCGAAGATCAGCATCACGATTTGAACCATTTCCTTCACACCACACATTGTTTGAACCCATTTTATTTAAGAAGTCTTTCAGTGCCATCATGGACTCAGCATCAGACAGCTGACCAGCAATCCCAACAATCTCCTCTGGTTTAACTTGATGAGCCATCTCAGCAACTACAGCAAGGGCATCACGCCAGCTCACAGGCTGAAAGCGCCCATCAGCACCACGAATCATAGGGTCATTTAACCTCTGCCTCTTCAAACCATCATAACAAAATCGAGTCTTGTCTGATATCCATTCTTCATTTATGTCCTGCAAGAGGTGGTAAGGAAATACATTATAGAAAGAAAAGAAAAGAAAAAATTTAAGGTGAAGGATAACACCCAAATACTTTGAATTTCAGTGTCTTGATATATGGTGCTAGTGCACCCAAGTAGATTGGCAAATTTCATGATGTGCATGTCCTTAAACACTGACTTCCAAATAGGAAGTCACATGCCGTTAATGAAGAAATCAACAATATGGGTTCACTTGCAAACTTAACTAGCATCAAGACTAAAGGCAAAATCAAAAGAAAATATATGGAGCCATGAGAGTTAAGATACACTCGGGACAACTGAGACAGATCAAACATGACAGGTTCAGGTGTTCAAGGTTAATAATAAGAGACCAAACTAGGACAAGTTTCTTAACTCAGACTCGAGTAGATTGTGACTAAAATGTTTCGGATAGTCCAAACATTGCTCCTAAGAATTACTAAAATTCGAGTAGATTTAGTCAAAAGAGTACATAAGTCATGGCTGACAAGTGGGCCGGTCAATAAGAGTCAGGTTAATTGACCGAACCACAAAAAAAGTTGATTACAATCTGAAATTACCAATAGTCCAAAGATAATATTATGGTTGGTCTCAGCCATTTGCATGCAGCCCATATTGGAGTCCCCAAACAAGTTGACGCCCCTTTATCAGATGTTTATCCTTCATTTTTCACCTTCTCTCTCACCCTTCAAAACAACAGCGAACCTCTAAGGCCCAACCATTCCATTGAACCTCACATCTAGACTGTCCCCATCCTCTTGTAGCAACCACTGTTTTATGGTCATGTTTCATGGTGACGATGGGAAGAGGGTGAGGTTTGACTTGTGTCAATTTGCAGAAAGGAAAAAGAAAAAAAAGTACTACTTGTAGATGGTGTCAGTATTGTGGTGCCCACATCCGCATGGCTTAATTTTATGGAATACCTAAGTCTTTCCCCTCAGGCCCCAGCCACTCCGTTGAATTTCAAATATAGACACCACTGATCCTCTTCCATCAACTCCTGTTTTACGGTCAGATTTCATGGTGCCATGCACTTGATTCATACTGATGGATAAGGGAAGCAAGTGAGGTTTTACTTTTCAATTTTTGGATTAAAAAAAAATTGAATATTAACATGGCGTTAGTGCTGTGTGCCCATGTCCATGTGGCCTCTTTTTTAGGAAAACTGGATGTGCAAGACCTATGAAATGTGGATGGTTGTTCTTGCATTTATGGATACACATGTTAGGTTCGCAAGGTCCATCATGATAGAAACTAACCTGTAACTGTTTAGTTGTATCACACTTTGTTGGGAACGACTATACTATGATGGGGCCTTTTGTATCTTTAATCATGACCATGCAAAATAACGTCCTTTTTGTGACAGAATGTTGTAGTTATGCAGTGGCATTTTCTAAGCAGCAAATAAAAGAAACTATTAATGATTTATTAGGAATTCTCTGACCTGTTTAATCTTCTCAGCTACCTTTGGCACTAGAGGAAATCAATATCCGACAAATTAACAAAGACTAATGTCAGCCATTAACTTTAATGCCAAAAAAATGTTAGTGCATGTTGGTTTTTATGTATAAGAATCTTTTCTTTGTTCTTTGTTCGCATTTTTTCGTTGTGCAATAAAATTGTCCCTTTTCCCAAAAGAAAAAAAAATGTATTGCATATAATTGTATTGTGAAAACAAAATAACTCGTCCAAAAGATAATGCACATCAAAATAGTCCAATAAAAAATTACCTCATTTAACCGTGGAACAATGCGCAGGACTTCTGGACCTCGGCTATCAATTCGAATGTTCGACCCAACAGCATCAGTAACATCAATGGTCTCTGTTCCCTTCAATTCCCAATTTCGAGCTTTAAATGCAAATGGTTTTGAGGTTAGAGCTCCCACTGGACAGATATCTATCACATTTCCCGAAAGTTCACTAGTCATAAGTTTTTCAACATAAGTCCCAATTTCCTCTCCGCTGCCACGGCCTAACATGCCAAGGTCCTGAACCCCAGCAACCTCCGTTGCAAATCTGACACACCTGTTCAATCAAAAGTGCTCTTTATATCAGAAGCTTGCAACTATGGTTAAATAAAAGTGTGCCTTAAAGTGTAGTTGAAGCAGTGACCACAAGATAAGAAAGAAACAAAAGCAAACATCCTGAACAACCCCTAGAAGACTTAAGATAACTTAATACTACAGGTGTGATAATAGAAATAAGGTGTTAGAGACACTGTACTGCTAACTTGATAATACATTATATCATGGATATGCATCCAAACTTGGCTCAACAGCTTTATAAAGAGCAGAACCATGACAAACCGCAAGTTAAGTAAAAACGAATTTGAAATGAACTATACAAAGAATCCGATAACTAGGCATTTCAACATTACATAACATTCTAGGTTTAAGACAGCCTCATTTCCTGTTTCAAATGCTAAGTACATATAGAATACTGAAAGATAACTCAAATATGCTTAAGGCCAATTAGGTTCTTATGGTTTCTAGAAGAGTTGATCTGGAGAAGATCACTACTATACACAACTTGGTGCTAAAGTGTAGACGAATAGGATTGAAATAATTGGTCCGTCAACATCCACATGTCACTCACATCACAACATATAAACAAATTGCCTTGTCGATGATAGTTAGTAAGATATGGCATTATGTGGCTACAAAAATCCACGATCTATGCAAACAACAAAATTATCTTACACATTCATGGGAGCAATTAAAAGCAAGAAATCCAAATGCGAAAATAGGTACCAACTCACAGAAAATCATAATCTTCTTCAATTGGAATACCAGTCATGAGATTTCAGCATTGGCAGCATCATTATCACAGGAAAATTTGATGATTAAACTTATAAGATAACCCCATTGAGGGAAATTATTCTCACGTCTAATGCAGCAGAAAAACCGAGAAACAATTACAAGCAGGTCAAAAACTTAACCCTATAAATTATATTATGTACATTTTGTTAATTTGCAAACTTATGATACCTAGAAGACAGATCATCATGCTACATGGATTTGGCAAGACAATTTCATAACTCACTGTAGAATGTAATAACTAGGGTTAGACTGACAACTTTCAAATATGGCATACTTCTACATGTTAAAATGCTACAGCATCACAAAAATAATGTTCTCTCCAACCGAAATAAAAAATAAAAAATTCAATCAATCAATGTTAGTTTATCATGCTTTGTAATTGAATTCCTAAGCAATTAAAAATGTTAGAAAAGAAAAAGTTAATTACAGCGTCATCTATCCAGTATTACAATCCACTAGGACTGTGGTGAATAAGTGGGTATGAGAGGTAATGTTAGATTCTGACCTTGTACATTGAATACAACGAGTCATCACAGTCTTCACCAAAGGACCAAGATTCTTATCCACTACGGATCTCTTCATTTCAGTGAAACGGCCGCGATCAGATCCAAAGGCCATAGACTGATCCTGCAGATCACACTCTCCACCCTGATCACAAATTGGACAATCCAATGGATGATTCATCAGCAAAAACTCCATCACTCCTTCTCGAGCCTTCTTGGCTATTGGAGTATCAGTCTTAATTTTCATGCCTAAAAAGAAATTTTGTCAAGAAAACTGCAACTTTCAGCAAACATATATGAGGTCTACTGCGACCAAAAAATACCCCATCTTCAAACCATTGCATTGGTCAATTATTAAAAACTCAAATCAGAATAAAAGAGGTTACAATAGAATCTAATAATCAGAGGCTCATAAAATCGTTCTCTACAGAACATCCGCGTCTTAAATATAATCACAATCCATATTAATATTTAGCAAAAATGTAAAAGAATCTACGTCCAAGAGAAAAACTAATACATACGCATCCTCCCAATAGTCACATTAAGATCATACACGAATGAGATTAGAAATTTGACAAGGAGAAAACTTTTCATAAACCATACGATACAGCTTAGAGGCCTTAATCATGCTCCATAAAAATCGAAATATACCCAAATAGTAGAGCCAAAACTAGGAGTGGAGAAAATCCAAATATGGAACTTTCAAAAGCAATGAACAGCTAACCAAAAAACTGGAAATGGAGAATAAAAGGGAATCCTAACCAGGCATAGCAGGCATGGCACAAGAGGCGACGGGCTTCGGCGACTTCTCAACTTCTACGAGACACATCCGGCAATTACCAGCGATCGATAACCGGCTGTGGTAGCAGAACCTAGGGATGTCAACGCCGGCGACCTCACAGGCCTGCAACACAGTGAATCCCTTGGGGATTTTGACCGGGTAACCATCGACGAAGACCTCGATGGCATCTTCCGGGTTGGGGAAGTGGACTCGGGCCCCGGCCACAGGGGTCCGGGGAGGAAGATCGGCGGCGGGCTCGGGCTGGGCCGCGGAGGCGGATTGGTCGGCGTTCTGGAGCTCCGGAGTGGTTGAGACCGCTCTGTGGAAAGAGAAGAAGGGTCTAGGGTTTTGGGAGCTGAGGAGCCTTGACGCTGTGGGCCGCATGGCCCTCGAAGCAAGCGATCCCAACCCCATTTCTGTCGACAATAGCTCGCTCTCACAATGTGTATGATTTTTGTTGTTTTCAGAGGTCTAGAGATTTGAGCTCTGTGAGCTACGAAGAAGACTGATAGAAACGGAAGATGTGGTTGTTGCGTTGCGACGTTGGAAATGAAAGCTCTTCCCAAAATGAAACAAGTGTCGTCGGATCAGTGGAGTGGGTCTGAAAGCCCACATTGAGGCCCAGTAGTATTCCAGAGCCCAACTTACTCACTTCACTTTTTTCTCCCTTCTCCACGCGGACAACACATGCTCTTTATCTTTTGTGGGGAAGTAGACATGCTCTCGCTTAGAAATTTGACTAGTTTCAGAATTCCGTTTGGTATGAAGAGTAGCTGGTCCTGAGCCAAGTTTGATGCCCCTAATTTTAATACCCACCCACCTAGTTGTAGTGCCTCTATGGGTATAAAAGGAAACCGTTGGATAAAAACGATATTGAGGAAGGTAGAATCGAATCAAGTATGAGATGTTGAATGTAGGGTTAAATGCTTTTATAAAAATAATATTGAGAAATGGGAAATCGAACATGAATAATTGAATAGTAAGCTAAATGCCCTTTACCACTTAAGTTACAAATGCCTTATACGGTTCTTTTTGTTTAATAAAAACAAGTAACAACTGACGGGAAAAACAAAAATAGTTTTCAGGAAGCTTTGATTGTTTTTTGGTTGATAGAGTCTTTAAAATTGACGCCAAAATAACGGGAAAAAAAGGACCAACCCGACCCGTTCCACCTCAGGGTCAGAGGGAGAGAGAGAGAGAGGTCAGACGGAAATCATTTGGTTGCTTGCAGTCGACGATGGTCTAGGGTTCTGGTAAGCAAGAGCAGGAGGTCAGCTGCAGAAGCACCATGGCCATGAAATTCCTTCAACTGCTTTTCTTTTTCAGTTTTCAGCTTCGTCTCTCATTCTCTGGTGAGCGGTCTTTCTTCCATTTCTCGCTCTCTATCTGCAATTACTTCAATCTCTTTCCAATTTACGCAACTTTTTCTGGTTGTGATCGATTTTGATTATTACTATATGTCTGGTTGCTAAGAAACTCAATGAGTGAAAATGGAAACCTTGTTTGTTATATGCTGTTCTCAACTCTGTTGTTTTCCTACTTTTCTCACCTTTCACATGAGTCATTTGCTTCCAATTTGCATAATATCTATCTTGCTAATTTGAGCACATATCTAATTCTCATCTGGAATGCCACTGCGGTTTGTAGCTGCTGAGTTTCTGATCTCATTCATTGTGTTATCTTGGAGTATAGTATCAGTATGAAGTGGTTCTTTTTATTACGAAGCAAGAAGGATTTTGCAATATCAAATTTATAAGGAGAATGATATTAAGTAATATGAAAATCTGGATGCCTCTCAAAGGCTACAAATGGTCTTATTAATAGGTCTATTATACTAAATACATCCATTAGTGAATGGAACTTCAGAATACATATTCATAAAGTACTAATAGTTGATGTATGGTCATAATGATTTAGCAATGATTAATAATGGATAGTCATAATGTATTCTGAGCTATGAATATGTGTTACGGTGAACTTACACTGCGTGCAACCACCTGAATCAAGAAATCTTATTTCATGGCTGTGTCATTGTATGTTGAAAATATGAGCACTCATTGGAAATGTACATGACAATCATGATGTTTGTCTTGAACTATAGTTTTATTTTCTTTTGAAATTTTAGGACAGACAATCATGATGGAGTCAGTTCCTGATCTTCAGAGTTCAATGTACATGACACTTGATGGATATCCTTGTGTACGGCTACTCAATCTTTCTGGTGTGATTGGTTGTTCAAGTAAGTACGTTTTATTTTATTTTTAAAGGAAACATAATTTTATTAAAGTAGGAAAGCTAATTACAAAGAGTGGATAAGGAATCCACAATCTGGGATGGAGCAAGTAACAACAAGAAGAAACTACAACTAAAAAAAAATGTAAAATAGAGCATGCTCTCTAAAGTATTATTTTGTTATCATAGTTCTGTCTAATTTTATATGTGACGGAACATCTTTATAATGAACCTCTGGTGAATTTTTCTTAGATCCTGGAAGAGTGAAGGTTGTCGCTCCAATTATAAGATTAAACAATGCTACTGAGCTGTCTCAGTTATCTGCAGTTTTGCTGTCAGTGGATGAAATTCAAAGTTTTCTTACCAGGTGTCTATATAAGCTTCCATATTTGTATTTATTGTATATTTTGTTTTCACTTTTTTAGGTCACTTATATTGTATGCTTTGAACTATGTTATGCAGTAGTGTAGCTAATAACTAACAAATGATGATGGAAAGATAAACCTTTTTTTCTTTTTTCAAAGATGGCAACATATGTTTATACGGATTAGAACTCATTCTTGTTAACATGTTTTTTTTTCTTTCCTTTTTTGTGTTCCATGGGCATTCTACATATCCTTGATAGTTACATGGATTGGTAAAATATGTAGGAATTGAAAAAAAAAAAAAAAAAAAAAAAAAAAAAAAATTGATTGATATTCATTTTATAATGTATTTAGATGTGGCCTACTTTGGCTTGTTTTAGTGTGTCTTGAGAACTAAATAAATTTTGCTGAAAAATGTTTGTCTTCGTGGATGTTTATATATATATATATATATATATTCAATTGAAGAATGATCTTAGGAATAATTTTCTTGGTAATATATTAATAGCTCATACAAACAGCAATGTGTTGAGAAATGAGAAGTCGACGTAATTATAATTCCATCTTCTGTTATTAAAGAAAACTACTGCTGTGTTTTGGCCATGGTTCAAAATATACTTCTGTGTTTTGGACTTGGTGGATTATTAAAGTAGAAGCTTTATGTTATTTTTATGTACTCTGTATTCTTATTTTCATTATGTAATATGACCTAGGGCTTGGATGCCCTAACAACCTAGACTTTTGATAATTAACTTGAGGATGATGCTTGTAGTAGTCTATTTGTTGTGTTTTCTGTAGTTCTTTGGACTAAGAAGTATTGCTTACTTGTAAGATATCTGGCCTGTTTCAGAACATTGAATGATTCGACTTTTGCTAAAAATGTTGCTGGTATCTTGGTTGAATCAAGCCCTGAGTTCCAAAATAAGTTAAAAGGTAAACTTGCAGTCATCTATTTGTCATCTCTCTGTATTTTCTGAATTTCTATAGTTGTTTTTCAATGAGGCTAAGGTAAGTTAACCTCAGCATCTTTTTGGGTGTTGCTGACAGTGGCACTTCATCTTGTTTGTAGGATTCTCTCCAGATCAAAAGTTCCCACAATCTGAATTTGCTCCTTATAAAAGCATCAACTACGAATGGAACCCAATTGTAAGTTCTTTTATGTATTTGTTTTTATTTGTATCTGTATGTATGTATATATATATGCTGCTAACTAGTGCTTACCTTTTGTTGTAAATATCTTAATGAATCGATAATGTGAAAAGTGATAACATATTGTACCAAATAAAGCGCTTGACTTGCTTAGATAAGCATAATGCTACTTGACAATTCAATTCCAAGGATACAAGTATACTGTTGAATAAAAACGAACAATTACTTAGTCTTTTTTTTTTTTTTAACAAAAAAAAAAAAAGAAAATTTTTTTTTTTTTTTTTTTTTTTTTTTTTTTTTTTTTTTTTTTTTTTTTTTTTTTTTTCCTTTCCCAAAAAAAACAAAAAAAAATAAGATTAGAGTAAGATATTTAATTATTTTTTATTTTTTTTTTTTTTTTTTAGATCAGAGGAGTTTTTTATTTATTTTTTCCTCTGACAAATTGAAAGCATCAACTTTCTAAAATTTGCAGGGCTCTGGTATAATGTGGAACCCATATAACTTTCCTGTATTCTTACTCTCTCACAGTAGCACATTGACCCTGCAGGAGGTAATGCAAGAACTTAAAACTTTCCAGTACTATACGTAACCCTGGATATATGTTATAATAATTACTATGATATGCAAGACGGCTTCGCAGGGCTTTGCACTTATGATTATTCTAACAGACAGAGTATTATGGGTGTTTGACTTGTTACTTTGTTAGTTTTAAAAAAGTAGCACTAGTAACCTAAATAATCTTTTAAATCTCTATCAAATCAAAAGAGGAATTATTGTTGACCTATATGCATGATCTTTTAATTCTTTGTTTTGAAGGAGTGCTTCATCTACATGTGGAAAGATTTAATGGAGTGAAAGCTTTAATTAAAATACCATAGTAAATGTTTGTGCTTCATCTATATGCCTCTTGGTAATTTCAGAATATGAGGAGAGCTTCTTGCATCCTTAACAAATTACAAGAATGGTGCTTTATTGATTTTTTCTGATATATTGTGCACTGAAGAAATTATCAGCTGAAACAAGGGTTTATCCTTCCATCCTATAGATATTTTGGCAAGAAACAATTTTAGTAAGATCTAAAGGTTATTTCCCAGTTTTCTTGAAATTTTACGACATTTTGTATCGAAATCCATCGAACTGCGGCAGAATACCGGTATTGCAGGTGTCAAAATGTATAGGTTGGTGCAGCAGAAAATGAAATCATGTGATGGTGCAATGAGATAATATATTATGCATTTTTTTCTGACTCAATGTAAAATAGCGAATCAGCTATGTAGGCAAAGTTTGGGTTCTTCGAAATGTGAATAAATACTTAATAAAATATGGGCAATGTAAGTAAATGTAAAACTGGAATTAAATTGTGGGCTTATATTAAAGTGTGGATTCTTCAATTAAAGGTCTTAGTGTAAATTAAGTTTGTGATAAATATCAAATTACATTTGTTAAGTGTTATTCAGTGGTTTAATGTAAGTTAGATTTAATTAGTGTAACTAATGTAAGTTAGATTTAATTAGTGTAACTAATGTAAATTAACTTCACTTAGTTTGATTTAGAATTACTAGTGTTGCCTATTGTACATTAAGGTTGTAATTAATGTGAAATTAGTTATATCAGGTGTTAACTACTGCTAATTAATTAAACTAGTCTTTAGCATATAAATGTTGTCAAATATTACAAATTCGTTGAACTAAAGATGTATGTATTTTTCTTACAAAGTTTTTCAAGGTCATAATTGTCATTGTTGTGCTCTTTATTCATCCACCTCACAGATTTGTAATTTATGCACAAAGTTTTTCAAGTTTATAAGTGTCACTGATGCACTATTAATAACATTTTACAAATTTTAAAGCAAATTTTTTTTTTCTCATTCATTTTTAACCATACTTTCATCATTTTCCCTAAATCCAAACTAGCTATTTTCCACAACTTGGACATTTTCAATCTTGTGTGCACTTGATAACATTTTGATTACTTTTAGTGTCGGATTAATTTTTTTGTAAATTTTTGTTGGTATATTTATTTGTGCTGTCACTTATATTCAGGCTGCCATAAAGAATGAGAAGAACGTAAAATCTTATACAGCTGACGTGGCTGAGTTTGATCTGGTGATGCAGGTATAATCTGTTATTTCAGCGTGATTTTTTATCTGCCACATTTTAATTATTTTACCCCGTGTGTGTTTGCTTAACCTAATATCATAAAATGACCTCTCATACGCTTGGCTTGGATCAGACAACGAAAGCTGGGACTCATGATTCAGAATCTTGTCTAAAGGAAAATACTTGCCTTCCCTTAGGTGGATACAGGTGAGTTTTCATGTGATCTGTTGTAATAATGAATCAACTGAAGTCATGATCCAGTCAGTTTGCAGTTTATATAGTTGTTTTGTGGAGTATGCACATACATGTTTGTTTCAAATGATTACCTCCTTTTGCAAGTACCATAAATATTATTTGTGCTTTTTTGGAATGGAAAATGGTCAACGATGTTGGTATTGAACCCACTTCAAGTTTATTCAAATTTTTATTCTTTATTAGAAAGATAGAGAAGAGGAAAATTTCTATCTTTATTTGCCCTTTACATTTCTTAATTTGTGTGAAGTTTAATTTGGGCATCTTGATTATGAAGGGCAGTGTTTGGTCATCGCTTCCCCCAATCAATTTTTCATCATCAGAGCAGTCTAAGCCCATTATACTCGTGGTGGCGTCGATGGATTCAGCTTCATTTTTCCGTGACAAAGGCCTTGGCGCTGACTCCCCTATTTCTGTAAGTTTGTTTTTATTTCCTTAAAATGTTTTGGCTCCCTAAATGAACATACTCAATTATGTTTGGAACATTTCTTAGGGGCTGATTTCATTGCTGGCAGCAGTTGATGCACTTTCTCATGTGGATGGTCTGGATGACTATCATAAACAGGTGTGTTATCCGATGGCTTATCCATGCATAAGACAACATTCTGTCAGTTTGTTCATATTGAAGACTTGTTAAATGTTATGGGGGAGAGAACAACAATGGATGATATGTCATATTTAACATGTAAACTAACCATAGCTGAGTGAAGTTTAGGCATGTGCATGGTCACTTGATTCAAGGCATGAACCAGACTATAATTTCTTGAGTTCAGCTCCACCAGAACTGAAGGTGCCTTCTGCATGAGCTGAATGCCCTATCACTTGGATTATTAGAAAAGGCATATTATGTCCGTTTCTCTTTTGTTGATATAACTGCTCCCTTCTCTTTAAGTGGTAGAAAGAAAAGTCATTTGCAAAAAGTCAGAGATTAACACTTATATGCTCCTGTTGTAAGATCCTTGAATAGTAGGAAGTATATATTTGCAGATCTCATTTAGGAGGCAACTCAGTCAAGGGAACCACTATTCTTGTTTGTTTCACCATTCAAAAGTTTGGAGTCTTGCTGCATATTAAATGGGTAACAGCATAGTTCTGCTGTCTGCCCAAGTGCTCTATCTCATCACTAGTCATGTATTGTTCTTTATTTTATTTTATTTTGTTTTGTTTTGGTAACATTTTTACGCATTCAGCTAACAAATCACAATATGTCCTTTGCTGATTGTTGGAATATTCTGTATTTGTTTCCTCAAGTGGCTTCTGTCCAGCTCAGATTACAACCTTGTAGGTAGCCCCAAGTATGCTTCCCTTGTTGACCACATTGTAGCTGTGAAATGGATTTATTACTATTCCCCAAACTATACCATTTTCTGAATTTTGGAATTTCTACCTGCAACAGCCCCCGAGTATGCTTCCCTTGTTGACCACATTGTAGCTGTGAAATGGATTTATTACTATTCCCCAAACTATACCATTTTCTGAATTTTGGAATTTCTACCTGCAACAGCTTTCGCCTCCTAAATTACATCTGCTACAATCAGACCTCTTGTTCTTATATTAGTTTACATTTATCAGGGTTTTCAATGTGGCTCATCTTTATTTCAGTGAGGTTCGGTTTATTTTCACAAAAGTTCTTCCCTCACTTCTCCTAAAGCTTGCTATAAAATCGGACAAATCATCATGGAACGCAATCCTTAATTTATACAAATTTATAAATAAACCCAATCCTAGACATGTATTTATAAAAAAACCCAAGCACTATTTAAACATAGAAACACACCCAAAATCAACAATTGTATATTTTTTGGGTGTGTTTATAAATGGGTTTTGAGTGTGTGTAATGATGAGTTTTGGGTGTGTTTATAAAGTGTTTTGGGTGTTGGGTTTTTTTATAATTTCAGCCCCCATTTTGGGTGTTTTAGTGAAACTCCCATTTATTTATGTGGAGATTTTGTTGACCTTGAGAATCCAGTCTTAGTCTTAATTAAATGTTGCTCATGGTTTCCTCTAAGCGTGTAGTGCTCTTTTATTGGACTTTTAGTGTCATAATAAACTATTGAGGGAACCATATAAAAAATAAATTATCAAGGGGCCAACGGGGTCTAGTCTAGTGGAAAAGGGCCTTAACTTGCAGTCTAGAGGTCTCAGGTTCGAACCCCCATGGCATCATAGTTGTGTGTGAGAGAGAAATCGTCCAACCCTATAATTTAGACTATCGCTTGTACTATAAAAAATAAAAAAAAATAAAAAAATTATCAAGGGAGAAATGATTGTGTGGTTAATGTTAGACTCTCCATGTTTTTATTTACTTATGTGTTTATGCATAAAGAGTTTTGTTGTCTTAGTGGTCTTCTCTTGTATACTTGGCTTGCCGTCTCTTTTTTTAAAAATATTTTTTCTACTAATGCTTAGTTATTACCAATATGAAAAATAAATTTTAAAGGACTATGCATTAATTTAATTTTTAGGGGCATATAACATAAAGGGTGTAGTTAGAATGTATTTTTGTGTGCATTCATTTATCTTAAACAATTTTGTTTTGTTCTTAGATTTTTGGTAAGCATCTATTGCTGCTGACTGCTGTGCATGTGGAATTGTAGTTTTCATGATCTTAAATTTTAATGCAGCTTGTTTTCATTGTTTTCACTGGAGAGGCCTGGGGCTACCTTGGTAGCAGGAGGTTTTTGCTTGAACTTGATCTGCAGTCTGATGCTGTTAGTGGCCTTATTACTCATTGATTGAGAAGGTATACTTGTGCTCTTGCTATAATTGAAGTCATCTACTGTAATCCGAAGGTTTCTTATGGTAATGTTGCTCAATTAGTTAAACGTCACACAGCCACTCTCCTGGCATTACAAAATTACTAGTTACAAGACTGTCCAGACACAGAATCATCAAATACATTGGTTAGAAGAGGATTTGAGTTTTCCAGTCCCCTCCCTCCGTTTCTGTTCGGGGAGAAATACAGTTATTTTTGTCATGTATGATATGTCATTTCGCTTTCATATTTTGCCAAAAGATACTGTGACACATGTTATGCAAGTTTGAGTTTTATGTCAAGTTATTAAGTTTAATTTCTTGTAATTCACTTGGCTCTTTCACATTATGCATCAGTAAATCTTTCGAGAACCTAACTATTTGGTAATTGGATGATTGAGTGTAGGTTGTGGAAATTGGATCTGTTGGAAAGGGCCTCAACCAAGGAGTTAAGAACTTTTTTGTTCATACAACTGGGGTGAGAAATTTGTTCCCTAAAATTTAAATTTTATGCATATCCTTGTAACTTGCATTTCATATGGTTAAGTGGAGAAGTGGTAAGTTGCATTTCACATGCTTAATTGCAGAATTAAAAAAAGTTCCCTCCCCAAAATTGTGCTTACGCTGAAAATTCAGTACCTCCCCATATACATGGCTCAAAGTTGAATATTCGGTTGATCAACCCTTACCGTTACTGCATGATCATATCATAATAGAAATAAATATACTCTTTGTTCTCTTCATTGTTTTAAATAATTTCCATTTCCACCATCGGATCACCAATCATTCGTCATTGATGCAAAAATAACCAAATACAAAATTCACCCTCTATGAAACCTTCAGTAGAAGAAGCTCTTGTGAAGATCAAATAAAGAATCATTCTTCCTTATTATCATCAAAGGGCATTTGCATTCAAAATGGTTACATTTTCTAAGGTGTTATTTTTTAGGTTTCTTCTGCCACAAATGAGACATTGGATGCTTTAAAGCGTGCCCAAGATTCAGTCAAGTCTGAAAGCTTTACAATCTCATCTACAAATGCTTCAAATCCTGGGATTCCTCCATCCTCATTGATGACTTTTCTGAGAAAGGTTTGTAACAGTACAGTTGAAATCCTTACTTTTGTTAGCTACTTCCTAATTTATGTCTCTGTTATTTTGTTCTTGCTCATGTAAGGGCATAACCTCTCGTCTTGTAAGGGGTGCTTTTGATAGACTGGATTAAAGTCGTGTTTTGGACTAGTCCCACTTTTAAGACTTCCTTGGACTGGATAGCTAGTTCAACTTAAAGGAATATACAGGTCCCTAGGGTCTTCTGTTAACACATGAACATGAATCTTACAAGAAAACATTTGCATATGTATTTAAATTTGTAAAATATGCAGTCCACTGAATACATGACAGTACTATGCCGATGGGCCAGACAGCACACCAAACACAGGACAATACTAAGTTCAATCCAGTTTTGCGCAATTAACCTATAATGTAAACATCTGGAGCTCCCCCTTGTGGAAGTCTCATTTTCTTGAATCCACTGTATAAGTACTAAGTAAAGGAACAATTAAAGTGTTGTGGCTAAAGTATTTCCTGAGCCATATCTTTTAAAAGTTATTTTAGCTGTTTGTTTTGTGTCTTCTGTTTGGGGTCTTAAGTTTGTACCTAGAGACATTATCTTTCTTTTGGACAGCAGAAACATAAAGAAGAAAAGATTTTCTCTTTATGCCTGCTATTTGGGTGTATAATATCTTAAAAAGAAGAAAGACCAAGAAGATATCCTAATATGTTCAAGAAAATTGAAACCATTTTGTTGTTGCTTTCATTGAACTCTTGTGAATAGCTCCTCTGCTCTTAACAGAACTCTCTAACTTCTGGGGTTGTTTTAGAAGATTTTGATACTGTCTTCACCAACAAGTTCTACAACAGTCACCTTGATGATATATGTGAGTTTATTATTATGCTTTTGTTCTTTCTTGATTAATCATCTTAATGCTAAATGGTGATCCCAAATCTATTTTGTTTCATTCTTGCTTCCAATGCAGCCAATGTAAACTCTTCAGCAATTGTGGCAGCAGCTTCCCTTGTAGCACGCACCCTTTACATTCTTGCAAGTGACAACAAAAATTTAAGCAGTTCAGCTTTAACATCTATCAACGTGAATGTTTCACTAGTTGAAGAACTAATGGGTTGCCTATTGGACTGTGAGCCTGGTCTTTCTTGTGAGCTGGTGAAAAGCTATATATCACCAGCCAGTACCTGCCCAAGCCATTATGTTGGTGTCATCCTTGGTGAACCTTCCTCCCCACCTTATCTTGGATATGTTGATGACATTTCAAGGTTCGTTTGGAATTTCCTGGCCGAAAGAACTTCCATTCCAAGGAAAAATGGGAGTTCTGTTTGTTCGCAAGACTGCAGTAATGAGGGTGAAGTATGCATTAGAGCTGAAACTGAGGGAAAGGGAGTCTGCGTTGTCTCCACAACCAGGTAACTAACTAGCTAGGAAATAGAAGTTGCAGATCCATTATAAGAAGCATGCTTAGTTAAATAGTATTTAGTGTTTGGGGCAATACTGGAATAAACTGTGGTCATAGTCCTAGTTGTGGGGTCTTGCCTGCCTGCCACGTCATATTGTTTGAAATTTGATTATGAGATTCCTCTGTTAGTTCTATAGGCCAACCTTGTATATAATATATGGAGATTCTCTTTCCAAGACATCTGTCCTTTATTAAAGGAAGGATTTGCAATAATGTCAATGAGGTATCAATAACATGTTGATAAATCCATGGATACCTATTTGTTATTGACTTGTTACCTATATGTTATTGCAATTCGCCCTTCTATAAATGACAGATACCATGCAGAATTTTGAATTAATGCTTGTGTGATGATGCAGATATGTTCCAGCATACTCAACACGGTTGAAATATGAATCTGGAACTTGGAATGTGTTGCCTCCAAATAACTCAGAACCCATGGGGCTGGTGGACGCTGTTTGGACAGAAAGCAACTGGGATACGATTGGACTCCGGGTCTACACCATCCAAAATGCTTCTTTCGATCGTCTTGTCTTACTTGGGAGCATTGCCATTACAGTCTTGTCTTGCTTTGCAATAGCGATTACAAAGGCCTTCGTGAGAAAGGCTCTAAAACGTGATTGATAACTTTTGTAAATTGCTGTTATGCTCTGCTATATTCTTAGACGTAAATACTGGAGCAAATGTGGCAATTATTTTAATTACTTCATATCAACTTTTGTAAATCAACAGATTATGCGAATCAGGACACCAAAACGTTTAAGTGTTGCATTAATGGAAAGTAACTTGAATTCGACCCATACTAAATGCATTAAGGTGTTTTTAAAATCTCAGTCGCCTAAACAAAACTTTTAACTTTTAAAAGTTCTAGCTTCTGCTAGCCAATAGGGCAACCGTACAAATTAGCAACAGAGAACAGAGATCTCATATCAAATCTGTAACGTTCATAGGCATTTCGTCAATCTGGGTGCTGTAGTACTGTTCAATGTCTCTTAAGACCTTTATATCATCGCTTTTGACAAAGTTTATTGCCACACCCTACAAATAATCAAATACCAAATTGTGATTAAAACTTGCAAAAATAAAGCTAATAAACAGTAATCAGCACAACATACTTATAAATACACCTGCATACGAATTAGAATACATGCATACCTTGCGCCCAAAACGACCAGAACGACCAATCCGATGAATATACAGCTCTCGATTGTTCGGAAGATCAAAATTGATAACCAAGGAAACCTGAAAAAGGGAAAAAAAAAACCAAAATAATTATTAGAAAATCAATGCAGGAAAAACATCTGTATACGTATAACATGTTAAATTGCTATTAATACTAGAACCAAGGAGAAATTAAAAGCAATGTCATGAAGAGAGTTTAGATTAATTTGATTCTGATGGTTGTTAGACAATTAGAAGAAGAAGAAAAATTAACATACCTGCTGAACATCAAGGCCTCGTGCCCAAACATCTGTTGTGATGAGGACCCGAGAATTGCCACTGCGAAACTCTTGGGTGATAGCTTCTCTCTCCTTCTGAGGCATGTCTCCATGCATTGAAGACACCGTAAAGTTATTACTCCGCAGCTTCTCTGTGAGCCAGTCCACCTTTCGCTTTGTGTTGCAGAAAATAACAGCTTGTGTAATTGTAAGAGTATCATAGAGATCACATAGCGTATCAAACTTCCACTCTTCTCGTTCAACGGAGACGAAAAATTGCTTGATTCCCTGTGCATATCATCAGAAATACAAATTATTAATTCAATTTTACGCCAAATTTGACATTATCACATTCAAATTATTTGCTTAAGTTGTGCGTATTAGTTACCTCCAAAGTCAACTCATCACGTTTGACAAGGATCCTTACAGGTTCAGTCATAAACTTGTTGGTCATCTCCAAGATTTCACGAGGAAGTGTAGCAGAAATTAAGCAAACCTGCAAAAATATATTACAACTGAATTCAAGCAAACATACTACTAGCTTTGAACAAGACTTGAGAACATGTTAAAGAAAAAACCTTAACTGAATTTATATTTCAAGTATAGCCCAATAAAGTTGAGAGTGTTGTGAAAAGAATTATTGTTAATAAAAATATGAAATAATTTTGCTTTCCGCTATACTTTCTGCTTTATTAAGTCAGTCTTCGTGCACAGTTGAGTTGAGACTTCGTGCTAGAGACCCGACCATACTGGTTGGAAACAGGCCCTCTTGGCTTAATGATTGCCCGGGTTTGAACAGTGATAATTCTACTTCACCTAGCTTTGGCTAAAAAGATGAAATAATTCTGCTTTATTGAAGTTGAGCAGATCTCTCTTAAAAGCAGATGGGACGTTGATCTTGTCTTTTCCAGGCTCATTTGCATTCATCTTTTCTGATTGGTTTTTTTTAAAAAAAAAAGTAACAGTAAGCAGACGCGAGGCGACCTAAGCTTCCTTGATGTGTTCAGGTTTAGTTTTAGGGTTTATGTTTAGAGTAGAAGAAAAATTTATAAGACAAAGATGACTGATACACATAAGAGATCAATCGAAGAGAAAGAAAACCTGGAGGTCAGGTGGAAGATATCGGTAGACATCGTAAATCTGATCCTTGAATACTGTACTTAACATCTCATCAGACTCGTCCTGAAAAGCCAAACCAAACCAAGGTTAAGAAAATTAAGAAACTAAAACATAAAGGGAAATTAATTAAGAAAGAAGAAGAGACGGAGTGAGAAACTTACGAGAACTAATAATTTAATGGCTCGAGTGCTTAGAGTTCTCCTCTTGATCATGTCAAAGACTCTACCTGGAGTTCCACAAACCACATGAACTCCATTCTCAAGCTTTCGGATATCCTCACCCACACTTTTGCCTCCAACGCAAGCATGCACTTGTATGTTTATGAAGTTTCCAACTGCTAAGATCACCTTCTCAGTCTGTAACGCCAATTCCCTCGTAGGGCACAATATCAACGCCTGAACCTCTCTGCAGGAGGTGTCCACCATCTGGCAAACGCTGAGGGCAATCATGGAGGTCTTGCCGGTACCTGATTGAGCCTGCGCTATCACATCGTGGCCGTCGATGATGTGCCTCACCGCCCGCTGCTGGATGGCGGAGGGCTTCTCGTAGCCGTATTGGTAGATGCCTCGGAGGACGTCGTTCTTGAGCCCCATCTCATCAAAGCTCGCGATTGGCTGTATATCATCTGACGTCACCAACTCTAGCTTCTCCTGCCGTAACATGCCGCTCTGTCTCCTTGCTGTCTCTGCTGCCATGGCTAAAACCTCGACTACTAGGGTTGAGAGTGTATTGGTTATTGGTGAAGAGTTTTGCTTTGAGTCTCAGGCTTGCTTTGATATGCGCGCTTAAATAGAAAATAATAAAACCCAATCAAGGAAGGATGTGTAGATTAGAACCTAAATGATTACTCATATTTTGACCTAATGATTTAGTCTACAATTAAAAGTAAAAACTAAAACCATTTATTTAGTTGTTTATTTATTTATTTGAACCTAGACCCCTTTGGCACCACGTCATATTTTGCCTGAAACATGTACTTCGTTTTAACCACCCCATATCTGTCATAGACCCCTTCTTTCTTTTTTGGTCGAACTCATAGACCCTTTCAAGCCTAAAACATGTCCTACGTTTTCTCCAAAAAGCGTGTTTTGCTTTCTTTTACTTCTTTAATTTAAGTTTTTGTTAAATAAAATTAATATAAAATGATAACATATTGATTTTTAAACTTGTTTTTTCTTAACCATTAGATTAGATCTAATGGTGGTTGACCACAGTTTCCTTGGACTACAGGGGTCCAAGAGAACGAGACTGATAGATTAGATGCCAATTGGTAAACAAAGTGGTGTCGGTAGCTTTATACAAACCCTAACTCTAATATATCTAGGAAACCCTAACCCAAGTAGACTTAGGAAATCCTGAACATACTTGAAACAAGACTCTAATATATCTAGGAAACCTTAACCCAACTAGACTTTGAAAGGGGCAACCAACATTCCAGAGGGAGATAGAGAATATACGGCTTTTTTTTGTTATATGAGGCTACCAAAAAAGGAAAATAAGAAACGAAGACATTAGCATATTATGCAAAGCGTGGTGTTTAATTATTTTTTAAAAATTATTATATGTGGGAACATAGAGTCGACTGTTCATTAATTTTTTTGGAACATATAGCGTCGTCCTACTAGTTTTTCCTGCAAACATAGGTGAGTGATCCTCCGTTGGATTTACTGCACGGCTGCTGGAAAAAGCTCCTTTTTGATTATTTTGTGCCTATCAAGTACGTCTAGAGCATCCACAATATTTGAGCTCCCTAAACTATCTTCATAGACATATTCTAGAAAGGAATTGGAAAAATACAACTTCAACCATACTCCCTATCCATCTCTTTAGAGAGATCTCTACGAGCTTATAAATCTAAAAATTACCCAAAAATTACTCCATGCATAACTTTTGTGTGTTTATAGCTAATTTTTAACTGAAAAATACAGTGCAACTTGATTGTAGATGTTTTTACAATGGCTTTCTCTCAAACAAAAACAAAGGAAAAAAGGTTGGGAAACTTGAACTATCTTATTTTCCTCACTAGCATCCCGCTTAAAAGAAAAATTTCTGCACTCAAGAAGTAGTTGACATTTATAGTATCATGAAAGCTTATGATTGATTTCTCGTATCCTTGTTTTACATAAATTTCTGTTCTTGTAGCCTTCTTCATGTTGTCCAAATTAAATAACACCAAAAATGAACCATGAAACTTCAAAAAGCTATATAAAATTTCCATATGGGACTTGAGCAATAATAATAATAAATGATCATCTGCCAATATCCTGAAAAGAAAATCATCTGCCAAAGAAATAGCGAATGATTGAATCTAATCTAACATAAGTAAAATGTATTGAAACTTATTCATGTTATGTTATATTGATAAAATATTACATGTAACTCCTAAAGCTACACCATATAAACCAAGGATATGAGAGGTGACACTGACCCCTCCTATCGATACACCTCTGAAAAAAAAAACAAGAATGAAAAGGTTTAAAATCAACCTTATTACAAGCCAAATTCTAGTTCAGCCCGCTTCAGAATAGATGTCACTCTAACAAAATATTCTGGTTCTCTTTCTTTAATATCCTCAAGCATCCTCGATTCATGTTCTTCTGCCTGAACAGTAGCAGCAGACCGCGTTAGGAAACCCGAATCCAAGTACAGAAAAAAGTAATTAAATGATGGTTTTAAATAAAATGGAGGAACATTTCTGCAAACTTAAACTTACATCAAAGACCTCTTCACAAGATAAAACTTTATGTTATATAATTGTAACAATTGCTACACATAATTTGGGGTAAATGGGGATGACTTCAAGTATATTTTCCTTAAATTCCCATGGAAAAAATTCAGGTGATAAAATGAAGATTTATAAGACTAAATGTTACAATGTTGATTCCCAATGAAACCCAAAATGAATTAGTCTCCATCTGGGAGGAAAGCAAATTTAAACTTCCATGTACTAATTGGAACCAAAAAGAAAATGCCAGTTAGCTTCCTATAGTAATGCCAATATATTCAACCATTGAGTGCAGAACTCAACCTTTAGCATTCAGAAAGGATAGAACTTGATCTATGAAACTGTGACATGAACATAAAAATAATAAAATAAAACTATTGTAAGCAAAAGAAAATTAGCTTGCACTTGCATTTTCTCAAACAACAAAACTAATCAATACACAGCTGGCTTCCAAGGTTTAACGAAGCACTGTAATACACCATACCTCTTTAAATTTCAGAAGAATTAGGTTGGCCACAGATGCCGGCTTTTCCTGGTCCCACCTGGAAACAAATGGAAAAGAAGATCAATAACCTCAGTGATAAATAAGTCGATTTAATATTTAAACGATTTGTGAGATTCAAACAACCTAAAAGTTATATGTAATGGTAGTACAAGAGAGAATCCATACCTCACAAGCATTAACTCATTTACCGATCGCCACATACCACGCCCAACATCTTTAGCAAACAGTTCTCTTGCACTTCTTCCATGCCACAACTCTTTTACAACAAACATCACTTCCTCGACATCTACCTAATAAAATGGCAATGGGTAAACAGCATTACTAAGATGAGTTTTCTAAGACAATATGAACAATGAATTACAAAAGATTGTAATTCTGATTGACAAGCAATCAGTTTTATTATTTTCTTTTGTCCGCATCGAGTAAAATTCGATGCTCTTAATTTGTGGTCACATAAACTGTAGCTAACCCACTGACTGATAATTGTACTTGGAATGGAAAAGAACATCAAAACATTACTAGGTCCAACAACCAAAAACAGAATTTTGGCATAAAATGTCAACTGTGACTTAGAAAAATGACGGGAAATACAATCCTAGTTCGTTCATTGTTCTATTCGAATGAAATATTAATGAGGATTACAGAGTATAACTGCAGCTGGCTAAATCAAAATAACGGAGATCCCAATGGTTAGAAGCTCCACAAACCATTTGGGATGGCTTCTTTGAATGTATGGGCTAATCACCAATGATCTTTCAAGGAAATTCATTGTACGTGCCTAAAAGAAGAAAATGCTTGATTCCACCATAAGTTAGATTCACACTCTTGGAATCAATTGAGAGATGCATTCCTGTCTCTTCCATGCTGTTAAACCTATAGGTAGCTCTTAAATACTAAATTATTACCTAATATAATGAATACCAGAAAAATGATATAAAAATTTAAAATCCAACAGCTCCACAACCCTAGTACAGATGAAGCAGTTAAGAACAAAACTTAAATCATCCCAATACAAAACATGAAAGAACTTAAAACAGCCATAGCCATCCCCAAACAACCAACAGCGAAGTAACCTCAAAGGAGAAAATTTAAAATTTGAAGGAAACCTTTCCATACATGGACTTGCAAGGCAGTGCCATACAATGACTCCTCATGCTCAATAAGGCGTTGGTGAAGCATCCGGTAATGGTCAATATCCAAATTTACAATAGGTTCCGTTTGAACTTGTAATCCTGCCAGTTGTGTCAAAACATAGGAGGCCATGACCTGTCCAAATATTGCAGGGATGGTACCCAGAACAGGTATTATGCGAACCCTAAACCCCGGTAGTATCTGATATCATGGTAAGAGAACGGAATGTCAAACCACAAATTGTTAACCAGGGGAGAGAACAACTACTATGGAGCTCCATATGGTAATGTAGTTTCAGTGCAGAGAAAATTATAGAAGTTTTGAATTTCTTGACAACATTAAAGGGTATACACGTCACAGATTAACAGCACTTGGAAGTCTGTATAATTCATTGAAAGTAACAAAACCTCTAAACTAAAAACCATCATCACCTGATAATCTGAAGGGTTTTCTTCTTCTCCACTTGGTCCTTTAAATGGAAGAAGCTTTGCCTTAGGTTTCTCTAATGAAAATACAACAGTAATGCCACCTTCAATGCCATGATCCCTCCTCAAACGGTGTCTTACCTGGAAATTACAAACTCGATAAGGAGCTATAAGATCAATGCAAAGTATCCATCATTATCTGGACACATAGCATACTAGAATGTCTGAAAAAAGAAAATTACCCAACAAATAAATTATAAAGGCATTTTCTATAGGAAAATGAACATTTTTACTAATTAATATAAAATATGAAGTACAAGTTGAGGAACAACTGACTACTGCTACAAGAATTATACACACAATCATTTCAAAAAGACAAGAACATGAAGGGCTTTTGGGAAATACAGGCATCTAATAAAGGAACATTTTACTGCAAAAAATTATAAAAATTAATATCCACTAAGAAAAATCATAAACCATTTTTTAGAAATAGCAAACTATAAAATAAAATAAAAAACTGCAGTAAAAATAAGCTAAGATCATTACAGCTCGTGATAATGGGTCATTTGTTGATTGTCTTAAATCAGCAATGCGTATTCTGGTGGGGTCAGCTCTAGCACCAGCTCCTGTTGCCGATAGTACCTTCAAACCCCTACGTACACACGCAGCAAGAAGTGCCACCTATTACATATGTGGCAAATCAAGAATTTAGAGATGAACTTTCAGTTCTTAATGGGATACATTAATAATTTCTAATGACATAGGGTAAACAGAACACAGTACTTGGAAAAACAAGTACTGAAAAGATATCTGTCAATGCTTTCTCCAATGTGGGATGAATCTAGTGGGATTATAGCAGTATGTGAGTTCCAACCAATCAGTGAATTTTCACTGATTGATCAACGCTCATGTCTTGCAACAATCTTGCAACAAACATCACGCCTTGGAGAAAAAATAAATATAATATCATTTATACATTTGCCAGGCATTATTTTTAGATGCAACTCTGTATATCCTCGCAAGTACCGCGCTTTCTAATGGACTATAGGATGCTTAGTTCATGAAAGAGAGCTGTACAGAATAACAAAACTATATAGCCAGAATAGAGGCATATAAAATGATTTGTCACCTAAAGCATAAATCAAGCAAATCATCTGAGAAAGGTCCATTAGTTCTTATTTGCATTAAAAGTCACACACACGTCTGTTACATAGTGTGCACTGGGAAAGGATATAATCTGCATCTATAAATTTAAGTGCCAAGCACTTATTCGCATTGCATAACTAGCAACACTTCAAATATCACAGACCCAGTTGGAAGCCAGACTTCTCCTCTAAGAGGACACCTCAAGTTCAAATCCACTACCCAAACGTCATAACTGATGGATGAAGTTAATTAAGTTATGGTCACTGTACTTTATCATACTAAAAACGAATGGACCTTGTCTCAAACTGATCTATGGACCATGGAAGATGTATGGAAAATGAAAGACAATACAGAGGATATTATAAATAGATAAACTCTAAAAGTTTAGTAGTTATGTATCATAAATGATAAATCTGAATTAAAAAAATGGATAAAATAAGATGCATCAGAATAAATTTCAGTTTCAGGCAGAAGAGGTACCTTTGTATCAATGTTATCAATACAGTCTAAAACAAAATCAGGATGACCTGAAAGAATTTCCTCTTCTGTTGAAGAATCATATAATAGAACTTTTGCTTCTATCTGGCACTCTGGGAATATTGACAAGAAATGCTCTTTCAGACACTGTGCTTTTGGGATACCAACATCTGCTCTTGTTGCAACAGCATGTCGATTAAGTGATGAAACTGATACCTTATAATGAAATCAACAAATAAGTAAAGATTTCAGGCAGAAGTTAGATTACAAGATTTGAAGAGATGGAGATTGGAGATTAAGAGGAGAAGGATGCTACACTAAAACTAGGGGCCGGACTCCTCTATGACATTTATACAGATAATGTTCAAAGTAGACAGGAACCCACTTACAAACGTAAGTTGTTGGTCTCACACAATAATATACACTCCCCTCCAAGCTGGAGAAAACAAGTCAACCATGTCTAGTCATAATATCATCAAGCTGATCAGACGGCTCATAAGAGGTGACAATATCAGTATGTCACAACAAAAGAACTACATTCATGAAAGACTTGGTTACTATTAAAGAAAACGGTTGCCTATTAACATTCTCTAACAAAGTTATATCTTAATATAATTGTCAAATATATCATTATTTGTGAGTTTAAAAAAGTTATTTTTCACGTTTCAACCCCCTAACCATAAATTCCTGGCTTTCCTCCTGGTTATGCTTGCTCTGTGAAACAATGAAGCCCTTCTTGGAATTATCACTCTCAAAACAAAGAAAGTGATGGAGACCCAAAATCCTTTGTATGTAAATGACAAGAAACTTAAACATTCATATCAACAATACCAACATAATTATTCCCCGAAATTTTAAGTTAAAGAAACAAAAATTACCTGAGGTAATTATCATAGAATTTGAGACATTATTAAGAGAGAAAGAGAGAATGAAACTTAATAAGCTAGGCAAACCCGAAAGGATTAATAGAAGTCGAGTCATACACAGAGATACCTGATCAAAGTCCACAAGGAGGAGCTTGCCAATCCCTGATCGCAAAAGCATAGATGCAGCATGACTTCCAACTCCACCAAGACCAATGACCACAACATAGGATGCAGTCACTTTTTGTTGAGGCTCAAGTCCAAAGAATTGAATGTTCCTATGAAACCAAAAGGTAGCACATATAACTAGTCAACCACATCAGAATATCCTACCTAATAAAAGAAGTTTTCAAACATTTCACCCTCAACCTCACTCCAGAAACAGTCAGTTTGCACAAACACAGAAGAAAAAAAAATAGATACATACTCATAATTTCATGATGCCTGTAGTCAATTTTCAATAGAAAAAGAAATGTAAATAAACAATCCATATTTTCCATTTTGACCTTGGAAAACAAAACAAGATTTTACTAACATTGACGCTGAGCACTTGTTTGGGCCCACTCCGCTGTATTTAGCATGATGTGAATATATAAATGTTGTCTGCTATATATGTGGCATACAAATGATACATGTTGCTCTTAGTATTTTTCAAATTCCAGCTAACTATACTACACTAGATTTTCGTATAATACATTATTTTCCTAAGTGGTGAAGTATGCATACCTCTTTAATTGTTCAGAAACTATCTCATCACTTAGAAGGTCCAGACCAGTCATCCTACTATTTCCATTCCCAGTAACTGCACAACAATTTGTAGGTGTCTTTCATAAAAACCCTTTACCTATAATAATAACAATAAATAAATAAATAATCAAAAAAATACCACAGATTTTGTTTCTCTGTAACTTGAGTCGGTTTGGTAACTTACTATTCAATTCAACTCCCTTTTCATCACATTGTTTCACAGTCCGTCTGCAAAAGAAGCAGATAAAGTTAACACCTTTCACCAGTTAGCATCAAACAATAGCATCATGTTCATATCAAAATCAAAAGCGTGATCACCACCTCGCTCGAAGCTTCAATAGAAAGATGGTGGAAACAGAGCCTACCAGAGCTCCGGCTCCGAGCAATGCCAAGCACTTTGCTCTCTCCTCCATCTTTCGTCGCCCTCCCTCCCTCCCTCCCTCCCTCCCTCCCTCCCTCCAAATTTTTCTTCTTTTCTTTGATTTTCTCGGGCCCAAAACAACACAATCACCCAAACAGAGGCTTATTAGCCGCGAATGTAATAAGAGAGACTGACATGAGGGTTTTCTTTTTCACACTGCGCTTGGCGGGGACAGGGTTTTAGTTTTAGACATTGCTCCTCTAGTGGTAACCGAGTTTACAGTGCTAGTCTACCCGACCCGAATTAAATGGGCTTCATTAGGTGCAAAACAGGCCCCTCTGATATGGGCCTTGCAAGTGATCAAGATATTGTATTTTATTGTGCGCTATTTTTTAATAGAGGTGCAAGCTATTTGCATTGTTCGACCCAATCCAGAAAAGATCAAATAAACACGTGGCAGAACATGTGCAGACCTCATTTGTGTCTCACTTAGGCCTTCTCCAACCCATGAGGGGCTAAACCCAAATTTCCCCTCTTCAAAAAGTGACTATTTGGGTTTTGCCCGGACTCAAATTGTTTTTTCTCCCAACCCTACGGACTCAAATTTTATGTCCGCAACTTTATTAAATTGTTAAGAATGGTTTAAGTCTAATTTTTTTTAGGGATAACTTTTCTTCATTTAATCTTTTTAAATAACATCATAATTTAAATTTTTGAACAATTTGACCTAAAAAACATTGAAATTCCATAAATTAATTTTATTCCAAAAGTAAACACACAACATAAAAAAACACACAACATAAAAAAAACACACCACATAAAAAAAACACACACACACAACATAATTGAAAACACAAAATGAGGATTGAAACAATTAAAGTTACTATTAGAATTTTTTTTTAAAAAAAAACAGATTCTTTGAAATCCAACGGCTATTTGAGCTGGAAACACAATGCGTGTGGGCCCTAGCAATACTATTTGATTTAAATATAATTTTTTTTTTTAAAAAAAAAGCCCAACGGCTCTAACTTGTGGTGTTGACACATAGCTTTAGCCACAGCCAAAACCCATCAGAAAATGTCACCAGCGAGGGTCCCACCAATTTTCAGAAGCACATGGGCTCTGCCACCTCAGCGTGGGGTCCAGTGAATAGTATTAGGTCCAGGCAATACTTGGACCCATATTTGGGTCCAATTTTGGGTTTTCCCAAATTTTGGGTCCTTCATTTTGTTGGGTTGAGAGAGATTTTGGGGGATAATTTGGGTTTGAGTCCTTGCATTGGAGATGGCCTTATGCCACTAAAATGGGAGAAGGTCTTAGGTTCGACTGCACAGCCCCGTTTGGTTCACAGAATGAATTTGAGGGGAAATCATTTCTTATGTCATTCTCCAATGAATGGGAATGGAAGATTCCTTTCCCACGTTTAGTAATGATGGGAAAGTAACCGGGAAATATCACTTTATTTCCTTTCTTATGTTTGTTTTGAGTATGAATGGAAAACAAAGTTTGTATAAATTTTCAATTATACCCATATTAAATCAAATAAAAAGGGAATGCATTTAATGATATATTGTAATTCTAAATTGTTAATGGGGACAAAATGGTCATAAAAAATATGTATTTAATGTTATCTCATTTTTCCAAACTTTCCCATGAGGAGGGAAAACAAAACCCAAGTTGGGAGGATGACTTCACTTTCCCCCATACTTTCCCATGAGTCAGGCAACGATTTCTCATACCTAGACTTATCAAACATGGGAAAGCAATTGATTTACCATTCCCAAGTCTCCATTCCCATGAACCAAACGGAAGTAGTATACTCACAATGGATGGGACCCAAATACAAGGGGTGTCGTCTCATTGTGCGATTTGTTGCCCTATGCAGCAAATGTGTGTGCAAAACTTTCTTCTAAAATGAATACATGCTCTTCAAAGGAGAAATTCTTTAATGCGATTGTTGACAACCGTACATAGGAATTGAAGGTGAAAACCCAAGACCCTTGAGTTTGTTTTATTTTTCAATTTGTATGTACGACGGGGATTTTCAAATTAACTGAATTCATGTTTATAAGTTCATATATGTCACTTTGAGATCGATTTCTTATTTTAAAAGTATTTGGGTAGACTATGAGGTTGTGACGAACATGATATCACTTATAATTCAACAGAACATACATGGTATATTTTCGATTCACTTTAAAATCCATAATACTTAAAAACTAAATTAAAATTTCCTAGTCGAGCACTTTAGTAACTAGAATAACATATCCTCTAGCTATAGCTAACATGAATATAAATACAGAACAACCCAAGAACTAAACAAATAACTGCTCTAGTGCCATATCCATATGCATAATATTAATTTTGAACAGCAACTTGAGTCTTAGCAACAAGGTTAGTGGCTCTAATTAACATTTAACAGGTAGTGGTTTGTGACAACAACGTGGGTTTCCATTAGGAAATCAGTGTGTGGTGGTATTAGCAGAGTTTCAATTTGTAATTGTACCTAGTGCTCCACCAAAATTAATGAATTAAAGGCGCTTTTGAGCGCCGACCAGCCCACACAATGCTCTATCTACCTAAACTTCCAAAGGTTTAGGATAAACAACAACATAAACAACCATGTAAGCACAAAGTTTGGAGTCTTTATCAGAAAATTGCACTAAATTCTCAGCCAGTGATGTGATTCAGTATGTATGAAGGCACTAGTTTAGATAGAAACCACATTAAATATTTATAATGACATGTACAATTAGAGCTTGTGTTTCGATACATAGAAAATAATAGATGGAGAATTGATATCACCAATGTATAATCTCATAACTTGTATGGATGATGTTTTGGTGTTTCAATACATAGAGAATAGATGGGAAGTTTATCTGGGCAATGTATAATCCAAAGAGTTCTATGATTTGGGAGCTCCCAAACCACCCGTATCTCTTAAATTTGTAATTCTTTACTCAACCAATGTTTGCAAAGAGTTTGTAGTTGAAGTAGTTAAAAATAGTTACTTTTGCCCCGAGATCATGTGCTCAATAATTATTAATTTAAATATTAATTTAAATATTAATTTATTATCTTTTAAATGTCAATTTACGCATAAAGGGGTACATTGACTTGCATAGGCAAATATAGGATGGATCCCAAGCCTCTGTATTTAGATAATGTACGCATTTACCCTTATTTCAGTACATCTTAGACCATTGTGGTGATTTTCTCACTCCCTTTTTATCCACTTACACTCCTTTTTGTTTTTTTAATACTTTTTACTAAGATAAAAGGGAGTGTAAGTGAACAAAAGAGGAGTGAGAATATACAATTTTAAAAAAATGGAGTGTAAGTGGATAAAATGGGAGTAGGAAAATCAGTATCCTTTATTAATCTAACAATGTAAAACATGACACGTCAAACTCTTAATACTATACCCCTTAACACTGTTAAGTCCAAACAAAATAAATAATATGTTAGTCAAACCCTCCTAAACCACCCATGGCCGACTCTTTAACCCACCCCACCGTTGGCAACCCCAACCCACTGACAACTCTCTCCCGTCTAACCGACAGCCAACCTCCCCTCCTTTCTTTCCCCTACATTCTCTCTTTACTATTATGATGTAGAACAAATGGCAAATTTTATCGCGGTTGAGCTAGAAAAAGGACGTAGCGGGAATTTACAGATTTGTCGTCCAAGCTTCGATTAGGACGCAAAATACCATTTCGGAAAGGGAACGACGCCACGAGTCAAACTCACTGTTTTTCTGTGATGTATGATGGATTTTGGCATCCTGAGATCGTTTGGCCTTCCAAAACTGCATTCAAAGTTTCGTAGTTAATTTTCGGAATAAATTCTGTTTTTCAGTTTTAATGTAATAACTCCCCTAGCAGCTCAAGGGTTGAGAGATGTGTATTTAGACAGATTTGGTGAACGTTTTTCATCATCTCATATTTTAATAAAATTATCCCAAGAGAATTCCTCTTAATTTCTGGTGGAATCCAGATTTCTTGTTACTCAATGTTTTCGTTTGAAACTTTTGTTGCTTGTGCTGCGTCATATTACCTAACTATTACCTCATTTCTTGGGGCTTGAGCCCTATTTATAGGGGACCAAGGCGGTGGACCTTGGGCTATTCTTTCGATGTGGGATTGTGGTGCCTTCTTGAGCCGGATCGGCATGTTAGGTTACAGAAGGTTAACATACTGCCGATTGGTTGTTTATGGGCCTCAGTGTCTAATTAGGCTTGGAAGGTCTCCTTTGTGGGTCCCGTATTTCACTTGTCATGAAACTAGCGATCGATCAGATATGGTATAAACAAAAGTAACAAATTAACCAACAAGCAATAAGATATTGCAATCAGGCGATGTACTTGTTAAGAAAAAATTAATTTTGCCATCTCATCTTCTCGGCGAGCATAGCCTTTGCAACTCATTATAGCATTGTTTGCTTTGCACTCATCTTCTTAAATCTCACACTTATCTCCTATAAATATAAGTTATAAATCGTTTGATGTTATATTGTTACAAAATGGAAATATTGAAAATTAAATTGCTTTATGTGAAATAATGAAATAGTTTTACCTTGTATTTTGGACCCCAAACATTTCTTGATGAAACTTTGCCATTCTTCCATATTTTTTATATTATCAGGCTTCAATTGCTTTGCAGCGCATTTAATACCAACAAGCTGTCTTTGTTTCCACACTTCTTTAGTAATTTACATCTATGATCTTGCCAAAGCTTTGCCATCTTTTGTAATGCATACTCATCAACAATAAATTTAATCTAAAAAAGAAAAAAAAGAAATTATTAGAAATAGAAATATAGCTAATTTAGACAACAACAAAAACAGAAAGAAAACTAATAATCATGTGCATAGTTTTCTAATTCAGATTAATACGTACAAACTCTCACCTAACACCAAACATAAGAAAAATTGCTGCTCTAGTTTGTATTAGAGCCTATACATAGGATGCTTCAAATCCAAAACGAACTGGATTACTTAATTTGACATCTTCCCACGTGGGTAATGTGTGCAAGCTATCGAGAATGATACTAT